TTTTTTATCACTTTATATGGTCCTTTGAATTTTTGCTTCAGTTTCTTTGGTCCCTGAAATTGCTTGTACATTACTTCATCTCCTACTTGATAGGTTCGTAATTTCTTCCCATCATGTTGAATTTTTTGATTTTCTTTTGAGTTCAATGAGTAAAGTTTTGCTTGATCATAAATCTCAGGCCATTTTTTGATTGTTGATTTTAAATTAGATGGTAATTGTTTAAATGTATGGTTGTTAATTATAATATCAATGGGTAAGGTTGGTTGACGACCATATAGTAAATAAAAAGGAGAGGCTTTCGTGGATTGATTTACACTCGAGTTATAAGCGAATCCCAGCACCGGGATTAACTCGCTCCACTTTTGAGTGTTTTCTTTTTTACAATAATGAGTTAACATTGAACACAATGTTTGATTTACTTTTTCTGTTAAGCCATTTGTTGCTGGATGATAGGCGGTTGAAAATGACCATTTACTTTGGAAGAAAACTCTAATTTGATCAACCTCTGAAGATATAAAATTTCTACCTTGATCTGAGACAATTGTTCTGGGGCAACCATGTCTGAGGAAGATCGAGTTAATTAGGAAAGTCGCTGTTGGTTCAGCGGTCATATCTTTGATTTCTGCAACCTCTACCCATCGTGCAAAGTAGTCAGTACAAACTATAATATAATTATTTTTTTTATATGTTGGGAAAGGACCAATTAAATCGATTCCAATTTTCTCGAATGTGTTATTAACAATTATTGATTTCAATGGAGCTTCTAAGGTTCCACTTCCTCTTTTATCTAATTGACATATTAGACAACTTCGAATGTAATTAGTTTATTAGATTTGCTTTTTAAATCTGACATTCTATAAGGTTTTTGAGATATTGGAGGATGATTTCCAGTATCGATTGAGTGAGCATAAACATTAGAGAATCCTAATTCTTTGGGTGTGGCAGCGAAAACCACTCGATATTTAGTTATTAATTTATTTAATTTTTTCGTGTTGTTGGTTGAATTTCACTGTTCACTTCAAGTTTTAAGTCATTAATTATATTATTAATATAAATTTCTTCATCAACTAAATTTTCTTCCCATCACCGGAGACTGAAAATAATGAAGATAAACTAATTGTTGAAGAATAGTCACTTCTTGTGATTAATTGTGAATTTGTTGATGATTGTATTTGATTCGAATCATAATTAGATGAGACGATTGATGATGTGGTTAATTGCTTTGTGTTTGATTTAAAATTTAAATCTATGGTTTCAAATTTTTCTTTTGGGTTCAATGGAATGATTAATTTTCTTCGTTTACAATCAATGAAAAATTTTCCTTTTTCTAGAATATTTTGTCCGATTATGGCTTCAATTCTTGACGGCAAAGTATCGACAATAATCATAGGTGATTTAATTTCTATTTTGTTGGACCATCGGGAATCTCTAATTTAATATAAGTTTCACCAATTACTTTTAATGGTTGATTTCCCGCGGTTAAATGGATTGGCCCTTAAAGTTGTGATAATCTAATGACAATTTTTGAGCTAAGTGTTTAGAAAGTAATGAGACTTCAGCCCCAGTATCGACCAAACATTCTACTTCCTTTTCCTTAATTTTTGCTTTCGTAAATATTAATTGATTTTTTTTTGAATAAGTTTGAAATGATTGAACTGGAAATTTTTGTTTCATCATCATCACCATATTCAGTATAAACTGTTTTAACTACTTTAGTTCTTTTGTCACTTGATGGTGATCTTGATCTTGATCTTGGTCTTGGTCTTCCTCTACCTTGGGGGTGAGGAGAGTTTTGTCGTGGTCGTCCTCTAGGTCGGGGACTTAAAGATCGATTTCGTGGTGTGGTTGATTGAGGGTAATTCTGATATCCGTCTGGTCGAGGTGGACGCATCGAACGAGGGGGCGATCTACTTAAATTTCTGTTTAAAAACCAAGGTTGTTTTCTATTATCTTGTGATTGATTTTGGGTTCTCCAATTATCATCTTTAATGGTTGATGGACCTTGAGTTGCCCATCCGATACTTTTTTGATCGTCTCGAGGTCTGTCCGCTCTTCGGGGACATTCATTTCTTTTATGTCCAGGCTCATTGCAACCGTAACATATGATTGGTTGATATTTATCGTTTGATTGATTACTTTGTCGATAGTTATCATTTCGATAATTACTATTTCCATAATCATTTCGATTACGATAGTTGTCTCTCTCTCGCTTTTTATATCTTGTTGGAAAGTTAAACAGTCTAATCTTTCGGCAATTTGTTGTAAATGTTGCGATAATGCCGTTATTGTATTTTTTAACTGTTCATTCTCTTCGGATTCAGTTAAATCATCGTTTTTTGATAATGTTGAGCGTTCAGCTAATGTTACTTTAGTAATAAAGTCAGAGCTAGAATCAGCTGTCAGTAAATCTAATCTAGTTCGAATGTTTGATTTTAAACCTCTGTCGATGAAGCTATTTACTAATTCTTCTTGCATGGCTGGGTTGATTCTTTTACATAAATCTCGAACCTCGTAAGAATAAGAAATAGCTGATTGATCTGAACGTTGTTTCTTATTGTTTAACTCTTTAATTGAATTTTTCGGTAACCTGAAGGAGCTAAATCTGAAACCAATTTGATTTTTAAATCTTCAAAAGTTCTAGGAATATTATCACCAGTTAAAGGTTTGATTCTACATCGGTACCACCTACTAGCGGTACCAGTTAAATAAGCAGGTAAAGCTTTTAGTTTAATCTCCTCATCCCAATCAAGAGCAACTGCAGCTGATTCAAAATGATCAAGCCAATCTAATAAATCCTCATCCCCATCACCGGAGAAATTTGGAATATGTAATTGTTGATTTACCGTAGAATTTAATTTGTGTTTCTTTTCTCTACCAATCCCCAGCACCGGGGTAGTTAATAGAGGTTGATCATCCATAGTTAAGGTGAGAAGTGAGTTTCAATGTATAATTGATGTAATTTAAAGATGAACCAAATTAGTAATATAACTAATGGAGAAAGAAAACTTAATAGTTGTAATATTTTGATTGTAGATTCTCTAAAATGAATTCCTAGTATTGATTGTATATCTTCTTGTTCCTCTATATTTAAATAATGATCATTATTGTTCATATCACCAAAAGATAATAATTAAACAAAGAAATAAGCAGAATGTTTTACACATGATTAAAATTGATTAAAGGGACACTTAAATTTAAAAGAGAGAGAAGAAAGAGACTTAAAATAAGAAGAGAGAGACTTAAATTTAAAAGAGAGGCAAGAAAGAGACTTAAAATAAGAAGAGAGAGACTTAAATTTAAAAGAGAGAGAAGAAAGAGACTTAAGATTAAAGGAGAAAAGTTACATATTATGATTATAGTTAATTTGTTTCAACTCAGTTCAATTAACTTCAATTGCATTGTTCAAAATAATTATAGCTTGATTATTTTTGGTTGATCTCAATTCAATTTAATTGCTCAAATTATTATTTCTTGATTATAGTTGGTTGGCTTCAATTCACTCCAATTCAATTCAATACAATTCAATTCAATACAATTAAATTCAATTGTTCAGATAATTATACCTTGATTATGGTTGGTTGGTTTCAATTGTTAATTTCAATTCAATTTTTGAAGTTAATTGTGGTTTTAATTCAATGATTAAATTCTTTTCAGTAAATTGTTGACCTTAATTATTATTTTGATTCAATGATTTTATTCTTTTCAATCAATTGTTGAAGTTAATTGTTGCTTTGATTCAATGATTTAATTCTTTTCATTCAATTGTTGAAGTTAATTGTTGCTTTGATTCAATGATTTTATTCTTTTCAATCAATTGTTGAAGTTAATTGTTGCTTTGATTCAATGATTTTATTCTTTTCAATCAATTGTTGAAGTTAATTGTTGCTTTGATTCAATGATTTTATCCTTTTCCTCAATTGTTAAAGATAATTATTATTCTGGTTCAATGGATATCCTTGATGCGAGTTCAATAAATCAATTGTATCAAAAAGAATGAAAAGAGCAATCGCAACAATAAAGAAAATAATTTCTTTTAAAATTAAGATTGAGTAATAAACAAATGGTGACCGAAATAAAATCGAAATTGTGATAATTCTATCCCACTCTCTTGATTAGATTAAATTTTGGTCAAAATAGTTCTCATTTTGTTTAAAAATGATTGCAAGGTTTTGTTCGAATTTGCGACAAAAGTTCAAACTGAATCGACCTGGATTTGGAATATTGTATTCAATTTGGAAAACATGATTAGTTATTAATGATTATTTCACCAATTAGAATAAATGTAAATTGACCTTTGATATTATTTACTACTGGATACCCAATTTGTCTGAATATTTTATTCATTTTTTAAAATTTTATTATAATTTTGATTTAGAAACTAATGATTTACTTTTGTTTGATATCATTGTAAAATTTGGTACTTATCTTTTCCGAGTGTGGATGGTGATTGGAAGGTAGTTTATTGATTTGATTTATTTTATTTTCCTTTTTTGAATTACTTTAGAGGGTATTATGTTGTTGGTCTCAGGTTACGTATTTTATACGTAAAAGGGGTCAGTTTTATATTTGTTTAATAATAAGTAAGATCTCTTAAGAAGTCTTATAATACGTATTTTATATGTAATGAAATCACTTTAAAATACGTACTCTATACGTAATTTGCACAGTTTGTAGATTACTTATCTAATAATAAGTAATGTCACCTTAACATACGTTGCTACACGTATTTAATCACTTTAAAATACTTATTTAGTAATCACTCAGATTACTCTATATATTATATTATATATTATATTATATTATATTATATTATATTATATATTATATTACGATTCGTATCAAAGAAATCACTTTATTAATAAATTTAGAAAATTAGCACATCACTTTGGGTAACTATACCCCGATTCCATGATTAAAATGGCCGAAAACTGGCCATTATATGGTTAGTGAGGGAGATTATCTTCTCCCTTATCTTCATCTTCTTCCTTAAAATTTATCCAATGAGAATAACCAGGTACCACGTGAGAGGTGGTACCTGGTTAAACAAAGAAACTGGTTCTGTAACCAGGTTAGTTACAAATGGATTAAGTTTGGACGAAGTTGCTGTGCAAGTAGCAGAAATATCGAGAGGAAGAAGATTAATTACCCAGGGAAAAGATGATCTACTGAAATTACAACTAAATCCTGAACGACTTAAGGTATATAATATTCAACATGTAGACCTACAAGATCTTTGGCCTGGTAAACAACCAATTGGATTAGTGTCTTTAGATAAATTTCTATTTCATGATCATCAAAAATTAAGAAGAGAAGACACTTCTCATGTGACAATCGGCCACTCACCTGAAAGAGACACACGAGTAACGTTAAAAGCTTACATGCAACTTTTAAATCTCAAGGAGAAAAATATTAATATTCCAACAGCTGAAGTAGTGCGTGAAATGGTAAAAAATGGTCAAACATTACAAGATTGGATAGAACACGAACAAGATGAAATAATTTGGTTAGACTAAAATCTATCTTTCTCATTATATTTTATATAACCTTTTATACTTTGTAAATAATGTCCGGTGCTGGGCAATTTTATATTAATCAATTAACTAATAATTGTAAATCAACGAGGACGTTGATCCTTTCTATGTATTTCCGAAGAACTGTAACCAAATTATCAAACTGGTTACTCGACCAGTTTTCTTTGTTCAACCAGGTACCACCTCTCACGTGGTACCTGGTTAATCTGATTGGATGAATTTTGTTGAAGATGAAGGAGATGAGGGAGAAGAAAATCTCCTTCATCACCAATATAATGGCCGTTTTGTCGGCCATTTTCCTTATGAGAATCGGGGTAAAGTACCCAAGTATTATTATTACTATAATAAAGTGAACTTTTGTTATCAATTTGTGACAATATGAATAACTAGTAAACAATTAACCTTGTCTCAGTTGATTTTAATTATTTACTCTAATCATCCAATGGTAATAATTTCATCGTTGCATGATTAATCATTTCAATATTTGAAAATCCATTAATGATAATCTCGTCTCTCTCTCTCTTTGCAATTAAAACTCACACAATTTAATCTTTATTATTGCTACAATTTGAACATTGATTATTGATAATCAACAACAACAATCAAAGTGATTATAGGCAGTTTGATGAAAAACTTTTGAAAACTTTTATTTACATTTTGATTTTGATGGATTTGATTCAATTGATTAACACTAATCATAAGTGTGTTATGATCAATGATCAACAATTATAAGTAGAAATCAATTTCGTATCAAAGCTTAGATGAAAAGCCCGTTAATGATTTTTTCGTTATACAGCCAAAGACTTTGAGTTTGCATAAATTTTTAATCATTCGCACAGGTATTCGGTAATGGTAATCAATTGAAGATTAATTTTGATATCTAACTTTTTCCAATATCGACACATATTCCCTACAAGTGAAAGCTTCTCATCTGATATTCGGGATCACAACTGTCAGAATATCTCCATCATCACCTTTGATTCCTGTTATAATTGCCTCAGCTTTTGAGACTTGTGGTCAATTGAAATTCAAATCGAATCCTATTTGAGAGAGTGAACCAACGAGGTATTCAGTGTGAAGCGGTGAACAGACCGACAGGTCAAGAAAACAGTTTGAAGGGTCAAAAGTTTAATTAAGAGAAAAATAAGAGGTAAATGAGAGAGATAAATAGAGATGATACAGATAGAGAGAGAGAGAGATCACTTTATGTTGTGTCTATGACACCTTATATACTGTAACAGTCAAGGTGGATAGGGTTATCACCTTGACTACTGCGGTATTGAGCAAGACAAAAGCAGGGAGTCAACTAGTTGACTCCAACGGACGATTGGGTAGTTGGTTAGGTCACCTGGTCGGTTGGACTCTCACACTATTCCTTTAGAAATTGAGATTACCAAAAGTTCTGGAAAGGATTTTGTTTCACATTCAATTATTACTTCCAAATCGGATGGGACATTTTGCTCATTTTTAGAGCCGGGAAAATACCGATCCAAACCCATTATTCCAGTTGACCAGGAAAACGAGCTTGTATTTACTCCTAAATATTTAGAACTGTTGATCGAAGAAAAGTCCAAACTCGATCTTACATTTCACCAATTCGCTGCCTCTGTTTCAGGTTCATTAATATTGAAAGAACCAAAAGTTATAGTGAACGATATCAGCATTGATTTAATTTTAGATGATAAGACTATTGATAGTGTTCAACCTGATCAACAATCAAAAGAATTCAAATTCAAATCTATTGCTCCAGGTAAATATCGTCTTAGACTTCGTAAGGGAGATAATATCTGGTGTTGGAAAGAAGATGAAATGACCATTAACATATTGGACGAAGATTTAACCGGAATCAAGTTTACTCAAATCGGCTATTATCTAACTCTAGTCACCTCTCACCCCGTGAAAGTTACAATAACTCATACAACATCTAAGAAATCAATTAATGCTGAAATCAAAAATGTCCAGCAACCTTTCCGTCAATGTTTACTTGAATCAGGTCGATACGAAGTCAACACTGTCTCATGTCATTCATTTAAAAACGACAAAGGCCTCAAGGAGCCTTTTATTTTCGATACTCGAACCAAGGAAACATCTTCATCACTAATTATCCGAGCTTACAAACACCAATTAACCGGGTCGGTGACAGTTACTGTTCCAGTTGAAAGTTCTGAAGAGTTTGTCCTTTCATTAACTCGTAAATCAAATATTAACGATCAAAAGGGATCAACAAATGGATTGGATTATTTACCCAGCTCATCTAAATCCGATAATCAAGGCAATCTAATCAAAATGTTTAAATTTTCCTTATTCGCTGAGCCCAATGAATTGCTCACAATTGTACCATCGTCGACATCCCTTTTATTCAAGCCTCCTAAATTTGAAAAGACCATGGGCTCTGATTGTTTGCTCGATGCTGTTTCATTCAAAGGACGTAGTGGACTATTTATCAAAGGATCAATTTCTCCACCCCTGATGGATGCTACAATTAAATTATATTCTCGAAGTGATGATCAACTTATGTATGAAACCGTCACGGATGCCGAAGGGAAATACACCGCTGGTCCTTTTGATTGTTGTGATGCAGGAATTACCATTGACCGTATGATTTATGCTAAAGCGGAAAAAGTGGGATATTTATTGAAAGAATCATCTAAATTTGGTCAATTTGTTAGCGAGAAACTTTCATCACTAATTGTGAAAGTTACTAATGCCGATGGATCACCATTGCCTGAAGTGCTCATCTCCATCTCTGGTGGTTCTAATAATTTCCGTAAAAATCTAATCACTCCTGCAACCGGTGAATTATCATTTATTGGATTAAATCCTGGTGAATATTTCATGAGATCAGTTTTGAAAGAGTTTAAATTTGATCCAGCTTCAAGAATTGTTGACATTAAACAAGGTGAATCTGTTACACTCAATGTCAAAGGTGAAAGAGTTGCTTACAGTTGCTATGGCTCGTTAACTTCCATGTCAGGTAACTAAACAATCTAATCATTTCTGAATCACTTGATTACTAATTGTTGACTTATTTTTATTTGTTTTATTTACACAGAAGAGCCTGAAGCTAATATTTTAGTTGAAGCTGTTGGTATTGGCGGAGTTAATGAACAAGGATTTGATTGTAAACAGTTACAAGAAGAGGTAACATCAGAATCTAATGGTAACTTTAGAATTCGTGATTTAAAACCTGGATGCAATTATCGAGTTAGTGTTAAGAAATCAAATGAGCAAAATTTAATCGCACGTTCATTACCAGAAAATGTGATAATCTCCGTTGGAAGAGCCGATGTTACCGGCATTAAATTGATACTTTTCACTCGGAGTAACACCATGGAATTGACTGGAGATATTATAACTAATCCAGAATTTTGGCCTTCACTCCGTGTTAAACTTTTCTCTGAATCGATTGGCGATCAATTGTTGGCCTCAATTCCAGTGACCAGTGGTTTCTTTTCCATTCCAACGCAAATTCCAGTAGACAATCGTTGGTATATTCTAAAATTGGAATCAACTCTGCCCACTTATTTATATTACTATGAAACGGCCTCTCTTACTTTCCAGGCCAATACAACATACTCACATTTTCAATTCCAATTTGATCCAAAACAATCATCTAATTCAGATTCTTTCAATGGGGAACAAGATAACATCAGCACTGGATCACTTTTCACTTTACCTTTGTTTCTCCTTTTAGGTTTAATAATCTACAAATTTGATAAAGTTAAACCGATTTTCGATTATGTTATCGAGAAAGTTTGGTCAACAATACATCCCGATGGAAGATCATCTCCAAATTCTGACGGTTCGTTACGTCGTAAAATCAAATCACGACGAACCTAATACACTTTTTTTTAGAATTTAGGATAAATTTTTATCTAAATTAAGAATTAATTTAAGCCTTATAGTCTTGAGAAATTATTATTTACGATCTTGTTTGCTCGTAACAATTATCATTTGTAATAATTTAACTTTTCTCTCACAAGCAAATCAATTGTAATTTACACTGCGATAAACACTTTTATACATCTACATGTATATTGATACAGGTAAACGGGAAGAATTAAATCATTTTTTGTTATCTATTAACAATTAAAATTGTCGAATATTTTTCATTGTTGATTTTTATGATAAACACAATTAACATCGATGAACGATAAACAATAATTTGAAAAGTGATCGACATTTATTGTTGGAATCAAATGACTACATGGTTACATATACAAAGAGAAATACAAAATTTGGTTTAAACGAAACAACAATTAGTTTTAATTTACAATTTGGATCAACTATCAGTGTTTTCCAACCAATTACCTCCTATTGGATCTAGAGCTTGAAGTACACGTCGGGAAAGTCTCATTTGACCTGAAGACGGATCTCGACCGAAATATTTAACTTTGAATTGTGAGCCAACAATTAACCCCAATGCCGATGGATGTTTGATTTGTTTTTGATTTAATTCTCGATTTGGTATGAAAACGGGATCCATCCCGGAAAATGATCACCTTAACACCGGAATCAATTATATCGACAACTTTGGCCGTGTAAATTGCTTTGAATTCAAGTTTCTTTTCGTAATCATCCATCTCGAGAAGTTGATCAATCGTTTTCTTGGCAATTTCATAAGACTTTTTGTCTGGTGCAAAGAGAACCAATTTATTTGGATCACCATCATCTTGTCGTAAATTAATTCCATAATTAACAGTTAATTTACGAATTGTTGATCCACCATAACTGAAAATTCGTGATCGACGATGAGGTGGAATCTCAATTGTCTCTGTTATCGGCCAATTTTCTTTATGAGAAACATTTGGCTGACGAATCGTTCTGCTCATGATTTCGAGGATTTTTCTAGTAGCCTCTTGACCTTGGGTCAAGGCATCTTTGATAACCTTAATTGGTAATCCATGAGGTAATTTAATATCTAATTGTAGAGCAGTTAATCCAGAACCAGTTCCTGCCATCTTGAAGTCCATTTCACCGAAATGATCCTCAATACCAAGAATATCGGTAAGGATGATAAACTTTTCATCTTGAGGTAATAATTTTGACGATTGATGATCATCTTTGTTTTCCGAAGTGTGAATCAGGCCAATGGCAACACCCGCCGTGGGATGTGTAACCGGAACTCCACCGTCCATCAAAGCTAAACTTCCCGCACAAACACTGGCCATAGAAGACGATCCGTTAGATTCAAGAACTTCACAATTAAGTCTAGTTGTGAAGGGAAAATCTATCGGCATTGATGGTCGAAGTGCTTTCTCGGCTAAGGCTCCGTGTCCAATTTCCCGTCGACCAAAGACTCCAACTCTTCCCGTTTCGTTGGTAGCAAAAGAGGGAACTCATAGTTGAGCATAAAATTTTTCTCCTTCAGGCCACCGGTCATCACGGTGACAGGATCAGACTTTAGTGCTGATTGTATTGAATCAAGTGCTAATGTACAAAGAACTTGAGTTTGACCTCGTTGAAAAGATGCTGACCCATGGAGAGTTTTAAACAAACTGGTCGAACAGTTGATATTCCGTAAATCGAAGCAACCTCGTCCATCCATTCGCCGTCCAGTTTCAGCGACAATTTGTACATAAATTGATTTAACCACTTTGGAAAATGCATCGGAAAAATTACTTGATCTTCATCGGGAAAACTTTCTCTCATCGCTTCAAATACCAATTTTTGTACTTCTCTTAGAGCAACATCTCGACTAATTTTATCGTGACTATGATCAGTTAAGATTTCTCTAATTCTAATTGCAGATAACCTGAGAATAGTTTAGAAAACAAAAAGAGTGAAATTTAAATTGTCATAATGGAAAATTTCAAGACAATTAAATATGAAAATACTTACAAATGAGCAGCTTCAATGTGAGCTTTTGATGGAGTGAAATATTTTTCAACATTTCTCTTCTCGATTGGAAATTTTTCTCCTAATTGTTTGATTCCGTTGATTATGTCGACATTAGCGGATGTCGCTTCGTCTAAAGCTCGAAGTATATCTTGACTCTTACCGATTCCATTGGCATGACCTTCAATCATTAGAATCCGTTTGTGTTCATTACTACTGACAATCATATTGAAATCATTTTCCTCGATCTCACTTCGAGTTGGATTGATGATGATCGGACTGTCTTGGGAAAAGGCCACCCGAACAGCACCAATTGGCCCAGCCCAGGGAATATTTGAAAGAGTAAGAGCCGCTGAGGCCGCATTAATAGCGATCACATCGGGATCATTGATACCATCGGATGAAAGTAGATTACAAAATAATTGTGTCTCATAATAATAACCAGGAGGAAATAGTAATCTAAGCGATCGATCAATTAACCGTCCGGTTAGGATCTCTTTCTCTGTAGCTCCAATTTCCCGACGCAAAAAATTGGTCGGAATTTTACCTACTGAGGCTGCTTTTTGCCGATAGTCAACCGTTAACGGGATGATCCCTGAAATGGTTGGTTTGGTTAAACTAACAGCCGCCACAAGAACATTGGTATCTCCAATCGAGGCCACTGTAGATCCATCGGCAAACCGAGCATACCGACCACATTCAATGGTCAGATCATTTCTAGAAAGGTCAAACAAAAAATAAAAACAAAATTGGAAAACAATAAAAACAAACAGTCGAGAGATCAACAAATGAGATGAGACTAAATTGTTGATCATTATAAGGGAACAATTTACTTACCCTTTGTTAAATCTTATATCTACAGAGTTTAAATTGTCATTAAATCGACTTAAATAACGAACAGATCGACAATCTAATTGTGAAAACTTCGATCGCAATTTAAACAACAACATCACTCATCAATCTCCATGTGGGTTAGTGTTTACGTTACCATGGAAACTGCCGGTTTCGGTTATTCTCAATCAGAATTAATCATTTGGAAAGTGAACCAATTTAATTACTCAACTAATTAGTGAGTTCTTGTTGTGCTTTTTGTAGCATTGGATCAATGATTAACTTATGGAACTTTTTTTTTATTTCTAATGTTGATCTTTGATAAGTATTTCTACTAAATGTTTAGTTACAAATGGTACATAATGTAAAAGTGACAATTTTGTTTACATTAACTAATTAGATTGTTAATCAATTTAGATAATATGTTCATCCATGACTTGATAATCTTGGTTCATCTTCTTTGGCCGCTATGATCTCTTCGTATACTCGAAGACAAGCTTCGACTTTGTACCTTTCCTTGCATTCACTTTTAAGGTAATTCTAATGGAGGAGAAAAAAAAAGAATTAGAATTAAATTTGGTTCTTTGGATTAAAAAAATCGATTATTAGCAAAATTTGAGAATTTAAAATGATAATCAAAGTATTTAAGTACCTTAATTGTTGAAAGATGATCATTTGAAGGTAAGTCAATTTTTTGACGTTTCTCTGATGGATTAACTAAATAGTAAAGGTTAACTAAATGAGCAGCATCTTCAATCATTTGTCGCTTAATCATATCTTGTAATAGTGAATCAATTTTTCCTTCCCAAGCTAAATAAAAGGCCATCGGCCCAAAGTGTCTTGTACTTCGTAAAAGGTCAAATTTATCATTAGCGGCAATGTGATCGTAGGTTTTACAAATAATCTCAATGTATCTCGGATCATCTGGTTCAAATTGGATACAAGCTCGATCCAAGACAAAAAGGTAATCATGGCGATCTAAAATGGGCTGAATAGTAAACAGATCATTCTTTTAGAAATCGGCAGCAATCGGTTATCAATAGTCAATACTCACTACTAAATTTTCAAACTCGAACATCTTTGGGACAGTAACTCCTCTTCCGGAAACAGGGAAATAAATTTGATTAACTCTGTATCTCTCTTCCCAACGAGCTCTCCTTAGAAGACCATTTGGCTCTCTAACGGCAATCAAACGATTCTGCAAAGAACAAATTAACAATCAAATTATTGGAGAGAGAGAGAAAAACTTCATCATCAACTCACTCTATCACTAAAACCTTGGGATAAATCAGTAATCACTAAATTATGAATATCGAAATTTTTAAATTCTGGTTCATCAGCTAAAATGTAATCCTTTTCCTCCCATGGTTCCATCACCGGTGGCATTTGTAAATTCTTCCCTCCTTCTTTACGAGCTCTTTCACGAGTCTGAAAAAAAAGAAAAGAACAACAATTAAATCAACTATCTAAACAATTAAAACTAATCACTTACCATTTCTAATTCTTCATCAGTGAGAAACAAATATTTCGGTGGCTTATAACCAGAGACTGGTTTGTTTGAGAAAACTCTGTCTTCATTGTAACCTGTGATTTTCCTTAAAATGGTTTGAATATTTTTATCCATAAACAGAGTTTCTTTATCCCTTTTCGTATTTGAATCAATTAATTGATTAGAAGAAGATGAAATTGATGAAGATGAACATTTAACAACACCAGATGAACAAATTAATCTCAAACTATTTCTCCAATCAAACACATGAGAAGGGGAAATATTTCTCGATAAACGGAAGCTTCCATTTCCAATTTTTACCAATTGATTTAAAGAAAACATTCCAATCGAAATTAAAAAGGATACAAACTGTAAACAATTAACTAATCAAGAGAAACATAAACAATTAAAAAAAAGCAGAAAAAAAATTTTGAGATGAAAACATGTTTTGGATCCAAAAAGAATCGATACTTTGGTATCTTGATGAGGATTCGAATCTTTGACTCAGAAAATTGTGAAAATTCATTTAGATTGAAACATTCATTGTGTTAACTATGATTTATTTTTTTTCTACTTTAAATCGTGAAAATGAACAATCACCTAGTTATTTTTATTATTAGTGTATTAACATTGTTCCTTGAATCTCAATGTGACAATTTAACTCGATCACAATCAGCAAATTCCACCGAGAATTTGGATTGGAGATGTGAAGAGTTGGACTTTTGTGATGACAAGACAGGCTTTGAAGCCATTAAATGGCTTCATCATCAATTAGATGATGATGCTAATGGTAATGTTGATATTACCGAAAGTGATGAATTTTTAAGAGATGAATTACATTATGAGAATGCCAATGATCGTCATAGAAATTTTCACGGTAATGATAAACACATTTCGGTTGATGAATTATGGAGATCATGGAGAGTCTCAGAGGTTCATAATTGGACAGTCGATGAAACTCTTGACTGGTTAAGTACATCATTAGAGTTACCTCAGTATGTGGATATATTTTTAAATCACAAGGTTGATGGAACCACATTACCCCGATTGGCTAATCATCAGTTTATCAGTGCTATTGGAATTAAAGATCCAATTCATCGGCAGAAAATTTCACTCAAAGCAATGGATGTGGTACTTTTTGGTCCTCCCAAGATGCACAATTACGTTAAGGATATTATTCTTGTGATTAGTTGTATAATTGCAATCGGTGGTCTTTGGCATGGGGTGATTACTAATCGATACTCACGGAAACATTTACAGAAAATGTTGAAAGACATGGATTCATTGCAAAAGGCTGAGGAACAGTTACAAGAATTACAAAAAGAACTGGACAATGCTAAAGAAGAGCAAAGAATAGCCACCATGGAGAAAGCTCATCTACAAGAAATTCTGGCCAGTGAAATGGATAATCGAAATTTACAATTACTTCGAGAAGGATCAATTTCCAATATCGATGATATAAATCGTGTCCAAGAATTGGCTGAGGAATTAAAAATTGCCAAAGAGCAATTAACTCGAGCTGAAACAGCTCTAATGAACAAATCTTGGGCTCCACCGCATAAATTACAATTATGGTTACAATATACCCACGAACTTGAACTTCGCCATTACAATTCAAAAAGACAAGCAGCCGAAAGTCAATTAAAAGCTGCCAGAGAAGGGGTAAGTGTACTAGAAAAGAACAATTAAAAATTCTATTCGACAAAAGAAAAAGAAAAACATCAACAAGAGATATAACCTTAATTCTAATTCTAAAACACTATTTTTATTCTTCAAATAAGTTAGATACCATTCTCATGATCATTATCTTCATCATCTTCTCAGTCTAATAATAATTTTTGAAACATTCTCATTCAATTTCTTCAGAGTTGTTATTACCTCTTGAAATTCATCGAATTTTATCCTTTCTCTTTGTTTTCCTCTCTCTCGATCTTTTTCCATGAATTTATCTCTTTTTTCCATGTTATCAAACAAGAAATAATTTTATTCTTTTCTCTCCTTTTTTTTCCTTATTACAGTGTGAGAAATTAAAAAGGAAACGATCAAGCTTTCTAGGATCTTTCAAAGTAGCCCATGGTTCCTCAATAGATGATGTCGATAATCGTATTCACGTGGCAAAAGCCGCTCTCTCCGAAGTAACAAGAGATCTGAGAGAGAGATTATTTAGATGGCAACAAATTGAAGATTTATGTGGTTTCCCAATCGTTGAAAATCGTGGCATCCTCCATATACAGACAGAACTGTATTCATGTTATCCATCACCATCAACAGCCTCATTAGGCTCACCAAGTACTACAACATCGGAAGCACCTTCATTAACCCGCAATAACAGTGACAATACAATCCAAGAACTTGATAACGATACGTTTGATCTAACGAAAAGTAAGTTCAATTTTATCGTCATTTCGTTAATGATGATGTTCATCATCTATCTCCACCCTGTTATTACCACTTTTCCCAAACATCTCACCACCAGCATAATAACAAATCTTTACCAAATGATTAGTATCCTCACATGATCGGTGAAACCCCTTATAACATAATTGCCTGTGATCAATTCCTTGGCATTATTTTCCACCAAAATATTCATCATGATGATCTTGACCTTTTTTTTGTCTATTGTCAACCACTGAGAGATTCTGGTTCTAAAGAAAAAGAGAAAATTTTCTCAGGAGAGAAAAACTTAGTACCTTTTTCTGGCCTTTTCTCAGTTCCCTTGATTCAGAATACTCACAAAAAGAAGAGAAAAAAAAATTCTAACAAAACTGTCAACTCATGTTGATTTTAGAGCTCTTTTTACATTAGATTCTAATTGTTGGCAGACTGATTAAGTTATCAGAGCCAACAATTAAGCGGAAAACCAATTTTCTCTTCCTCTCTTCTTTCATCTCTCTTTCTTTTCTTTCTTTCTTTGCTGTTACTCTTTCACCATGTTACCTAGAAAGAAAAATTCACTCACATACTGAACCATAATCATAATCATAATACATCACACATTTGATAATTTCCAAAATCCATTCACGAAACAATCGTACAACAACAAAATAGAACAAATTTTTCCAATACATAATAATAAGTTAATTGTTTTCTATCGTTACTTGAATATTTATATTCATTTGAATATAAAAGTGACATTTTTGTTGTTATTGTTTCTCTCATTCTAATCAACTTAACTCATTGTTGAAAACGTATTTTGATTGCCAAATTTTAATGCGTTTGCATTTTTGACTCCAGAATGAAAGTTATCATCATGATTTACATGATGATGATAATGATGATCGCTATTGACTCAGGTTTTATCATTACACATTATCCTCTATCAGTTGTCAAGCATCCTCTTCAAGGCTATTTAAATCATTGGAAAAACAGTTAAAACTAATTTATATTTTTCCATTGGAATCAATTTTGTTTTTTTACTAATCATTTCCGACTTTACCTTTATTTTGATATTTTTCTCAATGAAATTGAGATGATTAAACTAATTTCTAGTTTACTCTTAATAACAATAACAATATGACTCTGTAATTTGATAGACACTTTATTGAGACTTGATTAGTAGATTTACTTTTCGATATCAATGTCACAATCATATCTCAATATTGAAGCTTTTTAATTGTGCAGAAAATGCTGAATGAATTTAATCATCAACTACAATTTGTTTTTTTTTTTGAAGGAAATAAGAGTTAGTTAATCAAGAGGAGAGTTAAATTGCAATTTGAACACAACAAAAAAAAATCACTTTACAATCAAGGACAATCAAGGAAAGAGTTAGATAGATGAAGAGGAAAGCAAATTAAATTGTTAATCAATAAACGATGACAAGTTTAACACATTGATTTGATTACAATTAATATTACATATACGGTGAATTAATCAAAATTATACAAAGTTGATGAGTTATTGTCAATTTCATATAATAATTATATTGTTCAGTAATTGTGATTAAGTAATATTGAATAATAGATTCTAATTGTTGGTTGTTAAGTTTTTTCCAATCCCATCAACATTATTAATCCCTTTTTAATCACAATCAAACTTAAATTGATTGCTCATTAATCAAAACAAACTATTAGAATTAAAGTTTTCTGTATTAATTTCATCAACTTTCATCTATCATTAACTGATCAGATTTAATTGTTTACAACTTTTTCTGCTTATTGAGCAATAGGAAATTAAATTTTGTATCATTTGAGTTCATCCAAGTCCAAGTGTAACTAAATCTGATTAGTTAATTGTTCAATTGATTTAATTGCCAAGTTTTGACAATCAATTCAATTTCATATTACTTTTTATTATTAATATTTACTTCTCATAATCAATCTTATTACCGACTTAATTGTTATTAATCAATTAATCATAAATGTATCAATTTCCAATTTGTAGAGTTAATTGATTCAATATCAATCAATATCCTTAATTGTAATTAACTATCTCTCTTGATCATTTATCTGCAAACAATTAGTTGAATGAAACCGAGTTTTCAATTAAGTTTTTTTCCCCAAATCAGATTAAAATTGCTCTTTCTCATCAACACATGATTATCTCTTATTAATCAATCATTCTAATCTCTAATTTCACTATCATTCTTTCACAATTTAGATTCACAATTAAATCGTAGTGTCACACTACGTGGTAAAAGCCAATCATCGGATGTCGCTTCGTTGGTCTCATTATCATCTCAAGTAGCAGCATCATCGACAACTCAACTGGTTCAACGAAATCAAGTTAGGACCAATTTATCTGTTGACAATAATAGTGATTAAACTTAGCCCCTAAACAATTAGCTAAAACAGTAATTAACTGAAAGCTTAAGAAGAAGACACAAGAAAAAGTTAACCAATTGACTAGTTAATTTGTACAATTCTCTTTATTTTTAAACACTTTCAGCAATCAAATAGCTAAATAAGAGTAATGAGAAAAATGTGAACAGCATTTTTTTTAGGTTTTCAGTTTGAAAGGCTTGAAACATTCCAGATTCACATGAGGTTAAATCATTCAAATCATTGGAGATAAAACTCAGATTCCAAGTTGAAATTGAGTATTTTCTAAAATAGGTTGATCATCATGATTGCATTTACTATGCAAATTATCATTCTCTTCACCATGTCACTTTTATACATGGACATCAATTGTGCATCCCCTTTGATTCCGCATCAATCCATGTCCATTTGAAAAGCATCCACCATCCGTCCAAACCACAATCAATCCTCATCATCAGCATCATCATAATCATCATTATCTTCTTCCTCCTCTGTTAATTTCAATGTTTTGTTTTTCTTACAACTTGTTTGGGACTTAATATTATCCAATCCAATGGATTAATCAACCTGTTAACCAAATATCATTGCTAATCGTTTGTTAATGTTAATTAATCAACTTGATATGTTGGTTAAAAGGCTAATTAGCTTTTCAATTATTCTCATTAGGCTTCCAGTCATATGTTTTGTTTGTTGTTGTTATCATTGATTACTTTGATCGACAATCTCTCCATGACCTGATAAATGTATATCTCAAATAATGATAGTTATAGTTAATCACATCTATTCATTAACAGTTCATATGTTGGTTAATTATTATCACTATCATTATGGATGATCAATGTTGAGTAATTTACTTATCTCTCTCTCTCTCTCTCTCTCTCTCTCTCTCTCTGTGTATCTTTTTTGTGCTCTGATTTCAGTTGTTTGCCAAATGTTATCAAGGTTATCCCATTAGTACATGATGATTTGTTTACCATGATAATATTAGTTTGAATTTTTTATATTTATACCAATGAGCATAATGATGATGATTATTATTTGATTGTTATCTTATTAACGAGTCATAATTTTCATGATACTCATAAATGTTCAGAAAAGTTTGATAGATCTGATTAATTTCAAGTTAATTCAAATTCAATTACTCAGTTTCCGTTTGTATTTATAAATTTTGTTGTCAACAGTTTATCCTTTTTTTTGTATTATTATTGATCAAATTTAGTCTCAACCGACTTACTATTGGAAGGACAATCTCTTTGATTATAATTAACTTTCAATAGCAATCAATTTAATTCAATAATATGAAAAATCATCTTGTTCCACAATCAACTTTAATCATCCTCCAATCCATTAGAATCAGAATCAATTCTTAATAACAACAACATCACATTTAACTTGAAGTTTTCATCATTTAATTGTCATTTTATCTTAGCATTGATTGAGATTAACCAATCACCTTGACTATTACTACATTAGCAACAATATCTGATTAACTAAAACAATTTAATTAATTAATTAACTGAAGCAAAACTTGATTTCAACCTTTTTTGTTTCTCTCCCATTTCAATGAAATGATTTGCTTTTGAAAAGCATGAAAAAACCTTCACAATTAATTATGATTATGATTATTATTATTTAATTTACGTCTATGATTTAAACAATTATCTGATTCCTTATCCTTTAATTTTGATTAAACGATTGACATTTTTACGAGAAAATTAAAAACTATCAATCAAAACAATCAAATTATTTCACCTTTACCAAAACGAAAACCTCAAATTGACACTTTCCAATCAATCGTTTGTAATAATTAAAACTGAATGAAATCGAGAAATTTAATTGTTACAATTAAGAGAGAAAGACAATTAACTAAATCATATTGGTCTCATTCATTTTAATATCATGATTAAAGTTACATATCAGTTTGTTGGGTTAAGATTCAATCAAGAGTTGTAACAATTCAATTTGCGATTCATGATTAACTAATTATTTTTTTCTCCTCAATTTAATTACAGATTCAAAATGGATCAGTTCACATATATAATGGTGGAAATGATGAAAATCATTCATCAAGTTCAAGTAACAATGGTGAAGATGAGGAATCAAAACAAATTAATCACATTAGACCAACATTCGTCCTTGGTGATTGGTAAATTACTTTTTCTCATACTAAATTAACTTGATCATTTCCTCTCCTATCCAACAATTAACCAATTAGCTTTGTTATTCAATTTATTTCTCTACAATAATAAGTGGAAACAATTTATTTTAAGTTATTGCTAATTACTCGCTATTAATGCTTAGAATAAGTGAAATTTTTTCCCTCATCAAATCTCATGATTAACTCAGAGAATTGAATTGAAATCTTGTTGATCATCCCCAAAGGATCATTAACATTAACAGTCTATCATTATTATCAACAGAGAGAGAGAGAGAGAGAGAGAGAGAGATTCGCAATCAATTAATTACCTTTAATCTAAAAAACAGATTAGCCAATAATCAATAACGACTATCGATTGTTTCCATTTTCATAATCACTATTAGCGAATTGATTTGAATCAGTTAATTAATATATTGAATTTTTTTCTTGTTCTTATTACAGTCCAACTATTCCTGAGAATAGTTTATACAATAATTCAAGCAAAGGAGGAGGACGAATTGGTAATTTTAGTGAGAGAAGACGAAAAGAAAGTGTTTTCAGTAATAGTAATCAAGAATTATCTAATCAACCGTCGACAATTAACTTAAATGGTCAAAATAATAATTCCGCTTATTTGAAACATCGGACATTCACTCGAATCGCGAGTTTGGATGAGTTTGTTAATCTTGGTGACATTGATTCAGTTAGAGGATTAACAGAATCACCGCCATCCTCATCACCTCAACCACCTAATACAACCATTAATAACAACAATCAAGCATCTACATTGGGTGAATTAACATCAAGTAGTAACAATTTAGAGGAGAAAGGTTATTCATCTGGAAGTGAAACACCACCAATTAAGAAAAAATCGTCAGGATCATCAAAAGGAATGAAATTTTTTAGTAAATTGCGTAAAAGAAAATCTTTACCAGAGAAAGAATTTACTAATTTAGTTCAAGCTAATTTACATATAGATTAATTATATTCTAAAACAAAAGTCATTGTAATCATCATCTTCATCGATTGCTCTCTCAGTCCAATCCCAGGTCATTTTACTCTCTCTCTCTCTCTCTCTCTCTCTTGATTAAATCACTTCCAACAATTAACCTTAGCATTCCGAGCTGAGAAAGTTAATCTAACTTAATCTTTTTTTTTTGATCTTGATTCACAATCAACAATTAACTCTGTCTCTCCCTCTCTCATAATGTATTATTATCATTACTATTATTTAATTGAGTTTTAATCAATTTAATAATATAATTTATATATCTGAAAACTCAATTCTAATAATTTTAGAGCAATAATTAATTAATTAATGAATTACTTTTGAGAAACAAATAGAAAGATCAATCAAATACCATGAAATACCCAAAGATGGTTTAATTAAATTGCTTCCAAGGTAATTAATTGTTACAACATTCTCTTAATTAACCTGATTAAGACGAGGAGAAAGGGAAAACAAAAGAAACGAAAAGTAAAGTTTTCTGATTGAAGATGCATTTAAATTGCCAAACCCAAATACTAAAAACTACCAAGCAAGTTTTGTTTTTATCTGTGATACAATTACGACAATTAACTAACAATTTACTGCAATCAACCATTTGGCTACAATATTTACCAATTAATTGTCTCAATTTGATTTGTTTAACAACAACGATGACTTTGAAACTTAATCACGAACACCGAACATCAATTTAACAATAGAAATAACAATGAAACAATTAAGAGACTTCGAGAAAACAAATTTTGTGATTAATTAACTTTAATTAACAACAATTGATATTCCTTTTCTTATATTCTCAATTTATCTCGTACCCCTTAGAACTGATTTAACTAATTACTGATTTAATCTATTGAAAGTATTGTCTTATTATCCATGTGGATATAAAATGAACTGATCATGATTAGCAAATCACCTTTAAATTGTTGATCAAAATTCATTTAAACAGAAAACTTTTAAAACTCTGTACTTTTAACTTGATTTTACAATTAAAATTAATTATATTATTATTATTGTTATATGTTATTAATACTATCAATTCCCATTTGATATCTAATTGTTTAAACATAATCAGAATATCGGTTACATAAAATCCTTAATTATCTATGTTATTACTTTAATTCAATGGAATCACTTAAATGTTGAATGATAACATAACAGATTACAGGGTGTTTTTTAATGGACTCTGAATGAATTTGAATTGTGTATAAGAAAAACAGAATCATGTTAACTGATTACAGGCAATTATTGTTAATCCAACAAATCAATTTGAATATAAAGTGTGTCCACTCACAATCAACACCATCAAAGTCTCTGAAGGTAGGAACAAGAGGAGCTTATGACTCGAAATCAATTTCTTATCCATAAACTTATTGACCAATTTTCGAAACTATTGTTTATATTTTGTTGTCTCTTATTTTCTTAATTATTTTTGACACCAATCAACATCAATTCCATCAATCATCCCTTGAAAAAAATTCTTTTTTGTTAATTACTCTTTGCAATTTATCTTTTTCTAATTTATCTAATTCTTGTAAATTGTTCTTATATTTCCATGATGATGATGAATGTTAGAGGTTAACCATTTCAAGTTGAACAAGTATACCAATTCAGGAGAGAGAGAGAGAGAGAGAAGAAATAAGAAAGAGAAGAAAGAAGAGAGAAAGAGGAGAGAAAGAGAAAAAGAAGATAAATTTAAAGATAAGTCGAAAAGAAGAAAAAAATCCAAACGAAAAAGTAGCAACACCGAACGTTAGGTGTCGCTCTTTCTGAACATTTTTTATTCCTTTTTCTCTCTCTCTCTTTCTCTCATTCTGGTTCCAATTCCAATGTTATTATCATTCCCTTCCCAGTACATATATTTATCTTTGTTATTATTATTATTATGAGTTTTCTTTTCTCCCTGTTATTTTGAGCTTCTCAGGTCAACTGAATGAAAGGTTATTCTTTGAGTGGAAACCTTTTATCTCTCTCTCTCTCTCTTTTTTCTCCTCTCCATGCTGATGTTTTCCTCTGATAATTTATCATCAAAATCTATTGTTATTTACCTTTTACAATTCCCTTTATACTTTTAATCCACTTGCAACTATTATTATTATTCTCTAACAGTTACACACCTTTTCTTTTTTATATCATCTCAATCAGAATCGAACATGAATTGTGAGCAAAAATTAAGAATCTCCGTTGATATTTTCATGGAAATTGTTTCCAATAATATCTCTGAGTTTTTCCATCCATAGTAAATATCATTTCTGTCTCATTTCCTGGTTTTATTTGTGCTCTCTCTCTCTCTGTGACAATTTTCTCAAGTGCGATGTTTTCATCTAATATTTACTTATGTCGATCCATTTACTCCTTTGTTTCCTGGTGTATTCCAAGTGATTTGCATTGTTTCATTTAATTGTATCACTCAAGTCAATCAACTGTGAAAAAAATTGCTCGCAGATATAAATCTTAATTGTGTTGGCAAGGAAAAGAAACCAAAGTGAATCGTTTAATGAAATAACTAATTGTTTTCATTTTTTGGTGGAAAAAAAAATTCTTATTTACTCTCATTATTTATTTACCTGAATGAAAACGAGATGATGATAAGAATTGAATTTTGTATCTATTCTGGAGCAACGATTGTCTCATGTTAAATACTAAAATTGGTCTTAATCGGGTTGATGGTGAAGGGACCAATAATCGAGTGGCGAGTGGACTTAATGGTGGAGGATTCGGTCTATTTGAAGGACCTCCATCTCCCTCACCATCACCCAATTTGATGCGAAATCGATCAACATCCGTTCAACACCAAACCATCCCGGAAACAACGACTTCTAACCATTCAAGTTCATTTTATTATCATCAATATTATCAACAATTTCACCCACCGGCCTCACCATCATTTACTTATCAACATCCTCATGTCCAGAAACATTTCACATTTAACACTGAAGCCATAGATGATTATCAAGAATCTCGAAACAATAAGTCCAATAATTATTATGATGATCGACAATGGGAACGTAAATACTCAATTTCTTCCGAAACCAATGGTCAATCATCACCACCATCAGGGGAAATCGATATCAATGATATTCCTGGTCCGTCAAAAATACAAACTAACGAATCGTCCAACAGTAACAATAATAATAATAATAATTCTAATAATAATAATACTTCTAATGAGGGAACAGCGACTTCACGTTGTTTGGCCTTAGAACAGGCTTATGTTCATGATGTTTACAGTTCGATTGCTCATGAATGTGGTGCCTGTTCACCAGTTCGATCACATATCAAGGAATTTCTTTACGATGAATTTGAATTTGGAAGCCTGGTAATGGATGTTGGTTGTGGCGATGGTAAATATCTTAATCTTAAATCTGATATTTTCACCTTGGGAATGGAAAAGTGTCCCGATTGGTTTAACAAGGAAAACATGGTAAACACAACGGTAAATAATTCACCGAACATGTCTGACCTAATGGTTGCCGATGTGATCTACCTTCCGGTGAGAGATGAATTTTTCGATGGTGTCCTTTGTTGTGGAGTCTTACATCATATATCAACCACTGATCGTCGAGTCTCAGCAATTAAGGAGATGTGCCGAGTGATTAAAATCGGAGGTAAATTGTTAATAACCGTTTGGGCCTTCGAGGGTCGAGAGGTAAGTTGCTTTTTTTTCTGTCCATTCGAATAAATTTCATCATAATTATAAGTCCACAATTGATTGTTATTGCAAATCTTTAATTATATAATAATTCATAATGTTCATATTGATTGGGATTAATTAATATTCATCCATAGACTGATAATCTAAAATGATTATCTAATTGTCAACAGTTTTACCTTTAAGAATTGAGAATCTATTTTGGTTGAAAAAAGAAAGCTTGTCATCTTTCAATTCATTGGATTCAATTGAATTAAATTTGATTCTGATTCTAAATTGTCAATAGAAACTAAATTATAAAATTTAACATGATCACAATTAACTTAATCATCATTTCTCTTTATCCTTTTATCATCTTTGATTAATCTTCCTCTTGTTGATCGTTTTTCGCCTCATCTTCCTTCTTGTCTATCAAATCAAGTGCTGATTGTTGACTAACAATTTAATTTTCTATTGTAATTTACTCTAAATCAACTTAATTCTCACTTTCCTTCGTTGATTTAGTTTAACAATCTATTAGTTGGTGACAACAGGGAAAAAATTATTTACACTTTCATATGATATTACATCCGTTTATTATACTAATTGTGTTAATCAATGTTCAGTAAATTGTTCAACCAGAAATCATAAAATTGTCTCTAATCATCATCATCATCATCATAATCTTAATTACTATCAACCTAAAATCAAATTGATTTAGTGATTCAAATGATTCTCAATGAAACCATTCTCACCACAATTAACTAATGACAACCTTAATTATTTGGGGTTGTTGTTGTTGTCCAAACAAATTAGACTTTTTTTACAATCAAAGATCAACTAATTGTTGAGAGAAAAACAAAATTGATAATTTGTTAGTGTTTAGAATAGATTAACTAATTGAGAGTTTAAATTGTGTAAAATCAACAACAATTTACCAAAAGAAAAATAAAATGAGTGATTCAAATGTAACAACAGAATTAAAAAATAATTCATCCGATTTATCGTTAATCACTTCAAATACAATTACTACAACAACAACAACAACATCAACATCTAATTTTATTGATGAAACAATTGAAGATAACAATTTATTAATGATCGACTCTAAATCATGTTTACCACCAACACCATTAAACTCACGGCCTCCCAATGGTTACCCAAAGGGTTTACTACCCACCGCCACCTCTAGTTTAACTTCAACCATTACGTTGGCCACCCTGTTTGACGATTCATTGTTACCCACCACACCATCACCTCCACCACCACCACCTCCGCCTTCATCACCAGCCCACCGTCAGTCACCTTATATAACCACAAGTAATTCATCATCAATCTATTCTCACCTTTATAATCACAATCAACAATATTCAACACCAATAGTAACCAACTTGTCAACATCATCCAGTAATTATAATCAACCTTCCTCTCCCCGATGTAGCGGTGGAAAATTTTGGAGATTTTTCCGCTCCTCATCACCTAATCGACATCGACAACGAGTTGTATTCAAAAATGGTGGAATTAACCTTTGCAAGGAACATATTGAGAAACGATCTCGACGTTACCTTCAAGATACATTTACCACAATGGTTGACCTTCGTTGGCGATACAATCTTCTAGTTTTCACCTTGGGTTTCGTCCTCTCTTGGCTTTTATTTGCTTCCATTTGGTATGTGGTGGCCTATTTTCACGATGACCTGGGTGAAAGTGTACCTCATGAAAGGTGTGTCATCGGTGTTAATTCATTTATTACCGCTTTCCTTTTCTCCTTTGAATCGCAACACACCATTGGCTTTGGTAACCGTTATCCCCATGAAAATTGTGTCGAGGGAATATTTTTCATGTGTTTCCAGTCAATTTTTGGAGTGATGATTGAGTGTTTTGTGGTTGGCTTTGTGTTTGCCAAACTTTCCAGGCCAAAGAAACGCTCACAGACCCTTATCTTCAGCCGAAACGCTGTTGTCAATGTACGAGATGGTTCACTTTGCCTGGTATTTCGTGTAGGTGATGTTCGTGCTCGATCTTACATTATTGGTGCTTCAGTGTCCGCTCTACTTATAAGCCGAAAAATATCCTCAGAGGGTGAAATTTTACCCTATTATCATGAATCTCTGAAAGTTCATTTTGATTCTTGTGGAACATCAGTTTTCCTTGTATGGCCTGCGACAATCTACCATGTTATTGATGAAACCTCACCTTTTTACTCAATGGATCCTGAAGCTTTAGCCAATAGTCAGTTTGAAATAGTAGCCATGTTGAAGGGGACCGTTGAATCGACTGGACAAACAATTGAAGCGAGAACCTCATACCTACCCGAGGAAATTACTTGGGGTCGACGATTCGAAAGGCTAATCGATTTCCAAACCCAATCAGGAGTTTATCGAGTTGATTACAGTAAATTTGATTCTACCTATGAAATATCAACTCCTAAAATATCAGCTCGACAATTTGATCAACAACAACAGCAACACCAACAACAACAACAACAACCATCCTATCCAAATAATCAGCAACAACAACAACAATTTAGCCAACAACTTCAACGTACAAGGCGATCAGTTGCTTGGAACCAAATAGAAGATCATAATCGGAATAAAGTTGTTGATTAATATAAATGTTTAATTGTTGGTTAGTTTTTTTCTCTGTGCTTCTTATTACAGGTTAATACACTTAAATGATTACAGAATCAAATCAAAAACGGAAAGAGTAGATGAGATGATGATGATGATCTGATTGTGTCGATTTATTTTTAACTAAATGGTAACTTTTCATGTTACTGTTACATTCAATCAAAATGAACTAATTTAATTAAACATAATCAATGAGGGAGAGAGATAGAAAACCTTTATCATCATCATCATTTCCTCTTTCTTTTCTTTCACATAATAGATTTCATCCTAATACAACTAATCATCATTAAACTAATCTCTCTCTCTCTCTCTCTCTCTCTCTCTCTCTCTCTCTCTCTCTCATTGTCAATCTACAATCAAAATATGAAAATTGATTGCCAATGATGATGATTACGATTACTTTTGACAGGAAAACTGTAAATTATATCAAATGGTTGAGGGTTGATAATATTTAAGTGATGATGAAAAGAGAAGATGATTTTATCATCATCATAATCAACTAAATGATGAGGATTAGATGATTAATAATAATATGGAATCAAAAAGTGACCTGAAAACCAATGGCCTTGAAACCAGATCATTGTTGTCAATTAATTAACAATAATAGTAAATAAGACTAATAATCATCAACTAATTTGCTATAATAATAATGAAATTACAATTTATTATCATTTGTAAAATTAAATTAATAAATACAGTATATTATATATTGTATTAAATTGTTACCACAATTCAATTCAATCTGTGAAAAAAAAATTGATCCAAATAATTAATTAGCTAATATTGGGCAATTAATTATCATTAAATTTAACTTTTCCTTTCTTATTAACAATCAATTTGACCCAAATCAATGTTAACAATTTACAAGTATTAATAACTTTCACTATTAATACATTTGTACATTGATACCCTGGGATTAATCATATTGAATTAAGGTAATCACTATTGAACAATTTTTACATAATTTGAAAATAAATTATCATGATTAAATTAGATTGTGATTAGATGAGTGAAAAAATAATCATAATCCATTGGAAGCTCTTGATTTAATGTAATTCCTGTCAATTTTAACATGAATTTAATAAGAATCAATAACAAATCCAATGATGGATGATAGATTTACTATTTTTTTCATATTCTTATCCTCAATCAATCTCAATTCAATAATAGACAAAATCTAATTACAATATAATCCTGGTATCTCTACTTTGATTGCAATTAAAACCCTTTCACAATTAATTTGCCATAGTACTTGAAGTAATTGTCTCAGCAATTATATCAACAATACCTTTAGTTTCAAGAGTATTCATTTTTAATTAGACTTGTCAACCATAATCATGATTACAGTTTTTTACCCAAATTATTTAAACATTAACCAAATTAAATTCCCAGTGAAAGCTTAATTGGTTAAGACATTTCTATTATATATATTATTCAGAGAATTATGAATTACTGATTAATATAAAATTTGGAAAAAAGGAAAATGTGTATTCATAGAAATGTTCAGATGAATAATGAGTAATACACATTAGCATGATGAACAATTTCATGAGCAATTTCATCAAATTTCCGCTTCCTAACTGAACGGATGTATTACTTTTACTACAATTGTAATACTAATAATATAAAGTAAATCAATGATTAAACCAATTGGTCAATCATTACCTTCATTGACCTTTATCATAGTATTTATATTGTACACATAATGATAGTTATTATTATCGTTAGATTATTGATAATTTTTATCGTACATAAGTTTCATGATAAATTCACACATCATGTTGATGACAAACGATATGATTATCATGTAATAATAATAAAAAACTAGATGTTATTGTTTATTGTTGCTGTTGGTTCAATAAAATTGTGATATACTAATGATTGATTATATTAACAGATTCATCCTGATATTATATCAACGTCTTTCTTAATATTATTGATCATCTATTGAGAATTGAAGATCTGAATAATCTGAATGATTTATCGATGATCAATTAATCATTCCAACACCATGATGATGTTAATAATGACAGAGTTGATGATGAGGAAAGTGATACAATCAATATTGCAAAGAAAAACAAAACTTTCATCATAGATTATGAATCGTTGAAAGTTAATTGTTGTACTCAATCAAAATGAACTTACCATGAATTTGAAATTTAATTAACTTTTCTTTGGAATGGAAAAAAAATTGAATCTCTATAAATATCATCCATGGTAAATTCCGTATCAAATTAACTTCACCAATCAACTGATTTGATATGATCACAATGGGAACATCAATGGGTCCTTTTCTTGATTGGATAGTATTTCAATCATCTTGATAATATTAATTTTTCAAGATTTAATCAATAATCCAATCACTAATATAATAATTGAGTCTCTCTCTCTCTCTTTAAAATCAATATAATAAAAAAATGAGACAACAATCAACAATTAGTTTACTAATGGTTGATCCATCAGTTGGATTTTTAAACCATCAAATTGTGTGATAGTTTAGTATCAATCTGATTGATTGGTAATCACCATGAGATTATCTATCAGTAGATATAAGTTCATCTCAATTTCCAAGTATTTGTTTTCCTTATTCTGTTTTCTTGGTTGTTCATTTCAACTTTATCATATAACCAAAGTTTACCTAAGATATGAGGTAATTACCGAGATTGTAATTGCACTTCCTCGTAAATTGACAATTCCTGATATAACAATTTGCGTTGAAGACGCACAATTTATAAATTTAACTAAATTGGTTCACTGTCATCCTGATTTGGTCCAGCAAATGATACAATATGATAGGACTGTGAATAAAAACAATGTCAATGATATAAGAAAAGTTAATTCATCGGTTATAACTCATTTTGTCTTATCCAATTTGAGAATCAATGAAACTTATCATCTACTTTATCCCGAATCGTACCTGATTAAATCATGGGAAATCGGAGCTAAACAGATAAACAATAATTCAGCACTTGAAGAGCAAGGATGTAGGATGAGAGGTCGTTTCAAAGATCTTGGATTTTGTATAACAATCGGATGTTCTGGTACAACTGAACAATCATTCAGTGAATTTGATTATCTTCGTTCGAGCCTGGAAAGGCCAATGTTTGCCGTTTATCTAAATAGTAAAGCGATAAAAAGTATTCCCAATCTATATGTTGCTCTGATTAAAAACACTTCGTTACCCCGAGGGAATAAGATTAAGTTCATTACACTTAATATGGAAAAAGAGCCAAGAAAATATCCAATAAGTTATCACATTTTCCGTTCCAATTTACTACCACCACCTTATTCAACTGAATGTGAAGACTATTCATCGGATAAATATGATTCCATGGAACATGCTAGAGAACTTTGTCTAACCAATGCAACATTGGAACGTTTTAATATGCCCTTTCCAAAAGTTCTGTCACCACCTCATTGGGAATATTATTTCGGTTATAAACTGATGAACTTGGCTCGGAAAAATGTGACCATTCAACAAGAACTTGATTGGGTCACTTGGTTTTGTATCGGTCAGACCAATAAACCTCATTGTCATGATACCTTTTACATTACCACATCAACCGATTCGGAGAAAATATCAAATCAAGATTCATATATTGACCTGAGAATGCCCGTTGAACCTTACATGACCACGACCTGTCATCCTAAACAATCATTACCCGAATACCTGATTTATGCTGGTTCAGTTTTGGGTACTTGGTTTGGGTTTAATTTTGCATTCTCAGTTCCCATGATTGTTGATTACTTTCACAAATTCACTTCTAATCATATTGGATCATCAAAAGTCAAAATTGATCGAGTTGAAAATTCAAATGTAATCAAAACTTTCAATGAACTGATCAACAACTTGCCTGGAAAATTCAATCCCCTGGTATCAGTTAATCATCAAGAAATTGGTATCGCTACTAATCAACCTCGACTAATCAAACCTAAACCATTACTAACCAATAAACTTTGGTTAAATTATCATGATTATTATTCCCAACGTAAATTGAGAAATTTATATTATTAATTTGGTGGTAGTTGAGTAATAAAAAAGTTCTGTCTTTGGTGATGATTATCATGATTAATTCATGATACATGCTGCTTATCATTCATGTTAAGGTGTTGTTGGTATATAATATAATTTCAATTGAATTAACAACTCACTAATTTACATGAGCAATTATTTTCTCATATGTTAAATTAGCTGAGTAATTCATTTAAATTGTTTACACATTCAACCTAAATTATAATCTAAGTTAATTATCTTATGCAATTAATTTTATCTCCAAAATATAGTAATTGCAATTCAAATTAAGCTAATTTAAAACTATTGATTTTTGATTTAATCGTCAACACAATTGATTAATTGACAAGTATCACTTTTCAAATTTAATTCAACTGATTAAGAAAGGATTGAATAATCATGCTGATTAATTTACAAATTGTCGTTAAATGTTTCAACGTTTATTCAATTAGATTATATAATAATTGTAGTATCATGTCCACTAATTGTTGTTAATCAATTGACATTAATTTAATTCACAATTGAATCTGAAAGAAGCCAATTAATTGATATCATAATTGTCTTGTAACAAAAAGAAACCTCAATTTGATTAACTGTTATTATCAGTAAATCATGAATGAAACTTTTTATTAATTAATAAAGAGCTACGGTTCATTCATTAATTGTTACATTTGTAAATTGTCCAACTTGAAGCCATTGAAATTGAATGAGATCAAATTATAACAATTATCAATAATTAATGATAAAATTTTAATAGTGATCATGTTTATGAATTAATAATAATCTTCATGTTGTTAATTTGTCTGTAATCATCAATGGATAACAAAAAGTAATCAAGTTAAAATGTTTTAAATACGTGACAATTTAGTTTCAATAGTAAATCGTTAATATTTTACTCAAATGCAATTACAATTTCAATTGTTTCAAAATGAAAATATTGATCGTTAGACAATCAATTAAATTATTATCATTTTTAAATTGTGATGATCATTTGATTGTCAATGTTGAAAACAGATTTCACCTTAATTGTTACGTTCATTTTACTCATTTCCTATTTTTTCTGTGACAATATTAATACACAACAAACAAAATCAATCAACAACCTTAATAATAAACAAAATAACCTGACCAACTAAATAGTAATTGATTTTATTTTGATTGATTAACCTCCATTGTTGGTTGATTGATTAACTTTCTTGTAATAATCATGTCAACTGGAATAATTAAGACACAACAACCACATTGACCAGATTGGAACTTATTTTTAGGTTTATTCTTGATAATTATTAGAGGTTTTGTTAAGACTAATTGTAATTACTCTGGTAAATAATTAGTTTTTAGGTTACTGGTTCAATTGTAATTATTGTTGATTGATCATCAAGATCATTCATAAACAAAACTACTCTGATCATCATCAGTAAACAATAATCAGTTAGGATTAGTTTTTTTTACCGTTAATCTGTCTAATCCAATCTGAGGCAATCATAATGGACAATAAATGTTGATCATGGTTAACAATTTACTAATGAAACTTGATGGTACAATGGAAATGAAAACAAGATCTGGTTTCATCCATAGATCTCATCTTACCATTGAATTTAATCAATATTACAAAACAATTAGAGGTAATTCTGGTCAGAAATAAATCCAATTTAAATGACAATTTTCCAGTGGCAAGTAAACCAAGACTAACATGGGTAACAATCAATTGACAAGCTCCAAGCAATTTATTTCCTTGAAAATTGATGATAAACATTTTACATTTTAATATTTTTGCATATAAATAATTTTGTTTTGTTCATGTCTTTTTTTGGTTGATTGATGATCAACAATTTAAATTGTATATTAGTTGGAATCACAAGATGTACTGATCAAATGGAATTCATCTTCTAAACGTAATCGTGATCGTTATGGTAATTCAGGAGGTGGTGATCAATCAAGTGATGAATCAACGTCCAGTTGTTCAACCAGTTCAACGACAACCACCAATTATGTAAATCGTAAGGCAGCTTATGAATCATGTAATTCACCCACCTCACAATTTGGTACATGCTATTCATTTGTGCGTAAAGCTTTACAACGGTTTAGTTTATCCTCGAATACATTTTATCATTCACCAAGGAGAGCATCTAAATCGTCAACTAATCGTGATACCACTTCAACCTCTGGATTTGCGACACTTGAAGATATGCCCATTGAATTGAGAAATATTGAAGAGAAAAAATCAGCTGATCCATTTGGCTCAGGTTCACCTGAGATGGTTAATAATGTTCATGGAGGCGGTGGGAGTGGTACAAGTGGCTCACATGGAGGTGACCCATCAACTGGACCGTCCAAGGGATTTCCTTTACTTGGCCAAAGAGCTGGCTCACTATTTCATCTGTCACATAATCATAATCATCCAATCAATGGACCATTGAGTGCCTCAGCATCCGTTTCGATTCCAGGTAATCCAGTTACCCATGGATCTACAAATTCCCTTTTAACATCAACTCCAACAACAATTAAGACCAATTTAAATGTCAATACGAACGATGGACCATCAACTGCACCAGTTTCTCGTCAGAACAGTTTAACTTCAATCATCGGCGGTAAAGTTACTACTAGACGACATTCACTTTTCAATATGATTCGTAATTCGATAACCAAACCAATAAGAAAAACGGTCGGAAAAGGTTCTAAGTCGAAAGAATCATCTCCAATCAACTCGACGACAGCTTCTCCTCAACATCGACCGGTCAAAAATAAATTGACCAAAGGATCATCTTCGTCGACAACCACAACCTCATCATCGACTGGGGTCAAACTTAATGGTTTCCTATCTCAGCATCGCTTTAGTCTTCCAGCTAACTTGAGACGATCATCAAATCATAAATCATCACCATCTAAGGCTAACAATCAATTTTCAAAAGCTAAATCCACTTCGATCAATAATAATAATAATAACTGTGGCAATAATGGTAAACATAAAATGGACAGTCTAAGTTTAGATGACCCCAGAGGTCATTTATTATCAAGCCAAGAATCAACTGAAGCTTCATATGAATTCAATGCTGATACTCAAAAGGATTCAATTGATCATTCAGCTACTGATGGGAGTAAATCGGCTTCAGGATTGGCGGGTTGTAGTCTTGATGAATCAATTGTAGCTTCGGTTGGAGATAATGACGGTGATGATGAAGAGGAGGATGCTGGTCCTAGCGAAGGAGATGGGAAAAGGCCAGAGACTATTGAAGAGGGAGATGACATGTTAATGATGATTAGAACATCAGTGACCGCAACAATCGCCGGTGGGAACAGTAAACGAAAACGTGAAGCTTGGGGTAAAATATTGCAAAAATCTCTGTCTTCCGATTCTCTGGAATCAAAACAATCAAAACAATCGCGACAACAATCAACCGGAACTGAGGCTGGAACCATAACAACTACTACAACCAATACAGCAACAACAACCACCACAAATACAGCCTCGGGCACATCCAATTCCGCTTCAACATCAGAAAGTTCATCTAAATTGGTTGCATATTATTCAATGCCAGAGCTTAGGCTACTGATGGCAGGCGATGAAGACGAAGATAACTTCGATGAATGTGGACTTAGAAATATAGTTAATCGTAATAAGCCTCGTTTATCAGAAATTCATCCAATTACTTTTCTTAATTCAATGGGAACTGGTCGACGGGAATCAAAAGGTTCAGTGATTCGTAATGATTCACAGGATACACAAAACGCACTCGAAGATACTTTTGATCATTCAATCCTTGAACTCGCCACCATTAGTTGCACATCATCAGGAAGCGGTGGTAAAGGCGATGAACCTCAACCACCCCCTCCTCTTGTACCATCTTCAGTTCCCGCCGTTTATCCTCCTTCCATGATTCCAGTTACCCTGATTAATAAGTCATCTTTTGAAGAGTCTTCGCCCAACTCTCGTCCACCATCATCGACATCATTAAAGGAGCGCCTTCAATTGAATCTTCCAAGTTCATCGGCTCGATCACCTTCTGAGTGCTCATCAACTGAAGGTTATTATTACGATAAAATGGACAAAGATGGTAAAACAGTTCGATCTTTATCGGTCGAATATAAACCGGCCATTTGTTCATCATATCGACAGGGTTTGCGAAGATTTTCAGCTTCGCCGTCACTTCTTGTATCTAAGCCTTTCTTTCAATTGGCACCTCATACTTCTGGTCACGAAACACACCCAAGTGTCGATTCTGAGGAGTCTTTTGTGACCATTATTCCAGCCGGAAGGTCATGTCGAACTGGAAGTGGAACCATTGAGGCTTCGTTAGGAGATGAAGTTGATTCCTTTATGGACGATGTTATTTTAGACATTGATGCAACTTCCTTAGGGTCAACAGAAGAGGACGAAGCCTTGTGTGAACAATTAACTCGTCCATTTGTTACCGTTGATACGGTTGGCATATTAGGTCGAGCTTCTGTTCACCGGACTAGCTCATTAGGACCAAGTTCACCTCGTTTACTTAACTCAAGTGGTACCAATAGTATAGCCAATCTCAGTAGCAGTGGAGTGTCTCCATGTCCACCCTTACATGTTACCCCATCATCATCAGCTGTTTGTAGTTCTAGTGGTCAAGCTGATGTATCTGCAACACCTCGAGCAAGTAGTGGCGGTGGTACTGCAGGCGGAGGTGAATCAGATGATCTAGCGAGTATCTCAACAGCAACAACTAAATCAATTCCTTCACTTGAATCAAGTCTAAAAGGTAGAGAGGAAGAAGATGAAGTCGATGCAGATTGTATTGAGGAAGAGGATGGAATAATTATCGACAATGACCATTCAGATGAGATTAAATCGAATGGGTCAACTCCTTCTCCACCCGCTAATCTTCATCGATATTTTCACCTTTTTAAATGCGGTGAATTGGAAGAGGTAATTGAACAGAATGTTGAAAATCTTCATGTAGTCAAATCTTATTACAGTGAACACGCCAATTCTTGGTGTGTAGTAGCCGAAAAGGTCAGAGTTTGGACCATCTAAATCGATAATCACTTATCGAATCAACTAATTGTTGTAAAATCGTCGTCATTTACCATTGTCTTTGTTCATACCAATACTTTTACCTATCCTAATATTATTTGGGATTTTAATTATTTCACATGGTTAATGAGGCACAATTTTCATTCATAACAAACAGGCAACAATTGAATTAAAACTAAATCTCCAATCTTTCAATATAATCCTTTGATATTTATCATCAATCAATTACTATTAATAAATTAATTTACTATTCAGATAAAATTGTTACTTTGAAAACTTAACAAATGAAAAAACATTAACAATTAATGTAAACATTTCTTAACCATTAATATAAATGAATGTACAATGAAATCAATTGAAAATCTCAATCGTTGGCAACCTAATCAACTAACAATCAATCCTGGTAATCATTTCATTAAACCAATGGATATTTAATTGCTTTTCTCATTTACAATTTAATTGCTATCATTGTAAAACTTGACTATTTGTAATATTAATAATGTTAAACATTGAAATAAAAACACTTACGAGTTATTATCAAGTTGATTACAATTAAATTAGCATTTCAAACAGAAATGAAAATGAGAATCAGGTCCAGTTGAGTTCGTTTTCAGATCATAATTTAGGCTCGATTATTGTGACATTGTCGAGAGAATCCAAGTCGAAATTGATAAGTCACAATTAAAATGTCGAAACCTCTAAATCGAGTCAATGACAATCAGATAAATGAACGATTATCGCTCAATTAAAATACCAGAGAATCATAAAAATCGGACAATCTAATGAGATTAAACTAATTACAACCCTCTCATTATAATCATCTAATTAACAGTTATCAGGTATCATCATTGAAGATTATCTTGTTCAATCATAATTAACCAGAGAGAACATGAAAAAAAAACTTAATTACTCCACTAATCAGTTACCTCCTTAGCTCAAGATCAAATCATTATCACAATTAATCAACAGCCAACTAACATTTATCAACTTATTTATTACATTTTCCTCAAGAAAATGTTTACTATTAACATTATACTAATTGCTCAACAATTTGGATTAATCCAGTCAGTCAACTAGAGTAGCACAATTTAAATTCACACTACAATAAATTGTGATTAACATCAAATCTATTTTTTTTCTCCCTCGTTAATATTAATGATTAGTTGAAACCATGAATAGATAATCAATACTTACTAAATTAATCAAGTGGAAACACTTGCAGTTAGATTTCAATGATTAGTCTTAATTGTTATTTACAAATTTCTCAAGACTTAAACTACTGTTGATTAACATCTAACCACAATGAAGGCTTCTCGTTTCATTCACGATAATAGATACAAAATATTCAAAACTTTACTTGCCTATTTGACCTACTTTTGCATCGGTGGTGCGATTACTTTGGTTGGGTCAAGTTTATTAGATTTACAGATTCGGGTCAACACCGATTTCGCTACTGTCTCTTATGCTATTCCAGTTCGAAGTGCTGGACATATCGTTGGATCAGCTGTTGGTAAGTCGATTGTAGGTTCATTTGTTTATCTTTAATTAACTTTTCTCTGTCTCCATTTTAATAGCTGGTCTATTGGGTCAAAGGTTCAGTCAGTCGTTTGTCTTGTGTTTCTGTAACTTACTTTCAGGAATATTCATTGGAATTGGTCCATTTTTTACTCAATTCACTTATCTTGGAACTTGTTTATTCTTAGCTGGTATAATTCATGGTATCTCTGATATCGGTGAGTAGATTAATTGTGAGATGAACAATTTGATTAATCGATCGTTTTATCAGCTTGTAATTCATTGTTGGCATCTACATGGAAGGAAAATTGTGCCAATTGGCTTCAAGTGCTTCACATGTCCTGGGGCGTTGGATCGTTGATCACCCCGGTTATTTGTCGACCTTTCCTACTACCAACCACTGGTGATGAGACGGGAATAGTTCACCTATCAAATTTAACCTTAAATGGTTCATTAATCGATCCAGTGGTCAAGCCGATCTACACCTCCGATGATGTTATGGTACAATATGCATTCTTAATCATATCGATTTGTGCATTGACCCTTTCGATTCCCTTTGGTTGTATATATTTTAAGGAGAAAAGTGCTTCAATTAACACAGTCGATCACACGAAAACAATTAACCCTGATAATATCCAACAGAATTACAGTCCATTGAAAACTTATTCCGCTGTTGCAATGGTCGCATTAATAAGTCACCTTGTTTATGCTATCGAAACGCTAATCGGTATGTAAAATAGAACTGAACCAAATTGAATTTCCAATTAATTTGAAACTCTTTTCTTTTTTCAATTAGGATCTCTTGGACCTTCGTTTGCGGTCAAAAGTGACCTTCATATGGACAAAAAGACTGGAGTTTTATTGACCACAGTGTTTTGGTCTTGTTTCTCATTCTATCGTTTAATTTTCATCCCGTTAACATTTGTCATCTCTCAGACCAAATTGCTTATATCAAGTTTGATCATTTCTCTTGTCGGTATTCTGATCACCGTCCCATGGGCCAATTACTATACGAGTTGCATTTGGGCTGGATTCACACTCATTGGAATCGGTATATCGCCAATATTTTCAGCCGCCTACGGAATGCTGGCCAAACATATCATCGTAACCAGTAAAATATCATCAATAGTATTTATACCCGGTGTTCTTGGTGAATCAATTCATCCAGCAATCGCTGCCACATTATTGGACAAAAATCCAATCTCGTGCCTTTATTACATTGGTGTTTTAGGGATTCTTTTCGTTTCGATCTATCTCATTCTCCTTGTGTATTGTGCAAGAGTATTCAAAGTCCCAGCAAGTCTTCAACATCGTGAGGTTGCCGAAAGGTCATCAATTCGAAGCATTAGTCGCTATTAAAGGTCAAAACTTTTCGACTATGATAATATCAATTGTAAGAAAATTCACAATCAAGTAAAGAAAATATTTTCCATTCAAAAAAAATTGTTCATTTTTCGCATGCGAGATTTAATGATCATTATGATTAAAGAAAAAATTTGAATTTAGAATTAAAATTGATTGTTAAACAGAAAGAGTTAAAATACAATAATAAGAATGAAGTTTTTGCGTTTTATGCGTATTCGATTGTTATTGTTTTGGTCTTGAGATATTCGTTCAAAGCCTCTTGACCAAGATCTTTACCGAATCCTGATTGTTTGAATCCACCAAACGGAGCGGCAACATCGGTCTTATTGTAGCAATTGATGAAACAAGTACCGGCTACGATTTTCTCACTAACATAAAGAGCTTTGTCCATATCTTTGGTCAATACGCCTGAGGCTAAACCATATTCAGTTGCATTGGCTCGAGAGATCACCTCATCACGATCACCGTCATCGAATCTGGAGATGACCATGATCGGACCAAATGATTCCTCTTGAGCGATAAACATTTCATCGGTGACTTCGGTAAATATTGTTGGTTCAAGGAAATATCCTGGTCGATTAACCTTTTTACCCCCGAGGACAAGTTTGGCACCTTCTTTAACACCGGTTTCTATGTAATCGAGAAGCTTTTCAAAATGAGCTCGATGATTTTGAGGTCCATGAGCGGTTGACCTGTCCAACGGATCACCAATGATCATTTTCTTTGTTTCTCTAATTACTTTTGATACAAATTTGTCATGGATTGAATTTTGAACAAACAAACGACCCGCGGCAATACAGTTTTCACCTTTATTGAAAAATACTGAACTCATGGCGATTCTAACCGCTTTGTCCAAATCAGCGTCGGAGAAAATAATTAAAGGAGATTTACCACCAAGTTCGAGGGAAACTTTCTTCAAATTCGAGACGGCACAGCTTCTCATAATCTCCTTACCAATAGGCGTTGATCCAGTGAATCCCAATTTCCTGATACCTGGATGATTAGCCATCGCTGAACCAACAATCGACCCTGAACCTGGAAGGACATTAAAGACTCCGGGTGGGAAACCGGCTTTGACCGTTAACTCTGCAAGTTTAAGTGCTGTTAAAGGTGTTACTTGGGCTGGTTTGAGAACGATAGTGTTTCCCGCCGCCAAACAAGCCGCCGATTTCCATGAAACCATCATGAGAGGATAATTCCAGGGCGTGATGATACCACAAACGCCAAGAGGCTCACGTTTGGTAATTGTTAGGTTACGATTGGGACGAGCATTGGAAATCGGTATTGTTGAACCCTGAATTTTATCCGTCCAACCGGCAAAGTATCTGAATGTTTCTATGGACATACCGATGTGTGTTTTCAGCGCAAGAGTATAAACTGCCCCTGAGTCGATTGATTCAATTGTTGCTAATTCCTCTTTATGTTCCTCCATTAAATCAGCCAATTTGTACAATAATCGACCGCGATCACGAGCAGACATTTTTGACCATTCACCCGAAGTGAAAGCTTTAGTTGCAGCTTCAACAGCCGAATCAACATCATCAACTGTCGCAGCTGAAACTGAACAAATTACCAATTCATCCGCTGGATTAATCGTAGCTGATGTTGCCCCGTTAGACGAATCAACGAAAAGACCATTGATAAACAGTTGATGCGGGAAAGTTATTTCTCTCTTATTAGCCTCAAGCCGAATCAGGTCAATCTCTTGAGTTGCCACATTCGATGATCGAGTTGATAAAACAACCATTTGAGTGAATTCTGATAGAGTTGTGTTCATATAAACATCTTCGTTTGCTAAATTGGTTACGATTGGACAAGTATCTTTGAGCTCTTCGACAAGTCGAGTGACATCCATTGATCCAGCTCCGGATTTAAAGAAATCCGTATCATCGGTAACCTCTGACCTCAAGATGGATTCCCAAATTGCTTTGATTGGTTTAACGATTGACTCCTCTTCTTCACTTGTAAATTCAATCGCTTGTGTACTTTCACTCGAACCCCATTTAGAGGCCACAATCATCTTACCCGAACTGACCAATTGTAATCGACTGACACAAACAGCAACACCATCGGTACCAAAAATAACTAAACCTTTATCGGTAATAATACCTGGTTTTGAACTTCCTTCAATGGTCACTTCAGTTGAATCTTTTAAAGGTTTACCATTGGAGGTTAAAAGACTTGACCCATAGAGTTTAACCTTTTCACCTTGTAAGATTATCCAAGCACCGGGAACTTTATCCATACCTCGAATAAAGTTGTGTAACTTAAGTCCACTGGACGATTCGATAGGTAAACGGCAAAGGTCATCTTTATTTAACATTGGATCATAAGTTGCCCCTTCTTCCGGTTGTGTTATTGACGGAGCTGTACCATTGGCAATCATGTCAACAGAATCGGCGATTCCAATGACACCCTCAGGGAACAGGAAATTGTTGTATAAACTTTCAACAGTATCATTAATTTCAACCTTAACTGACCGTTTAAGTAAAATTGGTCCAGTATCAAGTCCATCGTCAGGCCAGAAAATCGTGAAACCAGCATCTGAATCACCTTCAATTAGAGTCCAGTTAATTGCTGAAGCACCACGATGACGAGGTAACAATGAAGGATGATAACAAATTGACCCTTTGGGTGGATGATTAATAACCTCTAACGGAATAAATTGAGTACAATAAGGTAAGACATTAACATCGGCACCAACCGATTTGTACGAGTTAAAAACGGAAGGTAAAATCGCTCCTTTGAGTCGCCATCGTTTAAACTTGAAAACGGCCACATTTTCCTGAGAAGCTTTTAAGGCCAACGGATCGGGTTTACCATCATCAGAATCGGGAACAGTAAACACACCGACAATGGTATGGCCTCGACTGGTCAGTTCATCAAACACCGAACTTGCAAAAGCACTTTGACCAATAATAGCGACTTTCATATTGCGAAAAATATTTAAAAAAAAAACTCAAATGAGAAAAAAAAAGTTACTGAAGACTTTTAATTGTTACAATGATTAACACTCTCTACTCAGTGGACAATTAACTAATGGATACAATTGGAAAAGGCAACTTTATTTTGAGAGATGAAATTGTTAATTGTTGTTTCTCATTCTAATTGTTGTCTTTCTTTTGCCTTTTATCTCAATTGATTTAGAATAACATTTAATACTCTTATCTGTTTCCTACTTTACGATCAAATGATAACTATCGTCAAAGATTTTTAATTGTAATCAATCGAGAAAAAAGGACAACAATCTAATCAATTTGGAAATGATTGTCAAGAGAAATGATGTAAACAATTGAAGATGATTGAATCAAATCAATTGATTATGTTTTCTTATCGATGAAATTGTTAATTGTTGTTTCTCATTCTAATTGTTGTCTTTCTTTTGCCTTTTATCTCAATTGATTTAGAATAACATTTAATACTCTTATCTGTTTACCTACTTTACGATCAAATGTACTAAGACTATGAGAGAAAAGCGTCAAAGATTTTTAATTGTAATCAATCGAGAAAAAAAAGGCAACAATCTAATCAATTTGGAAATGATTGTCAAGAGTAAATGATGTAAACAATTAAGAAGATGATTGGAATCAAATCAATTGATTACAGTCTTTCTGGTAATCGGTAATAAGTCAAGTGTCTACATGTGAGACTTTTTTTTTCTTGATCAATTGATACGAGAGTACAAATGAACAATTAATTGTCTGGGCTAGTTTTATCCGCTAATTGTTACAATTAAACCTAAAATGTAATCAATTGTAATAAATTAATTGAAAAAATTCCCTCATTCATATTAATTGAATCTCTGGGGTTGAGGTTATAATTGTTTTGTGTTGTTTCAAGTGGAACCCAATGTTTAACTTTAATTTGATTATCACCATTTACTTATCAATACAATTAAGCTGATTAATTAGGGAACTTGATTGTTGCTCTAGATTTATTAGTAAATTTGATAATGATAATTATTGTCACTTCCTTGTGTGATTGTTAATTCAAGTCAAAGGTCGGATATGAGAATATAAAGTTAACAAGATGATCGGACAGGAAAATTTGATGGTGATTATGAAAGTAAAAGTTAATTGTGTTTACTTTTAAATCGTTGATTATATTCATAATTAAAAGAGTATTTTGTCAATCGTGACAATCAACAAGTTAAATTGATTGTTATGAGAAAGAGATGACAAGATTTTTGTACTCAAATATCTCGATATCTGATGATGGACAAAATTAACTCTCTCGTGATTGGAAAAGTGCTCATTAATATCATGATAATATCTTTTCAAGTGATTAACTGTAATGTTACAATTTAGTTTAAGTCTCATGGAGAGTCTCATGTCTCACATCTAAATTGAAAGAGAAACAATTAACTTTAATTGATCTTATTGGCAAGATAGCAACATGATTGAGTAGTGATGAGACTCTTGAAATTGATTAACCTTGAAAAGTTAATCATTTGTTAATAGTTAACTGGTCAGTCAACTAGTGAAAAACTAGATTATTGTTGACCAGAGTTTGAGACCTTTTTGAGCGGAGGTCAAATACTGGACAGTGAAAGAAGTACGATAAATATTGAATTTCCATGTTCGCTAAATGAATCTATTGATACTCACAATCTTCCATAAACTTTGGCCATTAGTTCACGAACTTCGAAATCTCCTTGTTACATCATGTTCGATATCATTTTTCTACACTTTAAAGATTTGATAATATTCTTGAGAACTTATTTGGGTGAGAATTTGAATAGAAAACAATTAGAACTGATGAGAACATCTATTCTTAATTGAATAGTAAAAATGACGAAAAAATCAATAAAATTTACTATTGATGAAGATTTTATCAATTTTCTATCAAAATTGACAATTTAAATTGACAAAGACAAAGACAAAGAAAAGAGAGAGAAAAATTGATGCCATGTTGTAGATTTAGATAAATCATCAGTGTCGATTAGACAATCAATTGATCGACAATCGATTTCAAGTTAATCTCTAGTCTACAATCAACAATATCTATCACCTTAATCAACGATTCTATGAGAATCTGGTCTAAGAAAATACTGTTTATTCAATTTTACCTTCAATCGAACCATCGAGTTAATTGCTAACCGAACTTTCAGTAATTTAACTTTAATCTAATCATTGATTTGATCGAAATCAATAAACTAATCAGATTGATATAAAGTACGATAATAGATAAACTATTAGATTGTAACAATAGTTTAATCAATATACAACTGATTGTATGATTAACAGATTCTAATCAGTGTTATTTTGATTGATAAGTTTTACAAAACAATTATGATTAACAATCAAAGATTAACTTGATTGATTATCGATCTTTAGTTGATTCCAGATATTTGATGTAATCAATTGTGATTGTTATCAAAGATTGATTAAAAATCTCAATTTTATTTAATAGACACAAAATGGTTTAATTCAGAGCACGTTATTAGTAAATGATCAAATTAATTCTAATTAATCTAATCTATTAGTTGTTAATTATAATCATAATATTAATAATATGAGAGTATCTTGATGATTAATCAATTTCCCGATTGTTGGTTTGTTGTTAGGTGGGAGCTTAAGCAGCTGATTGTGATTGTGTTGGTGACTTTTAATTGTTTCTCATTTTGATTGAGTTTTATTTGGTGAATTAATTGTTTAATTATCTAAGTGATTAACTCACGATGGAATCTGATTCTCTTCATATTAAATCACCATTGGTTGAGAATCTTTTCTGTAAAAGTTACACTGATGGACGATCAGTTTACCTTAAATTGGACAACAATCAACCCTCAGGATCATTTAAAATCAGAGGAATTGGTAAATCATGTCAATTGGTAAGTTTGTTATTCTCTATTCAGTTAATTGTAATTCGACTAATCGAATTTTTCTTTTTGGCTGCAAAAAAAGGCCAAAGAACAAGGGTACGAAGAGTTAGTCTGTCCTTCCGGAGGAAACGCTGGAATAGCAACTGCTTATGCCGCTCGAATGTTGAATATGAAAGCGACCATTGTGATCTTTAATATCTCGTCCGAAGAAGTTGCTTCTCGAATTAAAATGGAAGGTGCTACAGTCTTACGATTTGGTAATTCTTCGAGTGAGACCATTAATTATGCCAAACTCTTTGCTTCTGGTGAACCAAAGAAACGTAAATTTATCCATCCATTTGACGATTCTACAGTTTGGTGAGTCTCAATGATTCGAGTAATTAATCAGCTAATTCATAGGGATTTAGAAAATCAATTGAATGACAAATCACAAATCGATTTCACCAGAAGAAGATTAGATGAGATTATTTCATTTCTATTGGAAAGATTGATTGTTTTCTTTAATGTTTATCTCTCATAGGGAAGGTAATTCAACTTTAATTGATGAAATTTATCAACAATTAAATGCTGTTCAACCTTCGTTGATTGTTACCTGTTGTGGGGGAGGTGGTTTGTTTTGTGGTATAATGAAAGGACTTGAGAGATACAATTGGCATTCAACTGGAGTTCTGGTGATGGAAACTCATGGATCTCGTAGTTTCAAGGCGATGGTTGAGAATAGTTATCAACCCATAGAGATTAAATGTGACACATTGGCTAAGACTTTAACTTCCGTAATTGTTTGTCAAGAGGCTGCTCGATATGCTGAGAAATTCAATGTTTACTCTGATACAGTTTCTGATATTGAAGCGATGGAAGCTTGTTTATTATTAGCTGATTATCAACGGATTATCGTTGAGCTTTCATGTGGAACTGTTTTCGCTGCACTTAATAAAGGATTAGTTGAAAAGATAATCAATTCTAATCCAAAGTTACCTTCTAATGGACCAGTGGTCTTGATTATTTGTGGTGGTAATGATGTTAAATTAGTTGACATCGAGAATTGGAGACAGATTATCAGTGAAAAATCATCAAATTGAGAATTTAATCATTTAGATCAACTAAATCAACAACGAAACAATTATTAATAGTTTTGCAACCTAATTATCTGCTTACCGCAATATTAATAAATCAACTTTTAAGTTTCGATTTTAACTAAAACATTTCTATCGTTTAGTAACAACTTCATGAATTGTGGCCATGTTTCATAATGATGACAATCATCATTTAATCAATTAGTAGGTCAATCAGCAATTACAATCAAGGAATCAATTTGTAAAAATTGAAAATTGGAAATGGAAGATCTTGTTGATCGAAAAATATTTCACCTCATTTGTTTGATTGGAGAAATAGTTTCAGATTAAATTGTTCATCTACTGTTCTCAAATGTTAACCTTAATCAAGTTTATCTTCGTTATCGAATTGGAATACAATTAATTTCCAATACGATGAAAATTCCCGAAAAAAAAAACAATGAACAGTTCGAGTTATTTGCTTTAATTTGGTTCGATTTTCTTATTAACACAATGTATACATTTTCTCAATATTGACTTTGTACGTTTACAGAAATTATAATTCTGATTCTAATTGTCTCAACAAACGATTGATTAACAAGTGGATATTATTGATTGGTGTTTATTTATTGGAATGAAACAAAGACAATCGGCTATATCGGTTGTCCTGTATTTGATTTATTCTTGATTAAAAACATTTTTAATAGCTGATATTTTTAACCGTTAGCGTAACAATTAAGGTAAACATATACGATAGATTGAATATGAAAAACTATCATAAAAGTTAATCTGATTTATCTACCATGGTGATTATCTTGTATTTGTTTTTTTTTCTTCATGGTTTTTATTAATATACATGTATTACATTAAAATATACATTGGGTTTGTTATATTGATAAGCTTTTAGGAAAAAACAATGAAGTTGATATTAATCAACAAACCATATCAGCATTAAGAGCATATAATAATCACTATTAATAATAATAATAGTAAAATTAAACAGAGATTATTATTAATATTTAAACGGGACGGCTGGTGCTGGTGCTGGTGCTGGTTCCGGTGATTATGGTGATCCTAATTGTGAACTTACTGGTTGTACTTGAAATGGTTACAATTAAATGGAATGATAATTATCAGTGGACAATAGTTGTCACAACGATGACAATTAAAACCATTGATATGATCTGATGGATTAAATTTTAAATAAAAGTAACATTTTTTTCATTAAAATGTATTACAACAAAATTAAAGGTAAAGTTAATGAAATACAATCTAACCTGATTACATTGTTAGTTAGAGTGGTTGTGTTACATTATGATAATACAATTTAGTAAGTTTGCAAAGTCATGTTAATGATGAAAATGAATGAAATGTTCAATAATCAACGAATGAGATTGATGATGTTTGTTTCATTGTTTGTTGATGGTGAAAGTTATTACGATGATGATGAATGGATGTAGTAAAAATGTCTTTACAGTTTGTGTATTTCCCTTTTTAAAGTTATTACTTGCGAAAGTAAGGTCAATTGTTGATTCATTTGATTGCGTGAAAAGTAAATTAAATTGCAATGTAAACGTTTTGCTTATGGCACTTTATTGTCCTCCAGTTGATTATTTCCTTCAGTTTCCTTTGATTTCCAGGCAACAGTTGCATTTAATTGCAAATACAAAGTGCTCTTAGGGATTAGTGAACGGTGGCAAATTAATTGGTAATAATTTCTTATCAAAAGCACCATTAGGTGTAGATTAGGCATATAATATTCATTAACTTTAAGTTGAAGATGATTCTTTGGTAAAAAAAGAAATGAAATGAATCTAATTATTCTGGGACAATATCAGTGGTTTGGTCTTTAACATAATGGATGGAGCCCATTCGTTGGTACTTGTGTCCAAAAGATCTGATTACTTTGGCTTTATGAAGATAATAAATTACCATGAAGCCCATGAAAATAAGAGTTAAAACACCAAAGAGAACTACAAATAGACGGAATAATCGAATCTCTCGACTGAAAGAATTAGCCTCAGCTGGACAGGTAAATTGGTCTACATTGATGGCACCGATCTCAAGACTAGCAAGTTGTAATGGTGAAGTGCACCTAAAGTACAGTAAAGAGAAAAAGAGAGAAAAAAAATTAGACATTAATAGTAAATAATCAACAGAATAATTAATGGAAACAAAAAGATAGATCATTTATCATGATCAAGACATTAATTGATTTGTAGCTTTGGAGCAACTTGACTGAAAAATTCACCTTATCTTAATCATATACACGATGATCATGATTAGAATCACTTTCCAAGTGTTACAATTAGTAAATTAGTCAACAGATCTACAATTACTGTAATTATCATGATTATTAATTGTATAAGGTGAAAGTAAATATGGTCAGTGTCAATGAACAGACATTCAATTGAATTTCTTGATCATCATGAAAAATGAAATTGACATTAAAAGATCAGTTAACAGATAATTGAACTAAATTGAGTGTGTAAAATTAACTAAAACAGAGACAATACTTTAATCATGAATCACAATTATATTACTTGAATCATTGAATTTTGATTATCTTAATTTCATTACGGTGATGATTGTATGTACACTTCCAGCAGGAAATGATATCATGATAAAAGTTAGTGACTATGAAGATGATATTGCACATTAATCATTATTTCATATTGACAATGAAAGTTCAGTAATTCAACTTGATTCATATTCAGAATGAAATATATTATTATTATAATAAAAGATCAGCGATCTTTTTTTTTGAGTATTATTGTTATCCAAATTGAAAGGTTCTCATATACAATGTATGTATATATAAAATCTGATTAACACTCTGAACAATCAGTTTTGGAAACGGGTAACTAATTAAGATAATTAACGATTTGTACTTACTTTATTTGCTGGTGAATGGGATCATCGTGTTTACATGACTTAATCCATGCAAAATGACAATCACATTTCCATTGATTATCTCGTAAATCAACTCGTGAAATGTTACAAATTGGAAGTGTATGCTCAGTAAGTCGAGACAATTGATTACCATAAAGATCAACTTGCGTTAAATTAATTGGAGTAAAAGTGATACCAAAAAACGCTGATGAAGACAATTGATTTAACCTTGGATTATATTTAATCTCAAGGTGTTGAAGATTATGTAGATAGGAAAAGGTGTAATCATCGATCTCAGTTAATTGAGGTAAATTGTTGATCTTTAAAGTTTTCAATGACAATAATCCACTGAAAGATTCATGGTCCAATTTTTTCATCAAATTCGCAGAGATATCAAGATTCTCTAATTTAGTTGCACCAATTAAATCTTCACTTGGAACAGAGTTAAACTGATTCTCAGAAAGATCAATGGTGGTCAGTGCCGGGGTAAAATGGAAAAGGGTATCAGGTAAACTGTACATGGAATTATGAGAAAGGTCAAGAATCCTTAATCGTTCATTGTTTCGAAATAAATCCTCAGGTAGAGATTTAAGATTGTTTCCTCGTAGGATTAAAATCTCCAGCCATTGTTGACCATCAAAAGAATTGGCAGCAATTTTGGATATATCATTGTCGGAAAGGTCAATTGTTTTAACGTTGTTTAGATTGTTAAAAATCATATCTTGAATGCTGGAAAGCTTATTGAAACTTAAATCTAACAATTCCAGCGTTGGTATCGATTCAAATGCCTTTGGTTCAATGGTGGAGATTGAATTTATAGATAGATTTAACTTGGTTAAATTGGGATAATCGTGATCGAAAAGTTTAACCTGACTTATATCATTATCGCTTAGGTCAAAGGTAACTGTTTCGACAGGGCTTTGAGATGATGGAGGAATGATTGTGAGGCCCAATCGCGAACAGGAAACTGTGTAACCTTTAAGGGAATTTGGTGTACCACTTTCAATGGTACATCGACAGGACTTTGGACACTTGGGCTCAGATGGAAGTGACAAGGTTTCGTTGGCTTTCTTGGTATCGTTGCTATAACTAAATTTTGGTCCAATTTGCATGGTCATTGTTGAATTTATCGAGGGATCGGAGGTAGAGGTGATCAAACAGTTTAACAAAGGTAAATAAATTACAAGAGACAGGTAAAGATGGAAAGATAAGAAGGAGTGAGAAAACTTCATCTTGTAATTAGCAGCAATTTAGATTGGATAATAAACTCTAGATGGAAAAGATTGTCAGAGAAAGAGATTGGTAAGATTTTTGAAGAATAAATTGATGTTTGTGTGATGATTAAAAATAATATTGGCCAATTAATTGTGACAATAATTTGTTCTTTGATAGTTTGTAATTTTCCAGGGATGATTGATTATTGGTAGAATGGAACAAGTCTGAGCACAAATTAACACATGACAGGGTAATTAAAGAAAACTAGGTCTTAGAAATTAACAAATGATGAAAATTCAAATCAAAACGAAAACCAAAATAAAATCAACTTAATGATGATGGAGAAAAAGATTCGCTAGAAGAAAAAAATAAGGGTTTACTGTGAACGGTGTTGACTCAAGTGATTGAATGAAAATAGAATAGAATTTAATCAGATGAAAGTGAGAGAGAGAGAGAGAGGAAGAGGATGAGGATGAGAGGAAGAGAGAGAGAGAGGGTTTGAAAAAAATGATCTTCTAACAAGTGATGATAAAACTGTTATTTAGAAGCAACAAAGCAAAACATTAATAAAATGGAAAAAAGAGAAAAAGAAAAAACAATCAAAATGATAAACGAACAAATTAGAGAAAAAAAAATCAGCCAAGAAAACGGCGAAAGAGAAGAAACTGAGAAAATAGAATAGAACAAAAAATGATTATTCTTTTCAAGAGAACAAGTTAAACAGAGAAGAAGAAATTACAATTAGAATAAGTAATAAGTTGCTATTAATTAGTCACAATTAGAAATGATAGAAACTAATGAAGAGAAAAAATTAATCACTGGTTAAGATAATTAACCAACAATCAGAGGAAGAGAGAGAAAAACTGTAACTAACCAGAAGAAGTGATAACGTAACCATGGAAACAGAAAAGTAAACATGAGAAATAAAAATCTTCTGATTAGTGTTTTTGATGGAAAACGATGATGTAAATAATGTTGATGTTTTCTCCAACAATTAACTAATTAATTTTTTCTTTAACTTTACTCTTGTTCTTTATTAGGTAAATGTGATCATTTGATTATATTTTCTACTATAAATTACCTTGTGTGTTTCCAATACCTTCATCATTACTCAGCATCTTTTTTTTGTTCTATTCTATTTCATAATTAATTGAATCAATTGTTTTCTTCTTCTCGTTAATTAGTTATACATTCACAAACACATTTTGTATCAAACAGTTTATATTAATACTTGTTAATTCTGTTAATTAGTTACTTTCGGTGTTGTAATTTGTGTAAACTTTTAATCATCACTTTTGTCAATTGTTAATTCTCATCAACGTTTCCGCCATTTTGTTTATTTTTCCATCATCACAACTCTAGACATTTCTCTTTGTTTCTTGTCTTCATTTTCCCTCTAATTTAATGATTACATTTAAATCCTATTGTTACACTTAAAAGAGAGAGAGAGAGAGAAAACAAGAGACTTAAATGAATAGGGTTATTATTTTAGCTCTAATTATGATTAACTTCTTGTCAATTTCCTTTTTTTTAAAGATGAATATAAAATGGATATTACAAGAAAATAGTTCTCTTCCTTTCGTGTTGTTATTGAGAAAAAGTAACCAAATTGTGACGAAAGCAACTGTTGATTTGATACAAGAATAAATTTTTCTCTTTCAATATGATTAAATAGTCGAAATTAGACTTTGTTGTCCAAGAAGTTGAGGTAATTATGATTTTACTTGGTTGACAAAGATTATTATGAGAATCATTTTCCAACTTTTTCTCTTTCAATATGATTAAATAGTCGAAATTAGACTTTGTTGTCCAAGAAGTTGAGGTAATTATGATTTTACTCTGGTTGACAAAGATTATTATGAGAATCATTTCCAACTTTGTCGACCATCAGAAGTTAATATTGTTTATCTTGAAGTTATCAATAACTCTTTTAATAGTGTAGTGAATTTTAGGATCTTGTGCCCATCTTCGAGATCATATGCGATCGACCTCGAATCAAGATGAATTGCAGTCGAATTACGTATTTTTCCCATGAGTAAGAATTTCTCAGCATAAGTTGTTCTAAGTACACTTGGATCAAAGCAAGATCGATCCATGGTAAAGGTGAAATCTTGCCCTTCTTGTCCCTCTGCGAGAAAAAAAAGATAAATTAGAATTCAATCAAATGAAAGTTTCAATTATAATTACCTCCATAAAGAGATTGGCCAATTTTGAAATGTAGAATGACCAAAGAATCGAGTTCGATCTTTTTAACAAATCGACCCAACCAAACGAAACCATATTGTCCAGAGCAAATTAGTCTAGAAAACTTATCCTTAGCTCGACCCATGTTAACTGAGCCAATTTCACCGACTTCGTTGAGATTATCATTCAACGGGCAGATCCAGAGCTGTACAATGGCAGATACTAAATTGCAGATTTTTTAAGATAATCAGTTCGACGAGTCGAATGGTATAACTGTGAACAGCCTTGGCCTAGATAAAATCGAAAATAATATCGAGGTTAATAAGTTAATTATTCCAATTTTTGATTCATGGTTTTTCTTGTAATAATCGTATATTTTAACCGCAGATTGAAGATTAGCTACTTTGTTTTCTTGGTAGATCTTGAAACTTAGACAATATTGCGAATCAGCTGATACATCTTCGAGATAAAAGATTACTGATCGAGCTGTTTTCTCGTGAGATGAGATTATTGGATTATTTTTGCGAAGATTCATTAAATCATTTTCATCAGCAACATAACCACTTAGTATACCGACTTCAAGTATAACCATTCCAGTATCAGTTGAATCGAATCTTTTAGCACAAACTGTTAGTTTATTAGAAAGAAATGTCTGTAATAAAAACCTTGATGGTAACTGAATATTACTATTGTAACGCATATCAATCTAACGAATTAATAATTAAGTGAGTGGTGATTTTTTCCTTTGATTTTATTCATTAAAATGATCCCTACACACGATAAGAGATTTGAATTCATCAAGGTCACAACTCAACTCTAACTGGATCAGTTAATTTCTCGTTTCATTATCATATAATATCATATAATCAACATGATCATTTCTCTTCTAATTCAATTGGTGTATCAAAGTGAATTAAGGTGTCATCTTTGGATTGTCAACAATTAACCATAATAACTTACAATTAAATCTTAAACGAGTGACAAATTGCAACCAAATCAACTCTATTTAGTGAAAATTATTACCATTTCCAAGAAAACAAAATCAGAATAAAATTTAATTGATTCTGGACAATCAAGTTGGATCAATCACTTGGATTAATAATATAAAAACTCAGCAATTTAAATTGCATCAACAAATTGCGAATTGAATATGATCAAAATACACTTGAGATGATTAATCATATGAATTTGTGCTGTATTTTCATTTGTTCATTTCAGCTGTTAAGATTTAACTGACAATTAAATTGTCAGTTAAATAATCACATTGATCAACTATTTCCAATCAATTGACATCCACATGAAAAATGTTATTTATTATCAATTTTTGTAACTATCAAATTAGTTTCTCCAAATCCATTGTCTTATAATCGAGTTGATATTTTTGGTTTTCTCTCAAAAGATGATCAAACTTTTTGTTTATATGTTTGGGTAAACAAAATATTGTCAAGAAATTAATAAATATAATTGATTTCATATTGATTGATATTTACATTTGCAGGTTTCGATAAAAATACTTTACCGATTAACCTTTAAACAATATTTCTTTTAGAGATTGAAAATCAGTAAAGTGGATTTTGTTCATCAGAATTTTTTAAATTGACAAAACTAATTATTGTACCATCGTGATCTTGACCTTCTTCATATCTAAAGTTTGTCTCCAATAACGGGATTACACCATTGGGGGAATAATTTCGGCCAAAGATTCGTCTTCTCACCAAAAGTGCTGCAAAAATGGTCACCAAAACAATGGTTCCAATTGCGAGTAAAACGATTGGCGCTAAAACGAAAAGAGGAAAATTAATTGAATCAAATCATCCAAAAGTAAATCTCTTCTTTTACCTGAACCAAGATGAACTCCATCGGATTTAGGATTTTCATATGGATTAATTGTTATTGGAAAATCAGTTGGAGCTATGCTATCATGAGGTGTAGTCTCTGGTCGCATTGTTGGTCTGATTATTGGTATCGTCGTGTCGATGGACTGGGATTCGGTGATAATATGAGTTGTTGGATCTGTTGTTATTACCGACGGAGTTGTAGTGATAATAATTGGCCGCAGGGTTGTTGTCGGCGGATGGCTGGCCGGGTCACAATTTTTAAACTGAAATTCAGCTAATCCCGCGGGTGAAAGTTTCTCAAACAAATTGGTCGAAGTAATGTCCAAAACGAATTGAATATAATATCCAGGAGAAAATGAACTCAATGGATATTCTTCGGAAGCCCAATAGGTCTTTGATTCGAGTACCTCAAAAAGTTGCGAATTTAAATCTTGATCATTTTTTATCTTAATGGACATGGTTGCGTATGGACGAACGAAATATTTAAAGCTAAATTTACAACCGGAAGAAGTTGGTCCAAGTTTTGGTGATGTGAGTATCGATTGAATTTCAGATGTTCGTCTATCGGGAATAATGAAATGTTCTGGCTTATCGGTAACTGGCACTCGAATTGCATCAAGATCACCACTGTAATCATCAAGTAAAACCCAATAATCTTCACCTTCATTTTTCCAACCACAAAGAGATGTTGATGATTGATTGAATGAACATGGGCCACAATTAATTTCATCCGAATCATCTGAACAATCAGAACGATAATCACAAACCTTTTCCCTTGCGATACAAATATCATCCTTTTTACAATGATATTCATCGTTGGTACACTTAGATTTTGGATCAACTGGATCAATATTAGAATTTGAGAAACATGAAGAATCAATGACAACATCGTCAATCGCAGCATAATATGATCTCGCGAATGTAGAATCACTCGATGGATATTGAGCTTTGAAAACGAAGTTGAATTCACCTTCGATATCACCTTTTTTCAATGTGATTCTTTGACGTTTAAAGCCGAAAGATGAACTCGGCGGGATCGACATTAAGTCCATTGTACTTGTATTGTTCAAGACCGAGACAATCAGAGTAACACCAGCGATATTATAATAAAAGACCATTGAACAACCATCAATATTTGTCAACTCAGGACCGATTAAACTTATCTCTTTATTGGATAACATTGAGTTGGTAAAGTCTTTGATCGGATAAACGGCCATATAACCGCCATTCGGTAGACCGATTGAATGATCTCTTGGAGGAGTTGACACTATCGATCCTACGGCCTTTACATGAGACCATTTGATTCTATCATTTGTAAGATCAATCCAATAGTTTGGAGATTTGGTATCTTCGAAGGAATAAATTTTCACTTTATCACAATTCAACTCATCATCTCCATCAGCACAGTCAATTGAAGAATCGCAAACGCGATCTAAATCAATGAGACGACCATTTTTACACGAATATTGTTCACCTGAACTTTTGGTATCCTCGTAACCACAATCGATCATTTTAATCGGACCGAATGAAAAAGATTTTCGCTCAAAGAAATACACACTTAACTCTGCAAAGAATCGAATATTAAACATAATCGGTATTCGACCCAAATCAATTTGAACAAGATCGTTTTCAATAACAGAGACCATTTCTTCATCCCAAACTTCAACTTCTCGGCCATCTTGAAATACTAATAACACTTTCAGTTGACTATCTCCATCAGACAGTCTATTTTTGCACTCGAATTGTAATTTACAGGAAGGTGAAGTTGGTCCTAATAGTGGACTGGTCAACCCCGAAGTCACTGATCCCCAAATTCCTCCATGTTTTTGTTGAACTTGAACTTGTCCATCATTGAGTGACCAATAAGCATCTTCATCAAATTCATAATTACAAAAATCTTCTTTAAAATCACAAGAACCACAATTAGATTCATCTTCACCGTTTGAACAATCGACAACATGATCACAAACTTTAGATGCTTTAATTACTTCACCATCATTGCAAGTAAATTGTTGCGGTGAACATTCACCCATTTTAATTGATAAATCATCGATTGCAAGAGATCCTGAACCAATAAGATAAACATGAGCAACTTTACCCAATTTGGGATTGAATTTGAGTAAAGTTTGTGAAACTAACCACATCCATGTCTTAGGTACAGCCAAGGTCTCCACCAAGGTGATAATCCCACTCTGTTCAATGACCACATCCAGATTATTGGTTGCAACAGGATAAATATCAAATGTTAAACACAATTCACTTGAATTATCGGCTAAATATATTGGTGGGAATGAGAAAATCGCCTTTTCACCGGCAACACTTTGAAGGGTCAAATAATGACCGTCGATGGATTTTGATGAATCTCTATTAGGTAACCTGCCTTTACCCACAACTTTAATCCAGTTGGTTCCCGCTTCGTACACTTTACCCATTCCAGTTATGGCCAATTTTCCGTCGAGAAAATTATTCCAAATGCAATTGTTACTTTCAAAATCACAAAAATATCCATAATCTAATGAACATTCACCTTCAATCAAATCTAATCCATCGATGATAATTGCTCCATTTGACTCAGAACCATAACTCGCACCAAAGATAATCATAGTCTCAGGACTAACATGATCAATTTGAATCTTTGCCTGATCCCAATTAAGACCAAAATGGTGATTAAGTTGAAACCAAGGGGCAGTTATAAGATATTCATCAAAATCATCTTTAAAATTATCTTTCCACAGATTTAATTTCAAGTTTCCATCAATAATGTACCAGAATTTAAGACAATAATGTGTATACGGTTTTAGATTGGAAATGTAAAAGTAGGACATTGATTCAGTTCGAGATTGAATCGATAAGTCAAATGCCAACACTTGATCATCGGTTGCATTGAAAATCGGAGTTACGTTTTGTCTCAACGCATTTGTATCCATAAATTGCCAATTATTAAAGTGTGAAGGAACAATATTGATACAACGATCATCAATTAAACCATCGTAATTATCGCAAGAGTTATAAGGTCGATCTGTTGATCCATTGATACATGGAATTAGTAAAACATCATCAATGCCCAAGAATAACTGTTTTCCACTAAAATCGAACGATAATTTAAAAGGTTTCGATGTGTAATCAGTCAATGGTTTCGAAAGTTCAATCGAGTTCCATGATTCTTGGATAGTTTTATCGTCCATTGTCCAAATTGTTAACGGCGTTTTCGTATCAATTGGTATCAAGTTAATCGTGAATGAAGCTTTTTCAACGAAACCTACTACATATGAAAAGGTCAAACATTGTTTCGTCGATTGGAAAATCGTTGGACTTTGCAATGAATATTCAACCGATTCACCGGACAATTCAGTTGCAGTGTAAACAAACAAATCATATGGATCAACATTTCTCAATGGGTCCCATTTAATTGCGAGGGGATCAGCTAATCGTCCAAAACCAACCAGTAATTTACCTTTGTTGACATGATAGTTACAAAGACCTGAATTAAAATCACATGATCCGATTGGGACACAGGATTGTGGACTTATCCTAAGTTCATCTATCGCAATCGGAGTTGCACCGTTGGTGAAACGTTCCGCTCTCAATGAGACCTTAAAATAATCATCATCATCATGTGGATGTAAATTTATATTAATTGGAATCCATTGTTTAGTAATGACCACTGAACTTGAAGACCAGATCATTTTTCGAGCTGTAGTACTTGTACCAATAAAGTCAATCTCTAAAATATCAGAAACATCACTCGACTTGTAAAAGTAAAATGATAAACATTTCGCTTCATTAGGAACTAAATAGATTGTTGGATTGATTGAACTTGTTGATTTAATGTTGCCTTCCTTTGGTGTTCTCATGAAATGACCAATATCAGTTTCTGTCGTTACATCAATTCCAACCAAATCATCTTTAGAAGAATCTATTCCATTGGATATAAACCAACGAAAGTTACTCTTATAATCGGGTTCAACTATCCAAAAGCATAGAGATGAATCTTCAAAATCACAATCGTTATTGTATTCACATGAACCCGGTCTAGCGCTAATTGGACCTAAAGCAATATCCTCCGAAGTAGCTGTAAATTGTATCAGAAAATCCCCTTTTCCTTTAATTGGTGATACGTGATATTTACCGAGAATCCAATCATCATATTGTGAACCTTCACGTTTCCATATACTTTTCTCAGTCTTAATAGTAGCACCTTGTTCCGTATCCGATTTAACTGCTTCCAGTGTTAACGATCCCGTTAACGGACCAAACATATAATAATTGAAATATATACAAAATGGTTCAATGTCGCTATCGATTATCGGTGATTCTAGTAGATATTTGTTCGTGTATGGAACATTAATTGAGATGAATCCTCCTAATTGTGAAAAGAAAAGGCACAGAATTAGTTATCTGTAAAACCGTTAATTGTTGGTGGTCAATCTTACCGTTAGCTACTTCCTTGACTGGTTGACCAAAGGATGCGCTCTCATAGTTACCAATTGTCCAAACTACCGCTGTTGGGTCAATCCAATCACACAGGTCAACGGTAAAATTACATTCTAATGACTTAATATCAGCTGTTTGCCCCCCTGTAAAGATAAAACAATTGTTTCGTTGAAAATTTCGTTGGTGATTTAATGATAATCAACTGCACAATAAGTTGTTTTTCAGAATTAATCTGATAATTTAATCACTGCTCATATGATTTGAATGCTAAAAGTTAGTTGATAATTTCATTTGGTCTTCCCATCTGATAAATCAACAATCAATATTGATTAACATTTTCTCTATTCTATCATTATTTTATCAACAATTTGATTAAATAGTTAGTCATTAACTTCATGAACAATTTAACTGTTTTAATTGTAAATGTCAACAATGTTTACTGAATTAGTTAAACATGATTATCGCTATCAAATCCAACTACTGTTTTAGCAAAATAATCTAATCTAATTAACTAAATGTAACTTTTTAAAAAACAACAACAATTTACAATTTTTAAATCTAATCAATTGAACAATTTAAAATTAACTAAATTAACGAACAGTTTGTTAATCATTATTCAAATCTAAACTCGAGTTCGAGTCTCAAATTATATTGAAAACAAAAACTTACCTTTCAATATAAATAAGAAAGTTAAGAAAATGGATTTTAATTGTATCATTGATTGTTAATCTCATTAACCACAGTTAATTGTTGAAAAATAATAAGCACTAAATACAAAGTCTCACAATTAACCTTTAAAACTGTGTAAATAAACTGTAAACAAGAGGCAACAATCAACTGAGTAATTAATTGAAAAGTTAATCAACTCAAGTTGATGAAAAAAAAATGCCACTTAAAACAAGAATGAATGAAAAGCAATTAATTATAACGGTGTTTTTGATTGTTGATCAATTTTCAACTGAATTAAACTTTAAAGGCGTTTATTAGTTTTATTATGTTTCCCAGACAATTAATTTTCACTGTTTACTAATTTACTAATCTATCCTCCTACCAATCAAAAACTAATTAAATTACCTTGGTTAATTATTGAACAATATCTCAATCATTTAGTAACAATGTAAGTAGGAAAATGATAGTAATTATCTTGAACGGTAGCAATTAATCAATAATCATTGATTAACTACCTGAAATCATAAAATAAGAGGCGTATGTAAATTTAATTTGATTAAAGTTGATTAATTTTTACTGATTGCAAATCAATTAATTCCTCATCAGATAATTAGATGATGTTCTCGATTAGTTATTATGTACAATGTACAAACTGCGTCGAGATGGAAAATCGGATAAAATTATAAATCAATTGAAATAAAGTAAATAAGTTCTAATTAGTTGATTAACTTTTCCACAATTTGGTAAATCAATGGATTTGTAAGGCTCTTCGAAATGATGAATGAATAATATTTTTACGATAATTTACTCATTGATTGAGAAGAATTTGGGAAATTGAAGATGAATGAATTTGGGAGAGAGAAAAAAACATTTAATCGAATAAGAAAACGATAAATTGTAATCAACACATTGAGAGTAAGAAAAAAGAATACAATTTAATTGTAATCGTAATGTAGATTAATTGTTGTGTGGACCTTTGGTTAATTGTCCGATTCGAGATCGAGAGATTTTGTTGATAAGATTTCACTTGGATTTCGATTTTAGAATTTTGTTGTGGTGGAAGAAGAAGAAAATGATGATGATGAAGATGACGAGGATGACGATGCAGTTGAATTCAATGAAGGAGATGATGTAACATTGAAAACTTGAGTTGAATTTATGTTTGAAGGTGCGGAGATTATTGAAACTGTAGCGTTGTTATTATCTGTTGTATTATTTGATCCACTTGGTGAGTTACCTGATTGTAAAAGTGTCTGAATTAATTGTCCTCTTGTAGCCTTATAATTGCTAATTGCTGATTGTCGCTGAGCTTCAGTACAGTTAAGATTATTGTAGCTAAACATCGAGGCTCAGGGATTGGATCATCTTCTAGATCGAGTTCATCTTCCTTTCCTTTTCTTTTTCATCTGATTTCTTTTTCGATTCTGATTTTTCTGATTCTTCAGATTTCTTTGGTTTCTCAGTAGTTTCATCTTCAGAATCTTCATTATCACTTTCGGACTCACTTTCCGTCTCATTATCGGAATCACTTTCATCATTTGCTTCCGTGGTCTCGGTAGTTTCATCGTCATCGGGTTTCTCAGTAGTGGTCACTTGGGTGCCGTTGGATTGACCTAAAAGAATTGATAGAAATTGGAAATGAACCTCGGAAAAACACTGTTGCCATTACTCAGAAATTCAATGTTTACTCTGATACAGTTTCTGATATTGAAGCGATGGAAGCTTGTTTATTTTAGCTGATTATCAACGGATTATCGTTGAGCTTTCATGTGGAACTGTTTTCGCTGCATTAAAGTTAGTTGAAAAGATAATCAATTCTAATCCAAAGTTACCTTCTAATGGACCAGTGGTCTTGATTATTTGTGGTGGTAATGATGTTAAATTAGTTGACATCGAGAATTGGAGACAGATTATCAGTGAAAAATCATCAAATTGAGAATTTAATCATTTAGAGCAACTAAATCAACAACGAAAAAGTTATTAATAATTTCGCAACCTAATTATCTGCTTACCGAAATATTAATAAATCAACTTTTTAGTTTCGATTTTAACTAAAACATTTCTATCGTTTAGTAACAACTTCATGAATTGTGGCCATGTTTCATTATGATGACAATCATCATTTTATCAATTAGTAGGTCAATTAGCAATTACAATCAAGGAATCAATTTGTAAAAATTGAAATGGTAGATCTTGTTGATCGAAAAATATTTCACCTCATTTGTAATATGTATTCGTTAATTGATTCGATTAGTTCATAAGATTGAATTACATTCGATTCAGTTTCAGTTAATGGTGTCGTCGCAACGATTTCATGCACCTTGCGATCCAATAATCGGGATTGTTTCTTTTGCCGAAAACTCGAGCTGAACAAGAATCGTTGAACCTTACATACTTGTCGACGTTTGCGAGAAGCTGAACAGCGCGATTACATGATGATATCCCGGAAGTGATTGAAGATACTGTTGTTGTGGTGGAAGAAGAAGAAGAAGAAGATGATGATGATGATGAAGATGACGAGGATGACGATGCAGTTGAATTCAATGAAGGAGATGATGTAACATTGAAAACTTGAGTTGAATTTATGTTTGAAGGTACGGAGATTATTGAAACTGTAGCGTTGTTATTATCTGTTGTATTATTTGATCCACTTGGTGAGTTACCTGATTGTAAAAGTGTCTGAATTAATTGTCCTCTTGTAGCCTTATAATTGCTAATTGCTGATTGTCGCTGAGCTTCAGTACAGTTAAGATTATTGTAGCGAGCTAAACATCGAGGCTCAGGGATTGGATCATCTTCTAGATCGAGTTCATCTTCCTTTTCCGGTTTCTCTTTCTTTTCATCTGATTTCTTTTTCGATTCTGATTTTTCTGATTCTTCCGATTTCTTTGGTTTCTCAGTAGTTTCATCTTCAGAATCTTCATTCTCACTTTCGGACTCACTTTCCGTCTCATTATCGGAATCACTTTCATCATTTGCTTCCGTGGTCTCGGTAGTTTCATCGTCATCGGGTTTCTCAGTAGTGGTCACTTGGGTGCCGTTGGATTGACCTAAAAGAATTGATAGAAAATTTTAGAAACAATCAAACTTTTAAAGGAAAATTGTACTTACCTTGACATGAAGTGAATTTAATTGTTACCATGAGGATGAAAAAGCAAAGGAACAACAATTTAATTGTAGCCATGATTAAGTTCACTGATTAACTTGATGTTGATCTTTTCACTTATTAATTTAACTGTTTAACTAATTGCAATTATCTTCTTATATATACACACATGTACATGTTTGTGTTGATAATTTGTTCTTGTTAATTGTCGTAACCATCCTAATAATTATCATCAGAATTAACTGTCAATTAGTTAATTTATGTTAGTGTTTGGTGGAAAAAAAATTACCTATTGAAACGTATAAGCAAAACGATAATTTTTAATTGCTTCACTCTTTACTTATATTATCAAATAATTAATTAATCTATTGTGATTCTTCCCTGTTAATTGATTAATTGTGGTACAAGCAATTTATTCACTAATTGTACAAGATATAAATAGAAAATGTCAATTGTGACAATTTAATACGTTCGAGTTAATAACAAATCTATTCAATGTAAACACTTTTCCATTAGTTAATTTTCATCTCTTTATGTAAGATCATTAATTGTTCCATAATTATTATCAATTAGAATCAATAAAATCCAACTAATTAAAAAAAAGCAAATAATTTATTCTTCTAACTAATTAACACGATAAAGATTATGATTGGGTAATATCGTCAATTGTTTCCAAATAATTTCAAAAACAACTTGAGATACAATCAATTGACAAGAATATTGATTAATTAAATGAAGCGAGAAAATAAAATCGATAATTAATTTATATTAAAATTGACAAAATTAGTTAATTTAATTTTCTCAAGAGTAAAAAGTGTGAGTTTGAAAAAACCGCTTTTCGATTTTCTCTCATAGCAACCAAACTATTTCATCCAATGGAAATGAGATCTCGTTGCTATGTTTACATTTTTCTCTTTTAATTTTTTGGTTCCAAATTGTTTTCTGTTAAATTGTTATGTAATTGGTGATTTAATTGTTTCGTAGTTAAAGTAAAAGTTAACATGTTAAATGTTGGACAATTGTCATCATCTCTTTTGAGAAAGAATAACATTAATTTCCAATCAATTCGATGTTTACCCGTTTGGAGTATTGGAAATGAACCTCGGAAAAACACTGTTGCCATTACTCAGAAAACCAAATGGCTTGGATTTCTTGTTCCTTTGGGATCTTTTGTTCATGAAAGGGATGTTTTTTATAAGCAAAAAGGTCTCAAGTTCCATCCTGGTTTGAATGTAAGTTGTGTCTATGTGATAATCTTGCAATTAGGTTTGTAACTTGTCTGTTGTTTTTCAATAGGCTGCCTTGGATCCAAGAGACAATGCTATCTATGCATTGAGAGATGGGATCATTGTGATTTCCACTGAAAGATTTATTCCTGATCTTACCAATGAAACTGTTCAGAAACATTATGTTGATTATGATGGACCCATGATGATTCGTTATGCTCATGTGATACCTCACGAACAACCCAAACTCTTCAAACTGACAGAATTAGTTTAATTTATTTATACAAAAAGGGAAAACAATAAATATTATTTATGTAGATAGATTTATTTACAAAGTTTGGCACAATGATAGATTATTTCATCTTGTTACAAACAAAATTCAGTGATTAACATTGATAAACAGAAGGAAAATGATAAATCATGAGATTTACTGTTGTTGTTCTTGAGGAAAAGAGAGAGAGAGAGAGAGAGAGAGAGAGAGAGAGAGAGAGAGAGAGAGAGAGAGAAAACAAGAGACTTAAATGAATAGGGTTATTATTTTAGCTCTAATTATGATTAACTTCTTGTCAATTTCCTTTTTTTTAAAGATGAATATAAAATGGATATTACAAGAAAATAGTTCTCTTCCTTTCGTGTTGTTATTGAGAAAAAGTAACCAAATTGTGACGAAAGCAACTGTTGATTTGATACAAGAATAAATTTTTCTCTTTCAATATGATTAAATAGTCGAAATTAGACTTTGTTGTCCAAGAAGTTGAGGTAATTATGATTTTACTCTGGTTGACAAAGATTATTATGAGAATCATTTTCCAACTTTTGTCGACCATCAGCAAGTTAATTGTCTATTGTTTATCTTGAAGTTATCAATAACTCGTTTAATAGTGTAGTGAATTTTAGGATCTTTAGTGCCCACATCTTCGAGATCATATGCGATCGACCTCGAATCAAGATGAATTGCAGTCGAATTACGTATTTTTCCCATGAGTAAGAATTTCTCAGCATAAGTTGTTCTAAGTACACTTGGATCAAAGCAAGATCGATCCATGGTAAAGGTGAAATCTTGCCCTTCTTGTCCCTCTGCGAGAAAAAAAAGATAAATTAGAATTCAATCAAATGAAAGTTTCAATTATAATTACCTCCATAAAGAGATTGGCCAATTTTGAAATGTAGAATGACCAAAGAATCGAGTTCGATCTTTTTAACAAATCGACCCAACCAAACGAAACCATATTGTCCAGAGCAAATTAGTCTAGAAAACTTATCCTTAGCTCGACCCATGTTAACTGAGCCAATTTCACCGACTTCGTTGAGATTATCATTCAACGGGCAGATCCAACGAGCTGTACAATGGCAGATACTAGAATTGCAGATTTTTTTAAGATAATCAGTTCGACGAGTCGAATGGTATAACTGTGAACAGCCTTGGCCTAGATAAAAATCGAAAATAATATCGAGGTTAATAAGTTAATTATTCCAATTTTTTGATTCATGGATTTACCTTTCTTGTAATAATCGTATATTTTAACCATAGCAGATTGAAGATTAGCTACTTTGTTTTCTTGGTAGATCTTGAAACTTAGACAATATTGCGAATCAGCTGATACATCTTCGAGATAAAAGATTACTGATCGAGCTGTTTTCTCGTGAGATGAGATTATTGGATTATTTTTGCGAAGATTCATTAAATCATTTTCATCAGCAACATAACCACTTAGTATACCGACTTCAAGTATAACCATTCCAGTATCAGTTGAATCGAATCTTTTAGCACAAACTGTTAGTTTATTAGTAACTTTGGAGGTTCCTGAAAATTTGTAGTCGCTGGATGTTGATTCAGCCTTATTCGAGCCGGAATATGTCGGACCAGATGGATTAGCAGAACTAAGCTCAGTAAATGTAGAGTTTACAATTGTTTCAACTTGAACAAGACGCTCGTTCAGTACTCCAATTTCAGCTAACATTGTGATGTTGAAAAGGTCATCGAGTTCAACTGGAGTATCCGATGAAATAGAGTTAAAGTCAGTTGGTGAGAGATCATGAGTAACATTAACATCAAGCTCAAAGCCACAAAGTTTTTCGGGAGCTTCCAAAACATTATATTTATATTTAACCCGAACTGAGCCTAATCCAGTTCCACGAGTTACCATGTCTATATAATCACATTCATTGTTCATCTCAAAGGTTCTCATAACCTGAGCGTTGTCTTCGTGGAATTCAATTGATTTCCTAAATCGACCAGAAGTAATGTTACAAATGAGATTGATGTCAGTTAAATTGTATGAAGATTTAGCATAATTTGATAAAGCTTCTAAAGCAACAATGGTGTCCTGTGTAGCATCAAATGCTCCAGTGTACGAACGTTGAGATTCAAGGTAATTGATTATCGCTTGAATCTCATCTGGTTTGGCTTCACGAAGATTCAGAAGAGCTTGAAGGATATAACCAGTGGTTTCGATAGGTGTCGATGTATTCCAGAAGAGCTTATTCTCGTTAGCAGAGTAAACGGATAATTCTCTTAGACGAGAAACCAATGTTTTACGACGATCACTTGATTGTAAACATGGTGTCGTCGATAAACTATAAGCTAGAAGGGCAATGTGATAGGGATCACCTTTGATTAACTCAGAAGTTAGTTTACCACATAGATACGATTCGGCAAGTTTCAGAGATTTATCTCGTCTTTTGCTAAGAACTCGTGGGTAGGTGAAATTGTCACAGGTTCGAAGGGTGTTAAAGGTAAAGGCTGTTATTGGAATGACTCCAACTAAGCCACCAAGTGCTGATTTATGAATGATGGGTTGATACTCTTTCCATGAGCCGGAAGGAGATGATTCTTGATGGTCAACTAAATAGTCGATGGCTGTTAGAACCACTTCAGGGTCTAGATTTAAGCCTAAAAATGGAGCCGCTTTACACATGATCCGAGTGACAAAGGCAGTCAGCCAAAGAGAACTTGGTCGTTTCTCGAATGTTGAATAGGATCCGTCGGGTTTACGGAACATCATTTGATTTTCGTAACCTGATTTCAGATATTTTAAACCCTTTTCTTGTTGACTTGGTGTTAATCTTCCCGTAGAGTTGAGATAGTCTAGTGTGAAAAGTGTTGGTGCCATTCGAATGACATTTTGTTCACCACAACCAGTGGGCTTTGAAATTAAATGGTCAATATTTGATAGAGTAGTTACCACGGAAGGGCCATAAGAATCAGCGATTGCCGAGACAACACATTCTTCAGAGTCTGGAACGATGGCTGAATTTTGTGCTCTGGGAACTAAATCAATTCGGGTTTTCTGTTCACCTTTATCAGGGTCGATAGAGTCAACTAGATTTTCTCGTTTAATTGATCTTTTCTGTCGATGCTGAAGATTCCGTGGATCTAATTGAACGGCGTAATTGTCAACAACAGTGATACCTGAAAAAATAGAAATAATAATTAATGATACAAATGAAATTTCAAAGTTCAATACCAGTCAAGTTGTTCGATCTCTTTATTTTTCTCTTCGAGCCAAGCATAGCTATTCTATTTATCGAAACGGGAAAAGAAAGAGCTTATTAAAATACTTTTAAAACTAATTAAGGTGGGAGAAAATCTAATTCATAGCCAATTATGAAGGTTCAACGGTTTAACCTGCTGTTTCTAATTTCTTAATGGAGCTTAATCATTAACAATTAATCTCAAAAACAAAAAGGTGAGCGAACTTTACAACTTTGATTTTCCGTTTTAAAACCAACATGAATTACCAATAATGAAACAATTTATGTTTCAGTCTGTTTATCTTTACGGTGATCAATCTCTTACAATTTTAAATCACGAATTTAATAAATAATGGACCTTCGTCTAGAACTGAAAGTTGAATGGTGTGTCAATCAATTAAACAAAATTCAAATAAAGAATAACTAACTTATTATCCCGTAAGAGATGAAAATTTCTGACAACAATTATCAAATAACTGGATTAGAACATTTTTAAGAACAATCAACTTTCGTTTAAAAAACTAACCTTGAGGTACAACGTGAAGAGTTTTAATGACTATATCGGAGGTTCCATGAGCTAAGGCATCAATTTGAATTTTAAATTCACCCGTTCGAATGGGCGAGAGGGCGAACCTTCGGTGTGAAGTACTCCGGGTTCAACGGTAACCAAACGTCTTTCGGTTTTCTGTCCAGCATCAGCTTCGGAACAAACACCATCAACACCATACATAAATAGGTTAACCTTTTTCCTTGTTGATCCATGATTAAAGAGAGTGACCAACATTTCAACCTGTTCATTGACAACAATAGAATAGGGAAGGTCAACTCGAATGTGTAGATCTTTGCTTGAAACTAAACGAAGAGGATTTTCCATTAAACATAGACCGTCTTTGGCTGAAAGCGAAAGTGCATTAAGACGCCACGAAGTAATTGAATGAGGAGTTGTAACTGGATATTTAACGGAAGTCTGGGACTCATCGAGAGTAACCAAATCGAATAGCCAAGTTTCTCTGAAATCTTGACGAATTAAAGTTGACTCTTCGATAGCATCTTCTTGTCCTAAACTTATAGCAGGTTCAGTAGATTTCAGACTTTCAGAATCACTTCCGACATTCACATTGAAAACTGAGGTTCTCAAAAGCGGAGGTGCAAGGGAATTCAAACAACAATCTAAAAATGCTGAGGCACATTTGGTATTTTTAACACTACGAAGTAAAATATCTCGTCTCTCTTCACAAGATAAATTTTTCGCCTTAACAGTGGGCTTAATTTTACCCAATCGACAACATTGATTGATATAATTGTCTGAAGAGTAAGCAGGTAATGACGTGGAAGCGGCATGAGTTGAAGCTGAACGGGAAGATGTAAATGTCGGAGAAGAAACAAATCGTCTGTTTGATGATGAAGAAGAAATCATAACTCGTGGTGAACGAACTGGTCTTCGCCTTGAAGGTTTCTCTTTTTTAACAGCACAATTTGATCCAATTGAATTTGATGGAATACCAGCAATCACAAGGCCAGAGTTTAAAAGTACATCAGTTGGATCAGTTCCTCCCCAGGTCCACAACCTTTGTCTTTAGAATTGAACATCTTTCGAAGTCCATGACGGGTCAAAGTGTTAGCAGATCTAAGAAGGTAAACAGCTTCATCAACGCCAATAACTGACACCTTACGACGACTTTTACTTTGACTTGAGGAGACAATTAAAGTACCATTCTCTCCTGGTTCCATATTAGAGCTGGACACTCCTTTCGAGTTGATATAAGTGACATTAAGATAACATTCACTTGGGTCAACATTGATCAAAAGTGAATCGGAAACGATTCTATCAAATCGATAGGAAACAGCGATAAGTCGGATATATATTAGAATCATAGTAAGTTCTTCATTAGGAGAGATGAATGTTGAACCTTCAAAGAGAATTGAATTCTCATATCTGTCACCTACTTTATATCGGTCAGTTTTTTTCACAAGAGTCAGAGAAGCTGAAGTTTGGTTACTTCGTTCAACAGAAAGTCGAGAAAACGATTGTTCATCTTCATTCAGATTCGGATCTCTTGTTCGAACCTCAAATATGATTCTTTTATCTTGAATACTGGTATTATAATCAACTGTTACTCGACCCAAGTCATCACTCATTACATCTTTGGTTATCATACGACTACTGAAGATTGACAGTCGAGTGGGCATTCCAATAACAGGTTGATTGTGAACATCGAATATTTCAGCAATCAATCGGATTGGGTGTTCAGGTCGAAAGACACGAAATGATGAATCGAAATTAATCTTATAAGGTGAGGCGACAAAATGAGTTGAAGTGTCAATTTGTTTAACTTTTTGTCGGGTAGATGCTTCGATAACTGTTGCTTCGATGATAAGAACACTTCCAATAATCATGGAAACTTCAACTTCACTTTCACTAAATTCATTTGATGAAAATTTGTAACTTGTTACACCTTTAATCAATTCCAATTCATCAGTTTGACCAATACCAATGGTTTGATTTTTTCCATCTCTAACCTTGAATTTAAATCTGACCGTACCTGAAACCGGTTGACCTGTAAGATAAAATGCTGACACTGATCCATTGACGATTGATGTTGAAGGTGTAATGAATTTGGTGATTGAAGAGACACTTTAAACAGAGGTAAAATATATTCTCGTACTTCAAAGGTTACATTAGATGTAACCTGAAATTCTGGTCCATAAGCCATGATGATAGTCCATTTATTTTTAATTGGATCGGGTGGTATTTTAAACTCGTAATTGATAAAGTAATCATCTTTAGTTGCTTCAAGAATAATTTCATCCATTATTATTTTATGAGGATTTTTAATCGATAGTTTAACTTTATCAGCCATCGGTTTAAGATCATCATCAAGTCTCATTAATCTAATCCTAACTCTCTCCTTAGGTGTATAAATTGGTTTATCGGTTTGAACGAAACCAAATCCTGTATCACCAGTGATGAAAATTTGTGAACTATTTTCATCTCCATCCCTGTTAATCACTGAAAGCTTAGCTATTCCAGTTGAAACATTGGCTCCAAGCTCAATTGGAACTGAGAAAGGATTTTCTAAAGAAAAAGATTAACACAAGAAGAACAAGATTAATGGATTGTTAATAATTGGAAAAGTTTAAACATTAAAATGAATAGATTTGTTTTCTCTCCATTGGAAATCTCTTAATTGCTTCTATTCTGTTGCAATAAACTGTCAACTTATTGTAAACAAAAACTATCATAATGAAAATCTTATCACTTAAAACAATCATCATTTCTAAACATAATTAGTTTAAATTCTCAGTGATTACTGTCACTAATGACGAAATTTGACAAAAAAAACTTGACTGAGAAAAAAGAGAATCATTTTAAACAGACAAACTGTAATTAAGAATGGAGAGAGTTTGGAGACAAATTGACAGTCTCTCAAAATTAATTGACAAACTCGTGATTGAGTCTAAACATAAAGAGAATCATGATAATGAAAGTGTTAATAGGTAACTGATTAGAATATAGTTTGGTTTTAAATGACTAAAGGAAGAGAATTCAACTAATCAATGGTTAACTTTGTTTAGAGTAATAGACTAATTTCTTGTGATTTATTTACGCATTTCCACTAATTGTTTACACTCAAGAAAAATGGGTCTAGATTTTCTTAGGAAAAAGTTATTTCTTAACATAATTGAATATCGATTATAACGTTAACCCAGAATCAAAATAAACAAGTGAGAACTGAACTAATCACAAGACAGAATAAGAAAAACAAAAAGATGCACTGAAAAAGGAAACATCGTTAACAAATGATGAATTTTTTGAATGAATAATTAGATTACTAACTTGGTGATTTAGGGAAATATTTGGTAAAAGAACTTGATCATATGAAAGTGTTAATAGGTAACTGATTAGAATATAGTTTGGTTTTTAAATGACTAAAGGAAGAGAATTCAACTAATCAATGGTTAACTTTGTTTAGAGTAATAGACTAATTTCTTGTGATTTATTTACGCATTTCCACTAATTGTTTACACTCAAGAAAAATGGGTCTAGATTTTCTTAGGAAAAAGTTATTTCTTAACATAATTGAATATCGATTATAACGTTAACCCAGAATCAAAATAAACAAGTGAGAACTGAACTAATCACAAGACAGAATAAGAAAAACAAAAAGATGCACTGAAAAAGGAAACATCGTTAACAAATGATGAATTTTTTGAATGAATAATTAGATTACTAACTTGGTGATTTAGGGAAATATTTGGTAAAAAGAACTTGATCATTTGCTTTGATCTCCAACATGAACGCTTCTTCGGTCAAGGGTAAGACCACAACGTTCTCCTGAGTGTAAAGGCGAAAGATTTTTGGAGCCATGACCAATGGAAGGGAACATAATGATCTAGAAGAAAAAAACAATAAGAAAAGACAATGATTAAAATGGATTCCAACGTTCGAACAAGTCTAATCTCGATAATAATTCAATCAAAATTTTGTAACCATTAGAATCGACAATTTGGATTAAAAAATTGACCGAAGCATTTGAATCAAGAGGCGAACAATTAAACAACCAATACATGTAATGACTCGTAGTTAGAGTGGATAAAGATGTCAACTGGTGGTTCCATGAAAGATGTCATTCTGTTTCCGGTTGAAGTGAATTTGGAAAATGGACTAAATGTTAGCCCAAACAAATCAACTCACAGAGAAATGATTGAGATGATTAAACTAAAAGAGGAAAAAAAGCTCAATTCCAATCACAACATCATTCACCTCTAATGTAAACTTGTTTCCTTGTTGATTAAACAAATGATGAAAACCAGAGGCAAGAAAAAAACAAAAGGATATACACTTTCATGACCAAGACACACATTGACAAATCAAAAGAATCAAGGAGAAAAGATAATTAATACTTACTGGACACAAAGAGAAATAATTCCAATGAGAGAAGAAGAAAATTGTAATTGAATTTTATCAACATGATGAAGTAAATTGAAATGAACGTTTTAAAATTAAAATGAATTCACGTGAAGAGAAAGACAAAGATTAACAAAGTAAACTTGAACCTGACACTAATTAAGTCAACAATCAAGTTGAATTAAAGTAATTAGATGTTGATTTACATGATTTTAGTCGATTATTGTTATTGACAATGTCACTGATAAACAATTAATTCCACTGGATTGAGAGAAAAAGAAAAAAACTTTGAACAGAAAAAAAAGAGAAGAGAAAACAAAATAACACCAAAGATAATGTTGATTATTGAGAAAGGATTTTAAACTAAAGAGAATTTGTTTCTTTTTCTCTTTTTCTCTTGTTCTTCCTTCTCTTTTCCCCTCTTCTTTTCCCTCTTCTCTGTTCAACTTCTCTTTCTTTTCTCTTTCTCTCTTCTCCCAAGAGGAGGTAACATAATTTTCCAGCCCTTTTTGTTTTCACTTTTCTTCTGTCACTTGATTAACACTTACAATTAATTAAATCGCTTAAATTTAATCGTATCAATTAATTTAACATATTCTTTGTTCGCAATTTATCATCAGTGTTTACTGGAAATTAATCCCGATTAGAGTGTTAATCCTGTTGATTCACTTGTTAAGTAATTAACGTTTGCCCTTTGATGACAAGATGGCGGATCTTTTGGTTAATCGGTTGATATTTTTTATTTGTTTAAACGAGATTTGCTTTAATTGGTGTTGGTTTTTTGTTTTTGTTTCGTTTCTTAAAACATCTCAATGTGGATCAGCTTTTGGCTTGACAATTGGTATCTGATAAACGATTGGAATATTTTGGTTGACTGAGAGAGAAATCGAAATTATCATGTAAGTTAATTGGAAAGAAATGTTCTCTTCTACAATTGAGATGATCTTATCTTTTAAATTCGTTTATAGTGTTTGGTACTTTTTGGATAAATTGGTGTTGTGTCTCTGTGTGGAAATGGGTAACATTCTGTTTTATGACTTGATTCTTTCATCAACATGACAATTAAAAACAATTCGATTCATTTATTTTCTATTTATCTCTCATCATATTCTAGATTTATTGGTTAGAATCAACAAGTGTCAACATTAAAAAAAACACTAAAGGAGTTACATGTAAATGGAATTTCTTCATTTATTGTCATCGTCATTTATCATCAATCTCTAATCTTCAATCCATCATCACATCTTTATTTTTTTTCTTCCTTCATTAATGATCCTTGTCTCGTAGACAAACAAATTTTATGGCTAATTTGTTGATTATATCGCTCAAATCAATCTAATCAATCTTAATTTGATTACCCTTCCTACACTGACGTTAACAATAATGTTATTTCATTGTCAACTAGGCAATTTCCAGTGGATGCTAACTAGTGTTTGAATTAACAATCAACCGGACTGCCATTAACTGCGTTCTACCTTGAAACGTTTACTTGTCATCGGATTGAGAGTATAAATATTATAAAGGACAATAATCTCCAATCATAATTTAAATTTTCTCTGTGTGAGAATCTCTGCTGGATATGACACCATGGAGAAACTCACTTTATTGATTAAGACAAAGTTGATCACAACTGGAAATCAAAATGAAAGGGATGATAAGTGATTACAATAAAAAAAAAGGTAAATGATGATTATACTTTTAGATGGTGATGATACAAACGAAGAGTTGAAATAACATTAGATAAAGATACTAATTATGGTAATAAATTATAACATCTATTAATTAGATTCTGAGATCGCTGGTTTCTTGGTTTTGCTTCGATTTCTTCTTTGGTTTTTTGAACTTTTTGGATTTGGATTTGGATCATGGATTTTAGCGTTTAACTGTACGCACATTACCATTCGGCCACTTTTGTCGGTCAGTGAATATTTAACCTTGATTGGAATCTGGAGAAAACAAAAAAATGTCAACACAATTGGTTAGTCAGAAAAAAACAAGACAGATAAGTGATGTAAAGTCCATCAAGAGGAAACCAATCAACAATTAACACAAATCTGATAAATTTGACGATTTCCATATGATCAGAAAAATCATTCAACAACATAATTTAAGACCTTGACCAAGATGAATTGAAGTCACATCCATCATCACCACGAGATTAAGTAATTAGACGAGGAAACATATGGCTAATCATCATCATCGTTATAATGATCGTGTTGATAAAAAAATAGATTAGCAGTTTCCTTAATTTAACTTAAAGTCGCTCAATACTCTGTCTTTAATCTAATTATCATGCATCAACAGAGAGGAAAACAATTGACAACCAACCTCGGCAACTATGGATGGAGAAATACAAAGATTCATGGTGACATATGAGCAAAATTGTCGCTTAATTGTTTCACCTCAATACCCAGTAAACGTTTTCTTCAAGATCAATTACACTTCTGAAAGCTATTGAAGCAAAATCAAGAAATTATCCTACAACAAACATCAAGTGCATCCTTTTTGATAACAAAGTAACTTCATTTACAAAACTATTACATGGATGGTTTCAAAAAGATAATAACAATTATCATCTCGAACTTGATGTTTTAACTTCCATTAGCTACAAAATTCAATATTTCAAAATTTGTGTAAGAATAATTGAAAAAGATACCCAATTGAATGGACCAACACTCCAACATAACTAATTGTTACTACGATAAATTCAAATTTGCCTAAACAAATTATTCATGAAACAATTGTATTTCCTGTTCCGAAGACATCATGTTGCTTATCATCATTATTCAAAAGCAATTGATGAAAGGAGGAAGATGGAAAACAAACAATTGTGATAATTGATTGATCGTTTTTCTTTCCAGAACAATATTGAAAGATGATTATACATGTAATCATCAACTAAATCAATTGGATTTGAATAATTATCACTTACCGCTGGATAGAAAGGTTTAACTTCGAACGAAGCTTTGAAAAGATATTTACGACCTTTTTTGATTGGACAAGAAGGTACAATATAACCTGAACATGGATCTTTTCGAGTCTCAGGGAACGGAAGTTCTCGTCCTCGAACCACACCTTTAATTACTTCGGACAAACTGTTGGCATTGATCGCTGTGTAAATAGAATAGAAAAATTAACCAAAGCTGATTAGAACAAAAGGAAAACTTGAAATAATTCTGTTAGAAAGAGATCAATATTATTCTAAATGAATAAATATCTGTGAATGACCATCAAATTGGCTCTTAGCACTTCGTCACCACGGTAAACATTACACCATGGAAACAATGAGTCAATAATGGAAACACCCTGAGCAACATTGGAAAAAAAGTTCCATAATCAATGTTTATTGATTTCAAATTATTCAAATTCAAGTGTTTACTTTAAATTTCAAGTAATTCAAATGGATTTCAATAACTTGCGTAAATATAATTTATTTAGACTTTTGTTCATCTCTTACGTAAATTGTATAATATTTTTTTTTCTCTCTTTCTATTCAGGTTTACAGCTAAGAAAAGTTCGAACTGATAATAGATAATTGGAACTTACGTGCTTCGAAATCAGCTTCAACCTCGACAGTTGATCCAAGGTTGATGATACAAGGATCCCCTGAACATGGTCTTACACGAACTTCCCGAACATTACCACCTCCTAGGGAATAAAGAAAATAATATCAATATAAATGTCCAGTTTGTCTTATGAAATATACAATATAAACACTGTGAACACTTTAAATGGTGATGATAATCAACAGATAACTAACCACAATCAGTGAAGTTTACACCCTGTCCATTGACTTTGGTAAAAGCAAAACAAGTAAAAAATAAGATTATTGAAGATTTGATCATCATGGTGAAGTTGGTGAAATCGAAATGAAACTTTTCTTCAACGTTCAAGAGATAATGTTTTAAGAAGGAAAAAAAAGGTTGGATTTATAATTTGAAAGTCGAGAGAAAAGAAAAAGTCGAAAACACCGAATACACACCGTGAGATTTCAGCTCGAAATCATTAAGTGAAATCGGAAAAGTGGTCTGATGAATGATAATGATGACGACTAACCGTAGGTGGTGGTGGAAGGAAGACAAAAAAGGGAGGGGCAAAGGTTAAATCGTAAATGAAAGTGAAAGTTAAATGGTAAGTAGCCTTTTGGCCTCAAATGCTTATAATCCATTAGAATTGACAATCAAAATGAATCAACTAAAAACCAGTCAACAATATTGAGTTCATAGTGTACTATATGAATGGGAAACACTCTCACATTGAACATGAAGGTAATTAGGACACTTTCGTTGTTGTTGACAATTTAGTGACAGTTTAAAAAATAATAATAATTCAAGTATATTATCAAGTCAAGGCTGATTATGATGGTTAATCAAGAGAGATAATGATTAACTGAAAATTAATCACAATAAAATACAAATCGTACTTACAAATCGTGTAATCAATAAATTAATATCGATTATCAATTAACGTATTAATAACCAATTACTACGCCAATTTAATTCATTAAAAAGTTAATTGAAAATTACTCAATCATAAATATTACTTAACTTGATTACTTTATGGTAATATTACCTTGAATAATAGATTTAGATGATAATTTGAATTATTATTATTTCAAAAATTAATAAATAGTAAATGAGACAAAATAATTAGACAAAAAAAAAGAAATGAAATTTAATTCAGTTAACAATTTGATTTTGAAAGTTATTACAATGAAAAAGTTTGATGATGAATGATTAAAGTGATGATTTTTGTGACAATTTAAACAAGATAAATATTTGAATGAGGTGGTTGAAGTTTATTCAGTTCCTGAAGGATACGAACTCGTGGACCCATGGGGATTCCTAATTTGATTAATTTCTCCTCATTAAGAGCTGATAACTCTTTTAATCCAATTTTTTCACTATCAAATTTAGAAGTATATTTCTGTTGATTAAAGAGAAGAGAAAATTAATCATGATAATCAATAATTGTTGAGAAAGAGAAAGTGAAAGATGAGAAAACAAAAATAAGGAAATGAATATGTGAGAGTTAAATACAAATAACGGTAAATGAATCAACGAAAGTAACAAAAAGAAAACAATAACGATTGAATTGAATGATAAATAGAATAAGATTGACAAGTGAAAATTAATATTCTAATCATGATAAATATCCTGATTTACCGGTTTAAAGTATACATATTGTTAAATTGTTATTATCGTTAATTGGCTATTGTTAATCGAGTTTGTAAATTTGATTCAGTTTCAAGTTTTTCTTACCTCGTAGCCTAGTTTTTTAAGGAACTGTCGGAGTGGAGGCTCATCACCGAAAAATCTGATGAAGAATAAAAAGTGAGAATTAATTTTATTAATCAAATAAATTGAAATAAACAGTTAATTTGATTTGTGAGAGAAAACAGATTTGCGGAAGTGTTCAGATTTTCGTGGTCTCTCAATTGGAGGTTGACATGAACAGAGTTAATTGCTGGAAGGCTTTTTCGCTATTATCCCGATTATCATGGTTTTCTCTTGGTTTTCCAATTGATAGAACTTTTTCTCTCTCTCTCAATCATCTTCATCAATTAAACCTTACAAACAATTACCCGTTTTAATTGTGTGAAGGTTTCAATGATTTATCTGTTTTCTTTTACAGTGATAATGGTCAAGCAAATTAACTTTTTGTTTTGTTTCGTTCCTCATTAATTACCTTTTAATTTTATCGAGCTTATTGTTTTTGGTATTTCCGATTACTTCAGATCTCAATTTCTCCGATGAATCCTTAGGATCTGGTCCCATGTTGCTTGTTGATCGTTTTGGTTCCACCGTCGACAACCAGAGGTGTCGTTTTAAAGCATCGTAACTGCTCGTGGATTCGGTCGACATCTTTTCGTAAAGTTTGAACATCTTCGATCAAACACTGATTCGACCTTATTTCGGAAGAAAGTTGGGAAACACTTCGTGCTAATGTAATCACATGGCCTTCCAATCGTTTCAATCGTCGAGCTCTATTTTTCCATAATAATTTAAAGAGAGAAAATCATAAGCAACTCAATTAAGTATCATAATACATTTTCTCATTGTGTCTTTTGAGATTATCATTTAGTTAATTTACCCTTTAGAGTCAAAATCTTCTCGTCGATTGAAGTGTCTATTGTTACGACTGTAGAAAGCATCTCGACTAGCAACGGACAGCGAAGATACCGATCCACTTATCCGACGATTCAGTTTACCAGAACTTGAATGATGCATTGATTTTTTAGCTCCATGCATTCGGGAACCAAGAAGATTGAGTATCTGAAATAATGAGAAAAAAATTGTTTTTATAAAGTGAATTTAATTTTGATCGTTTGATCCCAGTAATTAACTAAAATGTAAACAAACATCATCATCATGTTTATATATACAGAGATGAAGTTTTTTAAGAAAAAAAAACATTCTCATTATCATCAAATTTCATATCTACATTTCATCATAGTAATCAATCATTTGGATTAAATCACATCGTATGAATTAAATACTCATTAGAAAGGTAAGATTGATGATCTGACAATCAAGGGGAAAAGTTGAACAGAAAATCAAATCTACAAGTTCACTGACCACATTCATATCAATGAATTTCTGTTCCCTGGTCAGGGTGATAACGATTAGAATGAATATTCTGTTAATGATTATGGTTCCATGAGAATGAATTGAAATTAAGACGATTAAAAGTAATAACAATAAAGGAAAAAGTTTATGAATGGATAATAAAGGAAAGATAAACTTGGAAATTTACAGAGAAAAGTTAACAGTTGTAATTGGAACACTAATCATAATTAAATAGTATCACTATCAAAAAGAATACACAATTAAAGTTGAAGAAAATTAATCCATCATTTTCGAAAAGTGAGTCGAGTAAATTGTCGTCGCAATTAAGGGAGTTAATTAACAATTCCAATGTCACAATGATTTAAATTCTCAAATATAATTTATCACAGTGACACAAAAGGGAAAACATCAACAGACAGAAAACAAGGCGATTGTTAATTGCGAAAAAATTGTCAACAAGGTTAACGAACTGAATTAATATAAACTAGATTAAGATTCATTGTCACCACCTTAAAGACAATTAAAGAGATACAATCACAATGATGAAGAAGAAAAACTTAAGGGAAAAAAAAGAAAATGTAACAAAGATTTAATTGTAACAATTAAAAAGACAATTTGTTAGAAAGTCGAGTAATTAGATTCTAATTAGTTTCTAATTGTGATTAACATGCGAACGAAAAAGTAATAACAACAGTAGTTCCCTCTTTTGAAAAAGAAAACCAATTCTCTTAACGAATCGATTAGATTTTTTTTTCTCTAATTGTAACAATCTAATTACCTCGGAGTACATGTTTTCCAATCCTGACAATTGTTTCCTCACATGAACATTATCGTTATTTGTTTCCCAGGCGTCCGTGTTTGCGGTATATTCACTGGTCAGATCGTCCACATCATCAACCGATTCTAATCCGATTGTGGTCACTGATCCAGTTTCCTCTGGAACCATATTTGGATTTCGCCATTTTTTACTCGACGACAATTTACCGTAACCTTTACCGTTACTCAAGGTATTGTACCGGCCATTAGATGAATTAGTCGATGCTAATTTAGATTTGACCCCTAGAGTTTGTTTAACTTGACCATTGGTGTTGGAGCTCGTGGCAGTGTTACAATTACCATTGGCCATGTGACTGTTGACACTGGTCAGTTGTAGCTTGTCCCCCGACATTGAAACTTTCTTACTATTGACCATTAATCCATTTTTGTTTATATTAACACCATTGATTTCACCTTTTCCATTGAGTGTTAATAAGTTTTGGTTAACTGTCGCTGAGCCGAGTTGATATTGCGTTTTTTGGTGCTGTTGTTGTTGTGGTGTTGATGTTGATGTTGTTGAATCTATTTTCTTATTGACTCCATTTGAATCACTTTTTTTCATTGAGTTTTTAGTTTCAGGTTCATCGACGGTTTTAGATGAATCGGAAACCCATGAATCGCTTTCAAGTACAACAGGTAATCTCATGCATTGATTTTTCAACGATGATAAACCTAACCCATTGGAAATGTTTATCCCGATGTTTCCTCCGCATCCTCCACCATCCGAGGTCAGTTCATCATCTTCGTCAAGAATTTTCTGTAAATCAGCTTGCATCTTGTCCAATGTTGATGATTGTGAGGTTGATGGTTTATTAAGATGACCATTGGAATAATTTGTTTGCTGTTTTTGTTTAGTCAATTCTGTCCCATGAGAATCTGTTTGATCAGAATCAAGGCTTGTTATATCGAGAGGTGGACTGATCGATGTTGAATTTTGAGCCTCAACTGAACCTGATTCTGATGTTCTGGTTCCTCTTCCTGAATCAGATGATGATGATTTATAAGCTAAATCAGGTGAACTTGATGAAACAATCATATGATTAAGAGCATTGTCTGTTTTACATTCATCATCAATGGATAAAGGAGTGTCCGGTGATCGATGGCAATTACGATGATGAGAATTCACATCCATTGAAGTGCTATTATTATTATTATTATTATCATTTCCACAATTAGATGTAGATGATGAATTTTTTACAGTTAATCCATGATTTTGATTATTCTCATAGGAAGAAACTACGACAATATGAGAACCTAAAATGGCCGTTGATGAATCTTGTCCGTTTGAAGATTTCGTGGTGTTGTTATTACCTTTTGGATTCATTTTAATTGTATTAGATGATAATGAAGATACTGTTTGATAATTATCGTCCGGACGCAATTCGTTTGGCCTACAAACCTCAACGAATCGATGCTGTGATTGATTAGCATTAATTGTTGGCTGTTGATGGTGATATTGTTGTTGTTGTTGTTGTTGACTGATTGTTTGTTGACTTTTAGTGTAAATATCTTCAACATTACCATTAGTTAATCGTTGACAATTTGAATCAACTTTAATTGATGAACACTGAGCTTGTTGTTGGCTGTTGATGTTTCCGTTGGCTCGTGTTGGTGTTGATGTTGATGTTGATGTTACAAGATGCTGTTGATGATACAAATGATAAGGTAATCCACTTTGCTGCTGATTAGAATACACTTGATGAGGATAAGCATAATTACAAGATGATGATGATGATGCTCCGATTGTGGGAAGATAAGTTCTTGAATTTCCAAGATGATCATAATTATCTCTCAGATAAACTGAATCATTGTTGTTAAACTGCTGCTGTTGATGATGAGCTAGATGATGAGGTTGATTATTGTAAATCATATTTCCAGAGTAATGATTACATAATGAATTAGCCATTATTGGTATCATTTGTTGATTTGGATGATGATTAAGGAGTGTTGATGAATGTGAGAGTGTAGATGAAGGATATTGACGATAATCAAATGTTGAACCTGAAGATGATACTGATTGTTGGCTTGTTAACTGTAAATTAAGGGCTGGTGTTGATAGACTTCGAGTTGTTAATGGAGGATTGATAATATCATCCTCATCAATTTCCTCGTTATTTTCATTATTGTTAACATTATCTTCACTATCTTCACCAACAGGGTAATCAGAAGGTCCATTATTAGAAGTAGATATTGTTGATGATTCTAATCCAGTTGAATTATTAACAGAAATTGGAGCTCGACGAGAATCACGAGAACCGGGAAACAATGTTGATCTTAACTTTCGTAAACACGGACTGGTTATTGTTTTAGTTAATCTAGATTCTTTCTTATTACTATTAGTTGATTGTTGGGCTGATGATGATGATGAAGATGATTGTTGTTGATGCTTTGATGAAGTTGTTACCTTTGACAACTGTTGACAAGAACCATTAATTTGCTGCTGACCAACACTACTCTTATCATTACATGATGAATTGACTGGACAGGAAGAAATGAAATGATGGTGGACACAAGAAATTAGGAAGCAAGGAAAAAAAAGTAAGAAAAATGATTATTATCATGACAACAATTTACTAATCATCATTATCATGTTGATGATAATATTAGATGAGATTGACAGTCAATGAACTCTCACCATCATCAATTGAATAAGAATGAAAAATCATTAAGATAAACTTGAGATCTCATGCTAATTCAATTAATTTAATCTTCTAAATTAAAGATTTACTCAATGATTAGACTACCTTAATGGTCATCATCATGGAATCAGATGATAGCATAACTATTATCATTATGATTTAATTGTGATTAGAATCTTGATTGACCATAGAGAGAAATTCATTTACAATAAGAATCAAGAAAATGATGAGAATATGAAAATGTTGAAATCTCGCCAATTCAATATTCAAATTTCAACGTAAAAGTCTCATTTGTTTTCTCAGGTTTAAATTAACGCTTCACAATCAGATGACCAGTTAATCATTTACAATTAAAACTAATTGTCGTTTTACCTTTTTCCTTTGAATAGAGAGCCATTGATCTCGGCAAGGAACCTCCGTTGGCCAGAAAACTGATATTCCCTGGTTTCCTGGTTAAAGTACCTTCGCCATCCCCTGAATAATTCAAAGTTAATCCTGAACCTGAGTTCATCTGTTGTCTCATCATGTTAATCTGAATATAATGATTAAGACAAAAAAAAAGATTCAAGAATATGAAATTTACAGGAACTTCAAGATGAAAAAAACAATATCTTCTTGCATATTAAGATGATAGATGTTGATGAGAAAATAACCTGATCATCATCATCATCATCATCATCAAGTTAATTATAATGAGAATCATTGATTAACAATGTATTGTATTTATGATTTATATAAATATTCAGTGAGAAACAAACAATCAACATTAACATGATTGTTGGTAAATTATCAATAAGCAAAATAGATGAGGCAACGAATTGAAAGTTTTTAGTTACTTTTAAGCAAATTAACTAACCAACTAATCATAATCATCAACATAATCATTAAGTTAATCATTTTCACACAAAAAAACACCAACATTTGATTAATATATTTTCTTGTTACATGCAAATGTATCAGAAACAAACAAATTGCTGAACGTTATATATTATTAATCAACGAGAGAAACACAATCAACAATTAAGATTGATGCTTATTAATAATACAATAATTAGTTAAAACAGAAAAACATGATTGCGTGTTAATAATCATTTCTCACATAAAATTATAATCAACAATTAATAACAAATCATAATAATAAATAAAATACAAACAACACGATAATTAACATGATAATTAACAACCTGATCGTTGATTAATCAAACTAACGATATTTTCATTGTATTAAAAGTCACAAAAACAAAACAAGTTGAGATTTAAAATGAAATTTAATCATGTTTGATTAAGACACTAATCAAATGAAGATACTTTGAGATTAATTAAATCCACTGATTAGTGTTAATTTATAATCTTATTGTTGATATTAATATAATACAATCACAATAGTGTCTTGATTAACTAATATTTATATTTTCTTAATTGTTACTTGTTCCTTTGTCTCATGATAATGATTTAACTTAATTATGATTTTATAATAAATAATTATCAAATATTAATCGTGACTATTTGACAATCTTCATTGTTAACGGATTATCATGATAACTTTCATTTTATCATTTAAATCATGATTTAACTTTTATGAAACTTTTTTTTTATCAATCATATTTAATCATCACAATTTAATATCATTAACTAAATATCCGGATCTTATATAACAATATAATAGTATTACAATCATGATTTATCATGAAAATAATATCATAGTAATCATAGTAATCAATGGTGATGAGAAAATGTAAATTGTTAACAATCAACAATCAACAAGTTGATTGAAGGTGAAATCGTAATCATGATTACAATTAGATTGATTTCTTTTCATTTTCTGTAATAATAATATATGAAAAATTTATCATCTGTTTAATTAGAATCAAGGTTAATTTTCAACAATTAATAATAATTAACTAAATTGTATTTCTTTTTTTTTCTTGTTACCTGTTAATCAAATTGCTTCAGTTAATCACATAGTAGTTTATTCAAGGTGAATTTTGTTATTGTGATTAAGATGGTTAATTGTTAGGAAATGAGCGTAACAATTGTAAACGTGAATTAAATGGTTAATTGTTGAGGAGGGGAAGATGAATTAAGCAAAATTTATATATATTAATATTATGTAACATTAAACTGATTGTTAACAATTAAATCTTAATCATTAATCGTGTATTGATTGTACAGATTAATTCGTGAAGCTGAAACAACAAAGTTAACACAATTAATGGTTAATCTGATTGTTAATCAATAAAACCGAACCATGTAAATTACAATTAAAAAGTTTCCATGATTAACAAAAAATTTATTAATTGTTGTTACTTTTTCGCTTAACTAATTCATTTGATTCATCAATTGATTATAATATTGATCAGTTAACTGTTATAATAATAACAACAATCGTAAAACTTTTAATCAGTTGATTGTTTTAACAACAAAAACTCATATAAATTATAATTTTTAATCACAAGTGAAATTAGTAAATATTATAGTTAGTTGATTAGTTAAATTGCTGTTAAATTGTTGCATTTGTATGACTTTCATTTTAAACACAATCGTGAACAATTAATAAACAGATAAGTTTGTAACATGTACACTAAATTGTTGAAATGGAAACAAAATTAACTGATTGTCATGATTAAGAGAAAAAGTTTCTCAATACTAACCAACAACAATTAGATTTTAACCTTGCAGTTGAAATGATTTGTTTTTATCTCATTCACGATGTAATTAAACTCAATTAAGATCAATCCTAAATATGAATATGATTATACTAATCAATTTCTACCTTTATTCATAATCATGTTGATAGTGATTACTATTCAAAATCTTAATCATAATCATAATCTTAATCATGTCTTCATCTTCATTTCCATTTTCATCTTAACCATGAAATCATTTCATCACTTTTATCATCATCTTCATCTTATATCATAGATATTTTTTCATCTTCATCATCTTCATCCCTCCTACCTGATCATTTACTCCCACTCTCTAAATCATCATCATCATAATCATAATTTACAACTAATTGTTACCTGTGAACGAATTTTTAATTTATGCTTTTGTGGAAAATTAAAATTAATTTAATAACAATTAGCGTGTTTTAATTGTTACCATTGATATGCTCATGTCATAATTGAATTTGATTGTTACCCTTTCTTGATATTTATGGATGCTGATTTAATTTGATTATCTGAGACTGAAATTAAATTACATTGTTATTTAATTCAATCCTTTCATTTGATTATCACAATCTAGTGTTTTCTCAATTGTAGACAATTAAATTTCTGAATAAATTGAAATGATTATAATAATTTACTGATTATGATGAAAGTTTTGTTTTTGTTTCTCTCACAATAATCAACATGGTTTGTTAAAGGTTAGGTAAAAATGGTTATGATTAAGATGATGATGATAGTTAACAATTATTAAATTGTTGATCTTAATTTATAAATAAATAATATCTTTGAAAATATAATTATTTTCATTACATAATAAACTTGAAACATGATGATAATCATCAACATGATTAAAACTGAGCTTAATAATGAAATTATTTGGGAAAGCAACAATGTTGATCAATTACATATTATTGTTACTATTATCATGATGATTTTAATTGTTATGATTAGGATGGGTTAATTTTATTATTATAATTAACTTACACACACCTCCCTCACTTTAAATAATCAACATTATGATGATTAAGATTAATTTTTTTGATTGTGATTAACCAACAACAAGTATAATACTCACAATCCCAAGTTAATGATTGATGATTAGTGTTGAGATGATTATTGAATTGTAATTAAATTGTTACTGATTGTTGGTAAATTAAAACGGTACACATGAAAACAAAACAATTGTGATTAAGGTTATTTGATATTATCTAATTGTTGATGATGATACAAACTAAAGCCAAGCCTTGATTAAAACTAGAAACATTTAAATGTTTAACAATCAACGATCAACAATCAACTGTCATCAAGTTAACACACAATTTAATTTTAATCGTTCTCAAGATAATCTAATTTCAGATGGAATCAAGGTTAATTCTGAATTTTGATTAACTTTTAAATTATACTCGTTTTCACATAATAGTAATAACAATAATACAATCAACTTAATCACAATTATATATCAATCACAAGAATCCACAATTAAGATTGATATGAAATTAACCATGACAATTAGCATAGAGAAATGATTTGAAAAAATTTGAATGGACAATTATTATTATCATTAAATCAAATCAAATATTTTGATTTAGTTCAAATCACTATTGAAATAATAACAATACTTTACCTTTAAATTGTCATGATAAGTTGTTGATTGTTGTTTAGTTGTAGTTAAATTGGTTTCCATTAATTTCATTGTATCCATTTGTGATTACACAGAAACAACAATCAAATATTTGATTGAAATTGTTGAACAATTTGGCGGAAAAGTTCACAATCTAATCATGATAATGATTAGAATACATATTGACACCTTTTTTAAATAGTATAAACTGGATTAGTTAATCACAATCAATAGAAAAGTTAAATTTGAATAATCAAAATAGTGGAAAAGTTTTATATATAAAGTAATCAGCACGTTGCTACGTACAAGTTACATGTGAAAGTCATTCTCATCTCATAAGCAAAGGGCAACAAACAACAACAACAACAAGGAAAGGGGAAGATAAGTTGAGGATGATAAAGATGATGAGGAGGAGGGAAGATGAAGAATGATGATGAGAGGGAGAGACTTCAAGATCATGACTGGGTTTGGAGATCATACCTGTACAGGTAGATGGAAGAGTCGAGAGAGAGAGAGAGAGAGAAGATGAAGATGAAGATGAGATGGATATTGCTGAGAAGAGGATGAAGAAGCCGAACATACATAGGAAGATGAATGAAAAAGATACAAGATGATGATGAAAAGAGAGAGATAATATAACTTTCTTTCACGAAGATAAAATAATTTCGTGATTCTAGAAAAATATCATAGAAGGAAAAAAATTTTTCCTCTAATATTTTTCCATCTCTCTCTCTCTCTCTCTCTCTCTCTCTCTCTCTCTCTCTTGTGTCATCAAGATATACTTTCGGCTTTCGGCTTTAGAACTGACCTCTCCAATCTATAGGTTTCACTGCTTTCTTCCCACAGGCCACTTAGAGGTCATTTAAGGCCATGATTATAAGATTGACGAGAAGACCTCATTAGCTTATTATTATAACCATCACTATGATAATACCTTTAATTGCCTTTGGTTTTGTCACTTCCTCCTCTTCCGGTTTTAACGCTTCAACTAATTATAGTTACATATAAAGTCAATAATTAACTTAACTATCAACCCTAGGGACGTTAATTTAATCATTGATTGTTATTATTATTTCTTATTAAGTTATATAATAATTAACAATCATCATATTAACATTCAAGGTTCATTAATAATTTAGTTTCAATTTTCACCTGATTGTTTCAACAATTAATTGCAAATAGTATTTTTTAATTGTTAATTATCAAGCAGATTGTAACTTCAACCAATTAGCCAAAGATAATTTAATAATAATAATAATAATAATAACAATCAATAACTATTAATATCATTGTTATTGATTTTAATTGTTTCGATAACTTTTTTTTCCTGATTAGTTATTAAACGAAAAAAAAATCAAAATTTTATTTAATTACTTTCTGATAATTGGATTATTTTTATTATGATTTAGCTGAAAAAAGTTTAATCATGTTAATAATAAGAAAACAATTGTCATGATTAAATCAGGTTACCATGAGCACGATTATTGTTTTCATTATTAACTAACTAACTAAACAGTTAATAATAATAATGTAATGATAAGCATTTGTTTTCATGTTAATTTAAATCATAATTTGATTGTAGTTAATTTTTAATAATAATAATATGAATTAAATTGTTACTTTAATGATAATCATTGTTAATCAATGTTTCATTCATTCAGCACATGTTACTATTAAATTACAATTGATAATCAACTAACCAAGTTTACCAAGATCCATGTTTTTGATTGTTGTTAGTTAATTGTTACAATACAACTAATCATGAATCAATAAGAACCAGAAAAAAACAACAACAATTTAATCAATTAATATTATCCTGAATTTTTTTTTCTACACGAAATTGAATCAAAAACAATTAAATCATTTGATTTTCATTTTGATTGGCAATCACATACAATTAAGATGATTTAACCTGAATTTTAATAATTGGTTGATTATTAAATTTAATTGAAAAAAATAATAATAATAATAATCGATACTGAATTAATTAGATTATGTGAGATTGTGACAGTTAAATGTTGACACAATTTGTTGATTTAATTATTATTGGGAAAATAAAACAAAAAGTTGTTAATAATCATCATCTTTTCAACAAATTGTCTTAATTGTTTGATTGCTATTGTTAATTTATTTAATTGCTAAGGGTGATTTAAATTTTACTAAGCCGTTATTTAGATCACCGTGAGTGGCCTTGATTATGAGCCCGCTAATCAGGGTTAGTTTAACAGCACAATTAACATAATTATTAGTACAATTAACTGTATATTGAGATCAGAAAATTATTAAATCAAAACAAAGCTAAAAAATGAAAAATTTTCACTCTTCACCCTCAAGGGTTAAATTGTATTAATCATTGCAATCAATTTAGGACAATTTAGTAATTTTTTTAGCTTTCATTATACTGATTCTGATTTGGGGGACAATCAATGGTTACCTTAGACTTTGAAATTGATTATTGTGATTACAATTACACCACAAAATTCAAAATAGTAACAATTTAACATCAGTAAGTTTGATTGCTTTTCCTAATTTAATGTAACTGTGAACATCATTAAACACAATTAACCGAAATCAAATATTCACTACTCTTAATTGCTTTGATCATTATATGTACCGTTAATGGCTATTTAATTCAATTCTAATTATTGTATTAGTTTGATGATTTAACATTTTCTCAATAAAATTAACTTACCTGAACTTGATTATGTTGAGCAATAAATTGCTGATAATTTTGATCACTTATCAGCATTTTCAGTTATCGTTGAGTTATAATTGTTGGTTAGATTAGTTTTAGGTGTGATTAATTGTTATTATTATCCAAAGGGAATTAAGGTTCACTTATAATCAATAAGATCCAATTGCATGTTAATTGTAATTGTTAAGGTGAAAACATTTTCCTTGGGAGGGAATATTCAATTGGAACAGAATAACAAAAAAGTTCATTGATGCAAATTAGATCGTAATTGAGAGTTGGAAAAGTCGAACAATGAAAAAAAAAGTTACAGAGACAAAAAAATTTTTCTTTGCAGAAAAAAAAGTTAATTATGAGAATAAGATTATGGATACAATTGATGATTAGGATTAAGATGAGATGAGTGTATTATGTTAGATAAACGGATTTCCTGTGAGGAAACTGTTACTTTTTGATGATGAAGACAAAAGAATTGACAAAGATGATGAAGAGAAAATGAGAGTAATTTTATGCAGAAAAGATGAAGATTGAAAGTATTTTGAAAGAAGATGAGAAAAGATGATAAGAGTGAGTATCATGTGCAATATACGAATGAGAGAGAGAGAGAGAGAGGAGATGAAGCTTAATTCTCTCTATGAGATTAAATCACTTGGTTCGTTTTATTTTCCTTTGATTAGCATTCGTGGGAGAGAAACCTTATTAACCTGTTCATTAGCACGGTTATCATGCAAAAAAGTACAGGTAGAGATCCAGGGTAATCGTAATGAAAGGTAACCTTGCGAGAGAGAGAGAGAGAGATTGAGAGAGGCAGATGGGCGACGCTGTGTATTAATCTAATGATAATGTTTCAGGCCAATAATGATAAGTCGGGAAAAAGTTTAAGCTTTGATAAACTTTTTTTCCCTTTCAAGTTGTAAGTTAATTTCCATGTTGTGATCAACATGTTAAAACTTTTTTGTCTCTTGTTGTTGTACAACCTGAGCATCGACCCGTGGCCGTTAAGATCATCGGTGCAGAGAGAGACACACACATAGGATAAGAGTGAGAAGATGATCAATTTTCTGTGATTTTTTTTAATCATCATCTTCATCTTTTTTTTACTTACGAGATGTTATTCATCTATACAAGGGATGAAGGGATATATGAACATTACAATATTATTTTCCTATGTTTATGATTGTTTCTCATGATGATGATCCTTTTTTTTACTGACTTACATTTACTGTACATTTGGGATGATGATGATGATGATGGTCCAGGACGAAGACGACAATTCCCATGAAAGTAAAAAACTGTGAGAAATTTTGAAAAGACACAAAATCTCATAAAACATTAGCTGATTGCTATTTAATAGTGATGCTAATCATCATCTTCATCTTTAACTTTTACGGAACAATGAAATAGAAAGTAAATGAATACAATTAGTTTAACTAATTAAATTATTCATGAAATTATTGTTTTTTACTGTCCGTTGATTTCAAGCAATTACCATCATTAACTATTTGCAAGTTTAACTAATTACACTTTGAAACATATTAGTTTCTAATCAGTTGTAATATTTGTCTTTGTTTATTATTATCATTACAATAAAAAAACTTTTTTCACTCAAAATAATTACCATTTTTTAACCTAATCATTTGAATTGTATTAATATTTAAATTGCTACAATTAACAGTACACACACCTTAGACACATAGAGACCTCACATAATCACAATTAAGATTATCTAATATCTCATCTATTGAAATCGTCATTGTGATGATAGTCATTTGGATTTAAACTGCTCCTTTTAATTGTAACAACAATTTGAATCCATATTTTTTTTATTAACCAACCAGAGGCTACCAGGTAAACAAAAATTTACCTGAAAACTTTATTAGGTGTGTATCCTTATGGATTTAACAATTTATCATTATAAAAGGTTAGGCTAATGGAGGTTATGTTATCCATAGGTTGTGATTATCTCTTTGGGTTGAATATCAATAGGATTATCTTGCAAAATCCTCTGTGCCTCTGAAATTGGGATCAATCATAAAGATTATCATGATGATGATGATATTAATGGTTAATAATCAAACCTGAAAACTGATCAATGAACTAATTTAGTTGATTAGTGTAATTTAATACATTAAAAAGTGTATCATCAAGGGTAACCCCAAATTGGTATATAAAGTGTACATATTTAAAGGTTAATGATGAAGATAATTATCTTAATCAAGAGATAGAAATTATTATTATTATTATTTTAGTAAATGAACAATTAATTGTTGGGAGTTGATTATGGTTGATCAAATTGTAATAATTATGCTCTTGTTGATTATCATTAAGAAGAAGAAGAGAGAAAAGTTGATTACGATTATTATTAATGATTAAGTAGCTGATTGTGGATCACGAAAAAATCAAATTACCTTTATCATTGATAATCAGGTAAGAAACAATTTTTTTATATGTATATTTATGGATGAAGATGATGAATATGATAATGATGATTATCATTATCATTATCCATGTTAAGATATATATCTTATCATGATAACCATGATTAAAGTTTATTTGAGGTGAAAAATATTGAGAAAAATAATCAGAATCAAAATGAACAGAAAAAAAATTGAAGAGATGACAATGATTACGATGATTACCTATGATTACCTTGATGATGATGATGATGATGATGTAGAAAAAAAAATGTCCAGTAAATTGTTAACAAACCAACAAAGCGGGTGGCCTCTTATTGTTACCTGTTATACTTTCCACCCTCTTCCCTCCTTCCCAGTTTCTCTTTCTTTCCTCTCTTTCTTTCATCCTCATCCTCATCCTCATCTTCATCTTCATCTTCATGTTGCAAAGTTATCTTAAAGGGCGAGCCCATCATCAGCCTTATCTATTTGTGCTCTTCTCAAATGTTACCTTTCGTGTTTACCTTTTGCTGTAAATGATTATCCAAAAAACCGTAAATTCATTTTCAAAAAAAAATATAAGAAAAAAGTTCAATGATGAGCATCGTCATGATGATCATCATCATCACCATCATAAGCTAAATAAGCTTGTGAATTGTTTGTTTTTGTGTAAAACTTTTTTACACATTGATACATGAAGGTGAGGTCAAACCTTGAAACTTATTCTTATGATGTTTTCATAATTCATTGAGTAAATAACCTCTAACAATATGCTCAGGTAAATGTATCTTGGGGGTGGGTTGGATTCTGGAAACTTTTTCTTGGGTTGGGTTCAGGTAATAGATTAGTATCAATAGAAAAGCTCATCTTTTTTTTCTAATATTTTCGTTTCTTTTTTAATCTTATTTTCCTCATTATGCTTAATCAATTGAATTCTATTCTATTTTTACTCAATTATTTACTTTTTTTAATCATGGAAATTATCTAATTTTAGAAATTGATTATTCGATTATTAGTAATTCTCACCGCTAGAAGGAAGCACATTACAATGAACTCGAAATTTTTTTCACAAAAACAAAAAGTTTTAACCTTTGATTGTTTTCGCGATTTGTATTATTAACCTTGATTATTATGGAAAAGGGAATCAATCGGTCTCATGAGAAAACTATTAGAGATCAATTAAATCATTAAATAACAATCAATTCCAATCCTCGTGGATAATATTTAATGTAATTATGTGAGAGGCAAATGGTTTAGATGATTAAATTTACCAGGAAGTTTTCACTTTGTTTCCTGAATCGAAATGGCCTCAATAAGTTCACTGCCTGACCATTCGAGTAACTTTTTCTCGTTGATCAGGCCACTTTTCGGTCTACCGAGATTTAGTAATTTACAAGATGAAACTGTTATCCCGTCACTGGAATTATTTGAGAAAGTGACCAGAGTATTCCAAATGACCAATTATGGTTTCTGTTATAATATAAGTGAAATCGATCAGCGAACAGATCAAAAGTACAATTGGTACAATAATTGTATTCGATTAGCTACTCTTGTGATATTTGGAAGAATTGTTGTTCTAATCAATATAACTAATGTTGATTTACTAATCGTTTTGGGCGATCCGTTACTTGGAGTTAAGGATAAGGTTCCAATCTATTGGCTGTTGATTTATTCATTGGTTATTCTTGGACTTTTCAAAGAATTGACCCTCTGGATGGAATCGAAAGGTCAACTAACAATCATGAGTATCGGTGTTTTTGAAAAGATAAAAATATTCGGTTTCAGGTCAAGTGTATTGGAAATGGATCCTGTTAATTGTTACAAATTTCGATGGCAAATCAATTTGATTGTCGTCATTTTCAATCGATTCATCTTAATCCATACACCATTTATCTTTATCATAATTAACACATTTCTTATAACTAATCCTCATTTCCGATATGATCTAGTTTACACTTTCTCTGGACTTTTATGGTCACTGATTCTTAGCTTCTCACTGGTCAATATTTTGACCTCTGCATATCTATTTGCAGGGTATCTTTTTATAGTGATAATCTATTATTTAGGACAGTTCAGGTCATTAGTTTCGAGAGTTGAAATCGATTCGATTCAAGTTGAAACCTCAAATATGTCCATCAATAGGAAGAAAATGAAATTCAATCTAGTTATCATGGAAGTGATCAAATTTCTCAATGAAATTGATTATCACATTAATAATATTCGATACGTTGTATTGTTCATGTTTCTTTTATTTACATTCAGTGGGGATTCATTTTTTTTCCTTGGATTTTTCGTTCGAATCCATTCAAAAATCGTTGCAACCATGTTTACTATCGTTGGATTGAGTATAATTAATATAAATGGTTTGTCAATCATCGTTAGTGCTCTCGCCATGGAAATGGTTCGTAGTTAAATTGTACGTAAAGATGAATACAATTATCCTTTTCTTTTCCAATCAGAGGGAGAAGTTACGACGAGGATTACATAGACTCTGTCTGAGGCAAACGTTCAGATTGACCTCGAGTTTAAAGGTTCGTAAAGATACAAAGCGAACGGCCGAAATGGTTCATGATTTTCGGTTTGTAACCTGGCTTAGGTCGATTCGTTAGTTGGCTCACCTAACGATTAATTAATTCTCGCATTAATAGAATAAGTTTGGGAAATTTTTTTCTATTCGATTTTTTTTTCTTTAGCTTCTTGAGATTTTTGATCGAACCTTAGGTCACTTTAAGGGAATAAAGGCTGGAGATGCATTTATATTCGACAAGAAGTTATTCGTTATTGTGAGTATATAATTTTTCCAGAAAACTTCGAACTATCTAATTACATTTTATGTTCTTATTCCAGTTTATTATGGAAAATGCATCAACATTAATGCTTTTTGCATGTAACGCGCAATCATTGATCGGTCGATCGCACTAACGATGGGATTAAAGTTCATCGATTAGAACGAAAATGTAAATTCTGACTCAAATTTCTCCCATGTATAAGTAAAACTATTATCGAATCTTAATGTTACCATGACTTAAGTGTTTCCACAATTCTGAGGCCATTTTTTTATATTCATTAATCAAGATTCTCAAATTCATGGTAAATTCATCGATATTTTCAATGAAATTGTCATAATTAAAATGGATCAGTAATTGGTCGATAAAATTGAGACAATAATTGGGATTTAAAGTGATCGATTTATTTAAATAGTGAGGTTTTGTTGAGAGAGATTAATTATACTATTCTTGCTTTAAATGAGAATAAGCAAAAATGTGATGAAGGAAAGAAAAAGGATTTGATCAGAACCAAAGAGATTAACATGATCAAAGTAAATTAACATCACAGTTAATCCTAATTAAAAAAAGGAGAGAGAAAGAGAGAGAGAGTGTGTGTGTGTTTAAATACAATTATAATCACAATGAGATGAGATGTAATAGAGAGATGAAGATAAAGGTGATGGCGATGATGAAAAAAAATCCATTGGCATTAACATATTGAGCGGAATGTGAATTTGCAATTGTTGTTGAATTAATGCTCAATGATTGAGAGATATTGATGCATGAATTGTTTGATTTTTTTTTTGGAGTTTGTTGATTGTTGGTTTTTTTTACTTAGGTAAAGAGCATAGGGATGAGGGAGAGAAGAAGCAGAAGAGGAGTGATGGAGATAAGTGTGATTAAGTAAGCAAGTGAGTGAGGGAAAATTTGACCGGAGTGAATATTGTCATTGACTTAATATCCGTCAAAATTAAATTACGATGCTAATTCGTATCAATCAACAACAATAACGATTACATCATGTTTACAGTGTGTTTACAGGTTGATGAAATGATGTTTTCGCTGTTGATTACAGGAGAGAGTGAGAGAAAGTGAATCATGATGAAAAAATCACAAAAAAAGTTGAAAAAAGTAATGATAATGAAGATGATGATGGTGATGATCTAGATACATGGTAGTAGCTGATGGAGGAAAAACAAATTGTAAACTTTTATACTTGAGTGTTTATGATTAAGTGTAACACAATTTACACCAAATCCATTAATTCATCTTTTCTTTTATCTCTGAGTGAGTTGTTTGACTTGAAAAGGTAAAATTTTGTTAATTGTTGTTTAGTTTAACTATCACACTCCTTCTTTAGTCATTAAATATTGAGTTGGGAAAAAAAGAAATGATTTAAATGTAACAATCAGTGTACACATCAAGAAAAAAACACACTCACACAAATTCATCGACATTACTCAAGTTTTAGTAAGTCTTAAATATATATAAAGGTGAGTAGGATGATGATTGTGTTGATTGTGATAATATACAAACAGTATGAGAGGTGATAAAAGGATAGGAATAAAGATAATAAGAGAGAGAGAGAGACTTGAAGGAGTACATTTTAAATAATTTCTTGTTGTTGTTGTTGAAGGATGTTGATGATCATTTATATGTTGTCAATATGGAGACACAATCCCATTGCAAATCCCTTTTCAAGGTTATACTGGTTGATGGTTTGAATGTGACTTGTTCGGGTTCTTTAAATTGTTGTTATTGAGAAATCAGCTGATGTTTGTTTGCATGATGATGATGGTGCTTGATGAACATATTTTTTTGTTGGTTTTTTTTGTTTGTGTTAAGTTATGAATGGTTGGAATAAAATAACTGGATGAATGTGTGTATGGGCTGGTTGATTCCATTGATTATATTCAGATATATATATTTTTCAGTGTTTGATTTGATGATGGAAGATGATTTTCATGTATTTTGATTAATTGTTTAAATAATAATAAGGTGAGTGAATTATTTTTGTGTTTATATTTGTTGTTTTTGTAGATCAGGTTCATTGTGTTTCGGGTGTTTCGATGTATAAGCAGTTTTTTTATTCTTTTTCCTCTCTTTTGAATTGTGTTTGTTTATGTTTCATGATAAATGATAAATGTTGATGAAAAGTTGGTTAAAGATGGCGAAAAGTTTTTCATTGATGAAAATGGCGATAATGTTTTACTTAAAGTAAGACTTGGACAGAAATGGTGGGTCAAGCGAGCGATTGATTTCATTTGCAGTTGAACATCACGAATCATGAATGAGATGCTTTTGCAATTTGGTACGGAAACTGCAGAATTGAAAATATGAATCGATTGATAAATCGAGACCAAAAACCAAGAGCGACTCGAGATTTATCAACAAAACTTAGCACGAAGATGTTGGCGTTTAAACAACATCAACAGAAGATGAAATAATTAAGACCACTCTTAAATAGAGCTGCGTTGGTGACAAACAGTGAGAGAGAGAGAGAGTAAATGATTTAGCAAATAACTGTAAAGGCAAGTGAACAGTTTTGAAGAAACCATCTTGTCAACCGCATCTATTTAAATGATGATAATATCATTCTAAATGGTGAAATAGGAAGACCATTGAGATAATGATATTTTGTCATCTCTGTTGTGTGTCTCTGATTGTTTTGAGTGTTTTATGGGGAAGATAATGTGTCCATTGGGATGACATAGCCTTCTCGATGGAGGTGGAACAGTCTCTTCTCAACAGCGTCCTTATAACGCCTTAGGAGACCCTTATCATCGCCAACGATAATCTGCTGAGATAAACTGTGTAATAGGATTTGTGCTGTTTGGTATTTCCGTAGACACTGAAAGTAGATGAAATAAATGAATTAATTAAACTGTCAGATAATCAAATTGTTTCCAATTAGAAGTAGTTAATTTGTTTGGTAAAAACAGTTACATAGACAAAAAACAGAAACAAAACGGATGAAATAATATAAACACTAAATGAACTGATCAACAAGGAAGAGGAAGAAAGCAAAGAAATCTGATACAAATTGTAATAGAGAAACAAAAAGCTGAAAGATTAACTAGATAATTGGATTGAGATAATATTTTTGTTCTGTTATTCGGTTAATGTATTAATTTAATGAGACGATTCTTACCACTTCCATGTCTCCAATTAGCTCTTCGGTGGCTGCAGATTTAGCCATTTGAATAGCGTGATCGTAAATTAATCTATCAGCTGAAATATTATCCAAATCTCGTTGCTTCATGGATACTATTAGTGCATCCTGAGTTAGAACTTTGCAATTTTCAAGGCATTCGTTAAAGATTGATTTCAAGGTTGCGAGAACTGTTTAAAACAATCGAGTTGGAGAGCACGAAGATGGAGAGAGAAAAAAAAGAGTAAGAAATCAATTAGTAAATTGTGTAAACAAGCAAAGCGAATCAGGAGGTGGAAGAAAAGAGAGAGAGAGAGAGAGAGAGAGAGAGAGAGAGAGAGAGAGAGAGAGAGTTGAGAAAAATTAGAGATAATAAGAAGGAAAAAGGAGGAGATACTGGTTGAGAAAGAGAGTGGAAGATAGCATCGAACGCGAAGGTTGAATGATAAAAAAGTAAAATATTCTTATGACTGTATGTCAACAGCGATTAAGCCAAATAAATCAAGCCAAAAATCACGAATATTGAGAAAGAGGGAGATAGAAAAAGCGGAGAGTAGAGAAAGGAGAAAAAGAGAGCAATGAGAGAGAGAGAGAGAGAGAGAGAGAGAGAGAAGAAGGATAGATAATTATGTGCGAAGGGTATAAAGATTTAACCTTGTCGAACTGAAGACGATGGCTTGAGCCTTCCAGAGGTAATTTCAGTCCTTGAAAGTTGTAAAGCAGATGAAACAAATTGTAAGGCTCGAACATAGAGAACAAGTTTCTCTGCTTGCCGCTGGCTTGGTGGTGTTATCTGAGTGGTAAGAGAAGAGAAAACTATTATCATTATCTTTGGGATAAAATATGAAAATAGAAAAATTGAAAATAATTTTTGTGAATCAATGATTTACCTCTGGAACTGAGCTTTCAATCAATAGATTCAAAGTATTTTCCCGATGTTCAGCTAAACGCATGACGCATTCAACCAAAGTTACGACGAAATTTAATCGAGCCAAAGTTTCATTATGATCTTTATCGAGTAAGGTTTCCTCGGGTAGTTCGGGTGCATCGAATCGAAGACCTTCAATAAATCGAGGTGATGCGTCAATTGAATTTCGATTAGTTAATTGAGGGCAAATCGGACAGATACAATGAGACCCTATTGTTGATCCAGAGGGATGATTGTGACGTTGTAATGCGTTGGAACTATTTAATCGATATTCGTTAAATAGGAAAGTGGCCTTATGACCACTTGTATTAGAAGCGAAGCCAAAATGATTTGGATGGAAGGTGTGAGGATTATGATGGTGGTAGGGATGGGGATGACCTCGAGTTGATTTATCGCCATGAGAATTGTCGTGGAAGTTAAATTTCATTGGAGATGAGTTACACCGAGAAACAAGAGCGTTACTTGCTACTTGTTGGGGATGCGGATAATGATGGTGAGAATGGTGGACAAATGGCCTATGATGATGGTCAGGTGAACATAGACCAGGGATGTATGTTAACTCTGTGGCACCTTGAAGACCTTGAAGGTGAAGAGGCGGTGTTATTTGTCTCATTAAAGGTGAGGCTAAACAATTGGATGCATTGAGAATTGGGGCAGAGCACCGACGATTAGATCCAGAGAATGAACCACCAGAGGCTAATCCTGGTGGTGTACCAATGATAAATTGTACTGCTGGAGGTGATAATTGACTAATATCGGCGACAAACCGATTACTTGCATTTGAACTTCCCTCACTTCCTCCAGATGAATTGGAGTCCGTTTGTGGGCCAGATTTGTCATTAGATGAACCAGGTAACAGTTTCTGTTTATCCGATGAGGTTGATTCACCTTTGTCACTTTGATTTGGATTACTATTTGCTGTCGTACTTGCCCATGGAAGATCAGATCCACCGTCAGATGTAACAGTTCCCGAAGATCTATCAATTGATAGGTCACTTTTACGAATACGATCATAAACATTTTTATGATTTGGAACTGGACTACTTGGTTTAAAGTGATTAACAAACGTTTTCAAATCAACTGAAGTACCTGCTTGATCACTTTCGGATGAGGATGGGTACGATTTGGGTGATGAGATGAGTTTAGATGAACTTCGAGATGATGGTAAAGGTTTACCATCTTTTGTCATGAAAGGTACAACAACGAAATCATCAACCTCTTCCGGATCATCGTTACTCGATGCTGGAGATGAAGATTGAGGTTCAGATTTAACGGGAGATCCAAGATCACGAGGTGATCTTAAAGGTGGAGTACCAAAACCACCAGTACCTGTCGGGGTTGTACCAGTTGGAGTTGTTATTGGAGATGTTGCCGTTGGACTGGCAAATGGATACCTAGCGGGGAAAGATTCCGCTCGAACATTGTGAACTTGACGATTGGTGGAATGTCTAATAAACTCGTGATTGAAAAATTTGTCGAAATTCATTCGAGTAGTTGGATCACGGACAAGAAGTCCATTGAGAAGATCTGTCAAAGGTCTAGATGTACCAAGTGGTATTCTGAGTAACATGATGAAAGAAAAGAGAGAGAGAGAGAAAAAACAAACAAATGATTATTGTTCAGTTGCTTTCCTTATTATCAACATCAACATCGTCATAGTCATCTACAAATAGTGACAATATTAAAAGAGGATCATAACAACAACAACAACAAAGATATAAATCAAAGTATCACGCAATTTTCATCATCATTAATAATTGTTACAAATAATCAAAACAAAAATGAAATGCGACATAATCTCATGATTAAACAATCGGTTATCTCATTATCAAGCCTTCTCTTGTTCCTTTGGTAATACACTTTATATTTTTCTTTTTCTTTTTCTCTAACATTAACTTTCTCTTTGTCTTCCTGTTTTACTTGGACTTTCTTTCTCTCTATTTTTCTATTTAGAGATTTTTCTTTCTCCCAAACAAAGAGAGAGAGAGAGAGAGAGAGAGAGAGAGAGAGAGAGAAGAAAAGGAAGAAAATACAACAACAATGGCGAAGTGAAACTCGTTAGTAACAAGAAGAACACTGAAAACTAATATAAGCAAGAAAAAGAGCAAATTACTTGTATCACTTACTTGGGAGCTAAGTTGACATTTTTCTCGTAGAAATGTTTCAATGCTGGAGGCGAATGAGCATTGAAAGGAGCCTTTCCGGTTAAACATTGGAAAACAATGGTTCCAATGCTCCATAGATCAGCTTTGGCATCATATTGAAGAGACATTATAACCTCTGGTGCCATGTACATGGGGGATCCACAAAGAGTTGCAGCCATTGAACCTTCAACAAGAAAACGAGCAAATCCAAAATCAGCGATTTTAAGAGTAATCTCACGAGGACGTGGATTAGGATCCTTGGAACAGAGAAGAATATTTTGTGGTTTAAGGTCACGATGAACGATCCCTTTGAGGTAAAGAGCCTTCATGGCTTCGGCAATTTGTTTAAGAAAAAATTTTATCGTATCTTCTGAAAGTGTTCCTTGGGTATGAAGATAATCAGCTAAATCGGATCGATTACAATATTCCATAACCAGGTAAACATGATCAGCGGTCTCTTTATATCCAAGTAATGAGACCACATTCTCATGGTGTAATTGTGTCAACTCTTTAAGAATTGATATCTCTTTACCAAGAAGACTTTGGCTTTTAGCTAAATTTTTTTTGGCAATTGTTTTAATGGCCACAGGCAAATCTTTGGTTTTATTGTGCTTGCCCTTATAGACAACGGCGAAAGCCCCATGTCCAATGAGATCACTTGTAAGATAACTGTATTCACCAACTTGAACTGTTGTTTCTTTAGCCATGATGATTGAAACAATTACCTAATTTCACATAGAGAAATAGGAGAGAGAGAGAGAGAGAGCAAATTATAGATGAAGATAGAGAAATAATCAACAATATTACTACACAGAGGAGAAAATATTTTGTTTAGCTTTGAAGATCTAATTATTGTTGATCAACTAATTGTTGATGATTAGGTTGTTGTTGGTTGGGTTTTCTTTTCCAAGATGATGAAAGTAAACAAAGAAATTGATGATGATGGTAAGTTGAGGTGACGACGGTGGGGTGATTGGTAATATTAACACAATTTTACTTGACTTGGTATCTAAATTTTGTTGTTGTTGTTGTTTTTTTGGTTGTTGCAGTGATGTAAAGATGAGATAATGGTGATGATGATGATGTTGTTTTTGTTTGAAAGATGAAAACTTTTAGTAATTTTTCAGGTTGAATATAAATAAAATAAGAGCAACACAATTTATGTTTTTACAGGTTTGAGGTTAGTGAAAAAAAAGAAGGTGATTCTTAATGGTAACAAATAATGTCCATGGATTTGTTGGTGATTTGAACTAATTTACAGATAATTAGACTTGTTTATATATAAAATAGAAAAAAGAAAATGATGAAGAAGAAACTAAAAGATGTTTCTAATTAGATATTCTTACATTTTGATTTTTTCTCTTCTTTTTCGTTTAATACCTTTGATACAGTTTATGAAGATTAAAAATGAGAATGAATAAGAGTAAATATCAACTTTAACAAAGAGACACACAAATAGACAGAGAATTTAGAAAGAGAGAACGAGAAAAAAGACAAGAGAGAGAGAGAGAGAGAGAGAGTAGGAGATGATAGAAAGAAAAACAAAGAGAGAGAGAAAGAGATAAAGGAAAAAGGATGAAGAAAGAAGAAAGAAGAGAAAATCTTGTTTACAATTTAAAGAGAAAATCGATAATCGAACATCGAAATCTCTCTATCGATCATATGATAGAATTTGACTCCACCTCTTTTTCTCAATGTTTACATTTTTTTCTTCCATTTTTTTGATTAATTTTTTCTTTTTAATTTTCATCAAATTACAATTCATTTGATTAATTTTCGTCATTTTTTTTCTAAAATTCAACAATAGACTTTACACTCTCTCAACCTAATTGATTGCGAGAGATTTTTTGTTCGATTAACTTTTGCTTCTTCTTTTTTCACCTTCTACATTTTCAGTTGTTGTTTTCCCTTTTCTGGTTCATTTCTGGTCTTTTTTTCTGGTTACTTGTTGTTGGAATTATATTCTGGTTCATCTTCCTTTATCTTTTTCTCATTTTATCTCATTATTATCAGTTTTTTTCTCCTTCACTGTTGTCACTTTTGTATCCATCTAATTACCATGGTAATGATCAGTTTTAATGGTCAAGTGATTAGGTTATTGTCCAGTGTGACCACTGGTTCTAATTTTTTTTTGTATGAAAGACAAAGAAAGTTGAATCCGCCATTTTCATCTTTGGGTTTGAACTTTAAATTTTCTATTTGTCATCGTTTTCCGTAAATTAACTGCGGAAATTATGACCATCCTAATGATTAATTTAATCATTAACTTGTTTACTTTTGTGTCCATTCAACTTACTAGAAGATTAGAAGGGTTTAAGACAAGGATAATTTTCCTTACCTGTCTCTCTTTTTTTTTATTATTCTGAGTTCAAAATTTTCTCAAATCATTTCAAGACAATTTCATCATGAGGAAGAAAAAGAGAGTGAGAGAGAATCGATTCTAAGTATCTATTTATGAGGAAATACTTGGAACCAGAAGAAACTGAAGATCCTCCATAGAAACAATGTAATAGATTTTTCTTAATCTTGTCAATACTTTTCACTTTAATTGTTTACTAATCAATATCATCTAATTGTCTAATTAATATCTTCCTTTTCTAATCTCAACTACCGATTAATCAATTTGCTTACCATTTATCACTTCTCTTTGTTTATCTTTATCGAATCCTCTTAAAAAATTAATAATAATACTTAATTATCAACAGTATTTACTTTTCCTCTTGTTAACCATTAACACAGGTAATTAATACTCGACTGTATCTGTTTAACAGTTGATGACAGATATTTTTAATTACCTGATTGTTTATCATGAAAATCATCTGACAGCTACTCACATATCTCTCTCTCTCTCTCTCTCTCTCTCACTCTCTCGTTAATTATATTCACTTCAACAATTAGTTGAAATTTAATCAACAAAGCAAAACAATTGAACTAGAGAACCAGAAAAAAAACCAAAGATTGAAAACAATTAAAAACATGGAAACCAGAATATAAACCAAACCGATATCCTGGTTTAAACAGTGAACCGAAATAACAATTAAGAGTTATCATTGATTATCTAATAAGATGATCAAGTTAATTACTACAATATGAATACATTTATCTTCATCTTTATCACCACAACAATCATGATGATTAACTAACATTATGAATGTTTTTTTTTGTTTTCTTCACTTTCAATTGTGAAACAATTGAGAAAACAAAATCGTAGGATTAGAAGCATTAAAAGGTATTGAGAATATAAAGAAAAATCGTAATCATGATTAACTCAGTAATCAGAATCATGAGTTTTTCTAACGACCTTGGAACGGCCTTTTCGCCTTCGTGTTCATTTCTCAATTCATTCTTAATTTCGCTAGACAAGGTTGGAAACTCTAGACTAATAGATGAAGTTGATTATCTTCATGTTGATCACAATTATCATCATCTTACGATTAAATTGTTATCGTAATAATTTAGAAATTAATATGAAAAGGAAAAGATTACAATCAACTTAAATCGTAAATCTTATTGATCATCATCTCGATAACAATAAATTGCTACTATTTAATCATCTCCATGATAATTACAATCTTCTCATTGTTGTTGATTTATTTCAATTCCAAGTAAAATGATTTAATCATTAGATTGGAAGCTCATTCACAATTTTGAATAATTATCAACGAAACAATTAACTAATCAACTAACTTCAAGTATAAACATTAAACTTTTTCTTTGTATTCAATTTACTTTGATTACCTTTGGTAATTAAATAATAGACATTGAAATGAGAAAGTAATTTACGTTAATTCAGTTGAGTTGACTAATAGTGATTAGTTAATTGTCCTAAGATCTTTTTTACTATTTAAGATATTCAAGATTAACCAAGCGATTTAAATTAATGTCTATTTTCAAGTAACCAGTTAATTGTAATCAACATGAAACATTAAGTGTCCTTGTCTGTCCACTATTAACATTGTATTAATATACTATTACTAAATAACCTTAACAATTTATGTATTGATTATTGATTGTGATCAATTTAGATTGTTAAATGTTGACAAAAAATCAATAAAGAAATGATAGTTTATTTAATTTGCAATCGGAAGGAAAACTTTTCAATGTTATTATCTAATCATTTACAGTTAATTGTTAATCATTGAACGATCAATCTTTTGATTAGATCTCATGTCCACCAAGTTAATTGTGATTAAATAAATATATTTAATTGACAAGTACATTGACTTTACATGTGCTCATTGCAACAATAATCTATGAGATTGATTTAATTGTGATTAAAGGTTAATGATCAACTGATTGTGATTCAAATGATTTGACATAAGTTTTTTTTATTATACAAAGGCTAATGATCATTATGATAACATGATGATTAGTTAATTGTTACTTTTGATTGTAAAATTTTTATTACGATTCAATTTAAATTATCTCATTTTGGTTGATTTAATTTGTTTTTTTTTCCTAACAATTAACTAATTGTAATCTCAAGGTAAGGTAATAACATAGATAATAATTTACACAAAATAACTAATGATTATTATTAAATTGCTGTAATAATGATTATTAATTAAGGGCGATGTCCCTAATCATCATCAATTGTATTTTAATATAATCATCATCATCACCATTAACAAAACAATTAACTTGTAACAATTAAATTAAACTTGAAACAATTTTCAAGTTGATTAACCAAAAAAAAAAAGTTTTCTGTTTAGTTTAAATTGTTTACACCTCGAACACAATGACAAACAATCAACTTAACAATTAAAATTAAACTTGACCTAAACAAAGTAAATTGTGAAATGATAATTTTAGTTAATTGCTAATTGATTATCTTTACCAAGTATGATGTATATTTATTATCCAATTGGTTAACTAACTTGTTAATTATTATTATCTAAATGATTATTAATACTTTTTTTTTGCCTTCTAATTTACAAAACAATTTAATTCCGTTTCCATCTCATATTTGGACTTCCTTGTTTACATTTACTGACCACTCACCTTGATTGAGATAATGAGATGACCATGATAAGCGGTCAAGTTGTTTATTTCTTCATGGTAACATTGACCCTTTCGCTTTGTTTGTATTGAACTTTAGCCAATTTCAAATGATTCATAATTGAGACTAAATTTAGCTCTGTAATTGTAATAGTAGTTTAATAATAATAATAAAGCCAATCAATCAAATTGTAGTTAATAAGCTCGAGAATCAACAAGTTACTTGATACATTTTCTAATCATCGTCATCACTTTATTTATTTATTTTTCATTGTGTTATCACATTTCATCAGGATTATCCTAATCTCATAGCTATTGTTAATCTCAAGACACAATAGTAATTGTATTTTGATTTATAATAACAAAAATATATTGATGATCTTATGAAAATAGTCATTGATCAATTTGATTACAATCAAACAAATAAGTGTATCACTTACATGACAATTTATACAATAAATACAAGAGTTAATCGTTGAAACAATTACAATCTAAAAGGTAAATTGTGATCATCTAAAAGTAATTGTCTCATTATTATCATGTAGAGACTCATGATAATAGACACATGGTAACTCTGAATACTCTTGTATGAAGAAAACAAAAATCTTGTGAGTTATTATTACGATAATAATGAGAGTGATGATTAGTTTATCGAGAGAGAGAGAGAGAGAGAGAGAGAAATGGTTCTGATAACCTGAATAAAGTGATGATGATGGTGAAAAATGATGAGAATAAAAAACTGTGCCAATGAATTGAAGTATTGAGATTGGATTGGAAACGCGAAACAAAATGAATAAGAAAATCAGATAAACTCATTTGCTATTAACTTTATCCTGATTTCCAATAGTTGCATACACAATCAGGATGAAGATGAAAAAATTAAGGATGAGGATGAAGTGGGAAGTAAAAATGATCATATGATCTGATGAAATGAGCTCTTATTAGGCTTTTCATGTGACAATGTTAATACATGTAAACCAGTTTAAATTGGCATTAATAATATTCAACAAGTGATACTTAATTTACTGCTATTAATATATTAATATATAAATTGTTCATCTCATTGCCTCGTGATCAGTTTTAATAATCATTAAATTGAACATAACTCAACCTTAACGAACAATTAATCAACTTTAATCAACACGAAGTTAAGAAAGGCAAAGTAATCAAATGATGAAAGAAGAAAATAAATTAAAACTCCAATTCTCCAACAATTAAACAGTTTGCAAACTCTTCTGATCCGGTAATTAACTTTAAACATATACAAACATGTAAATTGTTATTCAATCATTTAGCTAATGATCATAAACAACTCTCATTCTGATCACTAATCTTTGATTGTAACAATTAGCAAAACTTTTTCTTCATTCGCAAACTTTTGTTTGCAGTTTCGAAAAGCTTGATATTTATTATTATCATTATTATCGTACAGTTGA